CCCCCCGGGGCCCGGCCCCGTTGCCTCTCTCACCGCTCCCCAACAAACCTCAAAGGACACTGACACACGGGCACATACCTGACACAAAACCTAGCCGACTCCCCATTCAACGGCCTCACGGGCACGACACGGCCCTGCAGCGCATGCCGACTCCTACCGCTCCAGCGCGGCAGCCCGTCCGACCGCAGCCCGCAGGCCTGCCCGATCTCGTGGCAGCGCACGCACCCTCGGCCCGAGTCGTGCGGGTAGCAGCGCTTGCGGGTGCGGCGGCAGGGCGTGCAGGCGTGGTGGGAGAGGAGCCAGCCTTCGAGGTCTGGCTCTTGCTCATGGTCTTGCTGTTGGTCGGGGTCCGAGTCGGCGTCCTTGGCGGCAGCGGAGGTCAAGGTGGAAAGGGCGTTTTGGCGCATGCTGCAGGTTAGGGCGTGGGGTGTGGCTTTGCCTTTGGATGAGGGTGGGGGCTGGCCGAGGGGTCTCTGCTGTTTCGTCCTGGGGGCGGTGCTGTGCTCAAGTTTGGGCTGGAGATTGGAGCGTCCTTGGCGGGGCTCTGGGAGGTGGTGTTGTTGTTGGGCATTGCTGAGGATGTATGAGATTTGCATGCGTTCCAAACCGCTACCGCCGACGGATGAGGTGGATGTTGCGGGCGTGGACCTGTTGCTGCGCTCGCCTCCCAACCATGACAGCTGCGGTAGGCCGGTTTGGGCTGGGACCTCCATCTCCGAATGGCGGCGCTCGGGTTCTGTGCCCAAAACCCAGCTATCTATGGCGGAAAGCTATGCTGTCGTTTTCCCAGTGGTGGCACTAATAGTCACGTGCTGGTCGGCTGGACAGCTTCTATCACACTTGCAGCGACGGCGCAGGGATTCATCACAAGATCTGTCGTCGTCAAGCTTGGTGCTCTACGTTGCAGGAACTCGTGTTCCGGTGACAGTCAACTGTTAAGCAATAAACTATTCAGAGAAAAAGAAGAATCGATGTGTGGATGTCCCGCTCCGCACCTATCAGTGGCCCTGAGCGGGAATGACCAGTTCTCGGGTCTAATGCGGGTTGGCGTATTGTGTGGACTTTGCCTGGTGATCGTTCAGCGGCCTTGCGGGGCGCCGATGGACTGGCTGGAAAAGATGGGAAAGGCATCTCCCATGGCTGGTTACAGGGCCATTGCAGGCTGGGAGGATGGAAAAGACGCAAAGGGGGCCGTAACAAGGCCGTGGCGCCGAGCGACGCCAGACGACGCCTATTTGTGGTAGGGTGGAACTTGCAGCCAACCGGAACGTGTCATGTGCGGCGGAATTGCACTTCCAGGAGAAAACAAACAGGCCAAACGTCAGTGTGGAAAATGTATGCGGTCACTGGTGCTGAATGGTCACTGGCGCTGGGTGGCTACGCAACGATCCTCCACTGTTCGACGTCGACAACCCCATATTAGAAACGTCATGAAGGGGGGTGCAGCTGAGAACCAGTCACTGGGTGACCACGTGCCGAATCATGATTGCCATGTTGCGGCTTTTTTCCCTTTTCCCTCCTCTCTTGTAGAAGACTCCTCTCTGCCAGAAAAGGGATGCGTAGATCCGATTTTGGGTCAAGAGTAATCTATGACAGCTGCAGCTTTGATTGGAGTCGCCACATCTCCACACACAAAGCACAGATGTGTCTTGCATCTGAGAAATGTTCTCATGTACTTGATGAACCTCCGTCCACACCCCAAGTCAAGAGGCATTGTCAATATGTATACTTCCTAGAGACCGTCGACATTGGGTCTGCGAGGTCAACATCACCATGATTCCGTGAGGCTTAATTCGGCGGAGCACAATGCTGTTGACTTTGCGGTAGTTCCTGTTGACAGACCGCGAAGCTCTGAACGCGGCGCAAGGACGGCAGCGGTATACCCACATGCATCCAAATCAGTATGTACTACTGGTTCAGCGCCCCAACAAAGAGCTCCTACATATCGCGATGTGGCATGGATGTTGGCAGTGACCCATGTACCTTTACCATGAGAGACCGCCGCCCATGCCAAGATTCTGGATTATTAATGAGGCCCCCTTTGGCAACGCAGCCGTCGATGACCAGCCACGACTTGCTGGGAGCTCAGTGAGCATAGTGCTATCATGATCCTGCTCTTGCAGGTGCCGTCAACAAAAGGCTGCCAACTAAAAAGTGAAAGCATCAAACACCACAAATTTAATGGTAGCTCGAGCCTCAAAGCCAGACTCCACTGTACGCATGGCACCCCCATCCCACTCCACCAGCGGACAAATATCATGACTAACAAGAAAGCCCAGACGGAGCAGCGAGCCCGCGGAAGAGACGCTCAACGACGATACCGGACCCGCAAGGACCAACACACTCTTCGCCTGCAGCAGAGAAACGAACAGCTGGAAAGCATTGCCGCCAAGGCGATCGAAGCGTTCATCACCTTTGGCGACTCTATATCACCGTCGTCACTCGTTCAGTCAAGCGATGTGGTGCAAACAGCGTATAGATCCGCGCTGCAGACGTTCCAGACGTTGAGTAAGGATCTGGAGAGCGACGAATCACAAACCGATTCAAACACCGGGAGCAATGATATGAAGGTCCCCCTATCTGAAGACTCGTCGACTGGCGTCCAGCTCCGAAGCTTATTATTCTACAACTGGCTTTCAGTCCCACAGCTGCCCGACATGTCGGCTCAGCCGGTACTGCCCAATGTCCCTATCACGTCAATAATGGATTCCAACTCACCCGCGAATCTGCCGCCGACCCACAACGGCTTCATGCAAGACACGCCTCTGTGGGTCAAGATGCTGTACACGGGACTGCTTACCAGCTACCGGGCCAAGACAGAGCAGCGGGGCCTCGAATCCGCTGTTGGCATGTGGGTGGTCGAAACCCAAGGCCTCGATATGCAGCAGACCCGCGTTGGCGATCTTCCTCGTTTGGCTAGTCGCGCACTTGAGGGTCTAATGTCGGCCTTTGCCCTCACGGATATGCAGTGTAGCTGTCGGCAGGTGTTCGATGCCGCGCTCCAACCGTCGCTGAACCCGACATTGAACCCCCCAAACGGCGCTGGAGCACGAAAAGTCAATGTGGAGCCCGCGATGGCCGACAGTGGCATCTACCTCCGCGTCAGATGCGTAGCTCACTACCTGCGCACCAAAGGTAAACTCGAGATAGGCAACAACCATCTTCGCCTTCACATCAGGCCTGTCAGCTCAGTCCGGCAGAGTGGCCAAAGAGTGGCGGTCATCGAGATGGACCGCTTCATCGACTCGCTCATCACCTCGGCGTTCTGTCTCGGCGACAGTCCCGGCTTCGAGAGGCAAGCCGTCAATAACGCCGTGGTCTCTGCGACGTCTCAGTTGCTTGAGGTTAGTAAATAGATAAATTCATAATGCAACAAGGCCATCTTCGTCACAAACATCCTGGTGACTAGGATGATAGTGTTGGGTCGTAGACTCTGCCATTTTGTTCAAACAAATCATTAGTAGATCAATGCCCGTGGAGGGAGGCCTCTTCCTGTTGGAGCTGAAACAACAGATGTCAAACGTGAGTCTGACTATCCCAGCCGTGAACCCCGAAGTCGTAATCAAGCTTGCGGTACCCGGAAGATGACAAGTGAAGGAAGCGGCTTGCGAAATGGTCCTCTGGTCAACCATCAAAGATCATGTCAGCAGCTAGCTACTTCTCACGACAAAGGAGCTACCGTCTAGATCGCCTTCAGTTCTGCCGCTGGCGAGATCCAGAAGCGGACTTCAGGTTGGAAAAAGAGCCCAGTCCACGCCTTCCACGAGCTGTACCCTCCATCCAGGGCAGGTAGGCATCATGGCCTCGTCCCCATCGTATATGTTCACAACGGCAATGGTAATGACAATTTGAGAAGCGTCTACTGTAGATCCAGTCAACACCAAACAGTAGTAAATCCCGAGTCAGATAAAGATCGCGTCGCCGCGCGTCCCTCCCTCCCCTCCTCCCTTCCCCACGAGACTTCCGGCACATCCGCCCGGACCCAGGATCCGAAACCCCCGCGGCGGCTTCCACGAGTCGGAATGCGGGATAGGCAGTGTGTTGCGATATATGCATGCCTTCTTTGTTTGCTTTTACCCTCCTGATCTCCTTCGCAGCTTGCGAATTTAGCATAGAATGCTTCTTTCCTGCGTGCTAAAGTGACTGATCAGCGGCCGCGTTCGGACTGCCGTCCTTCTATGCCTGGAACCCGTTGCCGTATATGCAGAAACGAAGCGGAAGCGTTGGTACGGATTTTTATCGTAATCTCATTATACTGATCGTACGGACAGTCTAGGATCTGCTTCTTCAAGTCTATTGACCCCTTCGCTCTCATAACGCTGACAAGTTTTAGTCTAGCGACCGTTGCTGATAACTTTGAACACTGTGGGCATTGCCAGGACGGCGTACCCGCGAGACAACTCTTAATTGATCATGTTGATCAAAAAGACCATTGCCGAACGCCGTTTCTATCCGTCCCCAGCTTAGGCCTTCTGTCCTGGCTGCAGAACCTTGGGAGACAGATTCTTGCCGTTCCGGTTCCGGAAAAAGTACACACCGGCATTCTCACCTTCGGTGCCTGGCAGGGTCTCAACCCAGTGGCAGGTGTGCATGTTGGTGAAAAGAGCCTTGAGGAAACCCAGCGGTCCTCCTCGGGTGTCGGCACGGTAGTGCTTGCCCATAACGACCTTGATGGCGTCCGATGCCTCGTCTGCGTGATAGAAGGGAATGGTGCTGACATAGTGGTGCAGAACGTGGGTTTCGATAATCCCGTGGAAGAGTTGACGACCAATGAAACCAAATTCACGATCGATGGTGGCCGCAGCGCCACGGGTGTAGGTCCAAGACGTGGGAGAGTAGTGGGGAAGCGAGGGGTCGGTGTGCTGAAGGAAAGTGATGGCAACTGCATATCAATTAGTAGGTGAGCTCAAGAAGCAATGCGAAACACTTACCAAGCCAATGGTTCACCCAGAGGTAAGGCAGGATGTACCAGACGAGGAGATTAGCCCAACCGAAGTTCTTGCCGATCTGATACAGAGCAGTGCCGACAATCAGGAGACCCAGATCACTCAGGAGGATCAAGTGCGAATCTTTGGCGTCATACAAGGGGCTGCGAGGGTCGAAGTGGTTGACACCGCCAAAAAAGCCGTTCTTGTAACCTTCACCACGACCGTTTCTCTGACCTCCATGCTTGTTGTGGCCGGTGACGTTGGCCATCAGGTACACAGGCCAGCCACCAAGCTGCTGGTAGAAGAGGTGGAATGCAGTCGCCAAGGGGGTCTCTTCGGTAAGTTCGTTGAGCTCGTGCACCATCTTGCCAACCCGGCTGGCGTACTCTTCGCGAGTCTTTGGTACGAAGACCATGTCACGTTCCATGTGGCCGGTGGCCTTGTGGTGCTTGCCATGCGAGATCTTCCACGAGAAGTATGGGACCAAGAGCAGGGAGTGGCAGATCCAGCCGACGGTGTCGTTGAGAACTTTGCTGGGAGAGAAAGACTGGTGACCACATTCATGGGCCAAAACCCACAAGCCGGTGCCGAACAGACCCTGAACGAAGGTATACACAGCCCAGAGTCCAGCTCTTAGGGGTGTGGAGGGAATGTTTTCCGGCGTAATGAGGCGGTTGGCAAGGTAAAAGACGGTGGCCAGAGAGACCATGTCACGGGCGACATAGTACAGGCCGGTGGCAGCAGATCGCTCGAAGCAGTGCTTGGGAATGGCCTTGTGGATATCACCGATGGTATAGTCGGGGATCTCGAACTTATTGCCATACGAGTCGACCAGTTGTGCCGGCTCTTGCAGCTGTCGCTTGGTCTGGACAGCGTCCTCCGAGGCCAACGAGGAGAGGGAAGTGGAGGACGGTGAGGATCGAGGGCTATCAATCGGGGAGATATTGGTCGAGTTGGTGGGGGTCGAATCGGTGGTGGCCATACGGCGCATAGCCGTCTCAGACGGCAGAGCGGTGGTGGTCATGGCGGGCAGGAAAATGTGGTGCGGTCAGAGGCGAGAAATGGAGCTGGTCCTTTTGGTTGGGAACCAGCTGAGCGGTAGGTAGGGGGGAGGATGGATGCGAGGTATCGTCGAAGGCGAAGAGAGTGACAAGAGGCAGAGAAGCTCGCAGGATTGGCGAAGGGGCAGAAGCAGTTTTATTGCAACAAACGGGAGTGAGGAGAGGGCTCGGTCGCAGCTTGACCCTGTGGTACTCAAAACTGTGATCGCCTCTCCAAATTCCTCAACAGTTCGGAAGCACGGTTTTTCAGATGAAACGTGGTACCGGTAAAATATGTTGCCTGTTGGGGGCTAGATGCCCGAAGTTCTTTACCTGGAACACATTAGCTCCAGGGCAAAGAGCAGGCCTCGACCAATGACTGCTCCACTGCTCTCGGCGGTCAACAGGGTCTTTGCCTGGAGCGCAGCCGCGCCCCGTAGCCGCGCACCTCGGCCTGCTGATACCCTTCAATCTGAGGGTAAAATGGTGTATCCCAGACGGCCATTTGCTACGGAGTCATCAATTCCTAGGCATGCACTCTACCCGAATGTGAATCTCAGCTGGGGTCATGCAAAGCTCATCTGGCATGAGGCAACTGGCTGGAGGGTGTTACGATTGTATAGAATATTACAGCTAATGCCGATATGGACAGCACACAAGAACCAGCTCTTGTCCCGCTTGCCCGTTCCTTAACCGTACTTAAGAGACGAAAACTCCTCACCGCCATCATGAACGCGAGACCACCACTTGAATTGCTCCACCGAAGCTGTCTATGATCCACCGATCTCTCTGGGCCTTTGTGGGGCGAATGGCAAGAGGGTGTTTGATAAGCTGCGACCATGTTACTAGGCTTCAACAGCGCAGGCCATGTGAACAGATAGTCGCACGACATTTGCTGATACCAATATTCTCACGTGCTAGCTGGTAATGCCTCGATCCGAAGGGTAGCTTAGGCCGGAGACTGCAGCGATGGCATGTGAAAGGGACGTCGGCAGCCTTGTGTTTTGACGTGATGACCTCTGTAGCTGGTGAGGGGGACTTGGAAGCTGAGCGACTCCGCAAGCTTTCTCCCCTCGCCAAACTTGCAGTAGTCGGAACATCTCGTCACCTGATGAAGGTGCTGCCACGGGAGTCGATCAGAAAATGAATCGGAGCCATGCTGCATGGCTAGATACTTGCGGCAGGGGTGAAGTCCGTCCAGGCGTGGGACTTGAGGGGTACAAAGCCATGCGAGTTTTGGCGAAGATTTTTTCTGTTGGGGAGGCTGCTGCCCCACTCCTGCGGCTCAATCTGGTACCATACCTATACAGTATTAAAGCAGCGGTTCGTGCCGAGCGTTCCTGCAGATCATCTGCCATCTTCCTTGGCTGCCACGCGCCGCGCTCTGGATTTGACCTTCGTACTACAGCTGATTGTTGGTTGCGCAAGCAATGTTCATGCTTACATTAAAGGTATCTGTCGCATCTATCTTGACTCTGCAGAAGGACTCCAGAGTTTACCCCAGGTCCCGTGCCCGCATTTGATGCTGTCTCTTCTGTTGTCAGTCCTACAGTCACCGACTGCAAGTTGGCCGTGACTTGAACGCACTTGGATAGCGTTTTGTTGTACAATTCGATGGGCACATCCACCCAGTCTCCTTCGGTAGCTTGTGGACTCTTGCCGTCTTGTCTCCTGCATCTGACGTCGATCATCGGAAGTAGTAGTAACCCATTCCGTTGTGGGAAGAGAATCATGGGTATACGGACGTCGACGTCGGCTGAGAATATGCCCTTCTTTCTCCCGCCAATAAGCCAAGTATCAGTCGGAGCAAAGAGCTCATATGAGTACTGGATCCGCGTGTCTTGTTCTCCAGTGACACTGATGCCGAGATCACAGGCCAGAGGTTGGCCCAAGGTAGCCGTGGTCCGCTCTTTCGACAGCCTGGGCTCAAGAGCAGTCGTGACTACTGTCGGACGAGACGGCACGTTCACTTTCAGTGAGAGTTCTCGAGTCACACCGCTGCTTTGATCAAATTTTACAATCTTGTGCCCAGCATGCCAACTGCTTAGCCATGCATCAATCTTTGCTTTGTTTCGGCCTTCAAATGCCCAGAGCACATCTCGCCATTGCAGATCGTCCTTCTCCCAAACTTCCACTTCTTGGGTCAGCCCAAGCATCTCAAGATCTTGCGCAGACCAACGAGCCTTCAGCGTACGAACCAGATGTGAGTTGAGGAGATCCCCTGCCGCTTCGAGGCCCGCGCTTTTCGCGGCGGCCAAGAATTGCGTTTGCACGGACGCGAGAGCCATCTCATCTACTCGTTGATAATGCACTTTGAGCGTGAAGGCGTTCGCGCCCGCTGACTGGCTCGGTATCTTCCGTTGTAGCCGAGCCAGCCATTTTGCAGGCTGCTGCGGGAAGACAGTAGTGTGGGTTGCGAGGCTGCCGAAGCTGTCAACTTCCAGTCCTTCGGCATCTTCTATGTCACAGCGCTGGAGGACGATAGGTGCAGCAGTCGCTGGCGCAATGAGGAACTGCGAGAGCCAGTAATCACTCCGGTGTAGATCCTGGACGTTGACACTAGGCGGAAGACTGGTTTCTGCCATGCATGTCTGGTGCAGCGTAAACGACTCGCCATCTATGTCGAAGCCGAGCAGGCATTTCAAGCCAGCGACGACTTCCCCGTGACCCTCAAGAGAGTATGGTATTTTGATCCTGATCAGTGATTGGCGCTCGATCTCGTCGAACTGAAGAACCATGCCATCGCTGCTGTGACTAAGTTTCATGCTTGGGTGAGTTTCAGCATCGATCACTGTGGCATCTTGAAGTACTAATCGTAAGCCTGCTGTCCCAGGTCGCACGCGAAGATTGCATTGGCCGGCATCTTGACCTCCGAGGGTCATAGTGAGTGTCAGAGACCGCGGCAGGCTGAGGTCAATCGAATGAGACTGTTCGGCACTTAGACGGACTATCTCGGAAGACGGATAGACCATTATTGGCAATGACTCTGCTCTGATTTGGGCGGGCTTGGGACCGTTTTGCAAAGGATTCTTGCGTTCTGCCTCAAAGTCGTGTTCGAATCGTATGTTGCCGAGGCCAAGTTCCAGACGTTCGACCTGATACCACCCACTGGTAGACGTTGTGGTTGTGAATTTGATGGTAGTGGGCGCTTGTTTGAGCTCTAGTGGATCAGTGCTTTCGAGGACGATCGTTTGGGGATCGGATAATTCAAGGGCTCTCAGCGTCAACTGAGCAGAGCTGAATGCGCCTAACTTGGCTGTGAATTTGCTCCGAATTGTTAGAGATAAAGAGAATCCACCGGCTTGAGGCCGATGTGTAATCGACTGGTCGATTTGCACAACTTCGGCAATTGTATGCAGATGAACGCGAATGTTCGTGCTCCTCAGACCCACATTAACGAGCTGATCGGCGTGCTGTTGAGCCAGGCGGTAAGGTGTTTCACCCGGTGAAGTTTGAAGACAATCCAATAGACATAGAGCGAGGTCATCTGGCCGGTCCTCGTCCTTTAGACACTCGGCATACATAGCCAGCACATGAGGCTGAACAGCCACCAGTGGATCCTGAGACGCGGCTCCCATAATCGTGCTCAGACACTTTCTTGCGAAGGGTCTATCACCTTTGCTGAATGCCAGCATGGCTAGATCAATCAGAACTTGACGAGCAGAGTGTTTGTTGTCTGCTTCGACGTAGAGATGGTGCATTGCTTGCGACAGAAGAGAGTATAGCTCCTGAAAGCGATCTTCCAGGCTTGCCGCAATTTTCAAGACTGGCGGCTCAAGACATTGTAGCCTATTGCTGGACAAGTCGGTTTCGTCATGGGCGGGGGAGACTCCGTTGAGACCATTGAGGGTGGCAATGCTGAACTCGGATGACAGACGGTGCAAGTTTCGACTAGCATGTTCATAACCAGATATGTTAAGGTCTCGCAGTGCATTCACCCACCGACCAACAGCGGGGAGGTTTTCAACTGTCTTCCGTGCCAAGAGGAATATACGAGCTATTAGCGCTAACAGGCGATCATAGCCAGGCTTCTTTAACCCTGGTTGTTTGAACCGGTTCTCTTCAGAGTCGTTTCGCGATTGTGACGCGGTTCGGGAGAGCGATTCGGCTCGAAGGCCGCGTCTCGGGCTGGAGGCGGCAGAAGAGGCAGGTGATTGACCATTTGGTGTTTGAGGCGGCCGTTGATTGCGATCAAGCCTGGCATCTTCTTCCAGCACGTCCACTGAAGTGTCGAATTGTTCCAAACTGAGGTCGATGACCGGAAGAAGGTAGCCTAAAACCTGGGCAACCGCGGACCAGGCCCAAGAGGCAACAGCATTGCCTATGACGATCTTCTGAAGCGCGCGCTCCTCCCCTGAGAGACGTCCACCCCATGCATTGTGCAAATCCGCCCTCAATTCTCGCGAGCCCAAGTTGATGAAGTTCAGCGCGAGCTCTGCCAAATCAGCCATCACGTTGTAATCGACAGGAGCGTCTTTCCCATGCGGACTTGCAATGTTTGCACGCCTGAGCATGATCTCCATCTGTCGAGTAAATATGTAAATTCGAACATCGAGCGGAGAGACCTCGTTGGCGAGTATGAGATCGCGATATTTGCGTTTGTCGACATCGAAAGGAAGCTTCTCTCTATTCACCGCAAAGATCTCCGCCATGTATATACTTCTCCCATCATCAGCTGGGTCTGGCACTTTGTCGTCGAGGGCATGTCGAATCGTAGTCTTCAATTCATTAGAATATGGCAGCAGCGCACCACTAGTATCGCTGTCTCCCTTCTCATACTGCTCCTTAACGGTCATGTCCAACCCAACCTCGAGTTCGGAGTACACAGCAAGGGCATCATCGAGTAGCCCGACATTCTCGAAGCCACGAGCAAGTCCTTCCTTGAGGATGAAGAAGGTACAGAAATTCCAACCAGGCAGACTTCTTTGACCTTCCCGTTCTTTGATATCTTCTTCGTACTGCGCGACACGGATGTCAAATGACCTGAGTATGCTCGCCTTCAGATAGTTGGTGAAGTCCTGCCATTGCTCTTCGATCTCGGAAGGGGCTAGTGCGCCTGGTGGCTTCCCAGGTTCTGTCAAGCGGACTTGCGCAACTCGCGGCACGGTCAATTTCGAACTGCTGAAGTCTGCTCGTAGCTTATCGTAGATGGTCGAACTACTCTTGCCTGTCCATTTCGTCTTGCTGTTGACGCTATCCGTGCTCTCCGTATCATTGAGTGATAGGTGTTTAGACGAAACTGGCTGATTTGCGGCCTGAGTGCCTGGAATAACAACATGTACGATCATCCATTCAAAAGCATCGTGATGCTCCTGAACTTTGAGGGAGCTCTTACTTTCTTTTTCAAAGGTGTTCTCTTTGATCCACTGCTTGATCTCCTTCCTCGCCGTTTCTTTGTACGTATCTTTATCATCGCATCGAAGGAGGTACAGCTTAACATAGGGAGTCTCGCGGAGACCAGGAATCTGATGTCTTCGTGCAGATGATTGCGCTCCTGCCTGTGAGGGGTCTTTTCGCACGACGCTGGTATTGAGCGACGGGATAGATCGCAGTGGTCGGGTCGGTGATTTCCAGTGCAGGTTCTTCAGAGGTGTCCGCGGCGCGAGACGGGCCTCGAATGCCTCAAGGACGTTTGAAGGGTCGGTGCATTGTAGTATCACCTTGGAGGTTGAAGATGTAGACGCTGCTTCCATGATGCAGCTTGAGGGATAATCCAATCGTTGATATTAAGCGGGAACATTGTGACCAAGGGCTGGCAGACCACCACTCATCGGGTGAAGATGTCACAGTAGTCGACAGACCACCCTTGCCAGTGAATAAGCAGAATATTCTGAGGCCTAAGCCTGATATCGCAATCCGGATCAACGAGACGAGGCAACTGTTTTCATTTCGATCCGCTGCAGTTGCGGCCGAAGCGGAGTCTAAGCGGATCCACTACGCCAAGAGATGTCTCCGCAGTCGAGGCACCCAATCACATCCGTGTACGCCTCACGTCAGCCTTGTTGACTTGCAAGTCATTGATGGTACTACCAGGCATCAAAGTCTCTTCGGCTTTTTCAGTGACAGTGAAGGATGACGGTCCTCGCTTTTGGAGTCGACAGACTGAGTCACTCAGTGAGTCACTGGATGACTTGACCATGGACCCCGACTTCCCTTGACCGTCTCTTGCCCTACCCCTCCAAAGGTGGGTAGCGATTTCAATTGAAGTAGCTGACCTCCTTCTACTCTGCCAGTCCGCTTATCCTTCCAAGAAGCGGGCATTAGGTCAGGGCCCTCGTACCATCCCTCAATTCAAATCCTCTTGCGCTATCGCGCTTTGCATCTAGTACAACGCCAGCTTCCGCTGTGCCCAACGCTCTCCGGAGTATCACCGCCACAAAGATCATCGAGCTGCAGAAGCAGCGGGGAGACTCTGAGGAGGCGAAAGCTTCTATCGAGGAAAGTGTCAACAAGCACTCGGCGAGTGACACCCTTGGTCGGACCAAAGCCCTTCCGGAGGGCACCTGCCGTTTGAAATGCGTTCACCTCATCAACCACAATTCCCGCGAGGATGAAGATCTTGTGTACCATCAAGGCGAGCCATTCGCTGCCAAGCTGCGCAACCAAGCTCGCCTTCTCGAGCAATCTCAAATCGACCCGTCATTCCCCATGAATAAAGTCATCAAAATCCAGCGCGACCTTGCCAAGGACCTCGAGCTAAAGAGTGTGCGCCATGCTGACGCTGATCTCTTCTCTGAGCTTGTCACTGAATGAGTCAGCACAGATACGAACGCAAAGGAGAGCTCCAGCTTAACGAGCCCCAAGGATTCCACTTTCGAGAACATTGGCCGCTAGGAGATGCTTGGACAGCGGAAAGGATGGGAATCAAATGTATTCAGAGAAGCTAATATTGACTTTCGGCGTTCGCGCGGCCGACCTCTCTGAAGGCTTCTGGTTCTTTCCTGTCGCTAATGGTGGGATGGAGACTCGCAATCCCGTAGTACCTCTGATCAACATGCGTCAAGACTTCCGGTACACCCTAGAGCGCATCATCGAGAAGGCCAAGGAAAAAGAGGACGCTGCATACAGCCAAGCAAAGGTTATTATGATGGCCACAACTTTGGCTATGGTGTCGATCCTGGAACACCAGAACTCAAATCCAGCTTGGGATTGACAGGCGATGAGGCGTTCATGAGCAAGGAGGAATACCTCGAGTATCGTGAGGAACGCTCTCCTGGACTCTTGTGGGCATATGAACAGCTACCCAAGGTGCCACACGAGCATGCAATCGAGAAGACGGGAGATGTTGAAGGCCTGATGGCTCCTGGCGATCGCGTCTGGGCGGCGAGCAAAGGGGGCATCAAGCACGGATGGTCTGACATGGATCCCTACTGGAAGTACATTGTCGCTTGCTATGGCAAAGATCTACGATCGGTATGGTAGTCTTGAGCTGGTTGACAAGGCGCAGGTCCCGCTTGGAGTCGTCAGTGTCATGAAAGCTGGCAAGGTGCGCTGGCAAGGATGAATGGGTAGACGCACTGCCCTTGTGACGAATCGTGAGCGGCGGATGCGACAATGGGCATGACGATTAACGACGTGGTATGATACCCTCTCCTCGATTTTTAATGGATGAGGAGTTCTTCGCAGAAAGCGATTGCACCTACTACTCCACACGAGTATTAATGAGAAGAGAAGTCCACTCCCTTGCAGGGGGTGCTCCTAGGTTTGAGATTGCCAGATCTGAGTGCAAGGCTGTCGGTATATAGCAGAATCGCCCCGAATACACCGACTAGCGGGTAGTAAATTACTAGCGGACAACGCATCCGAAGACACTTGCCATGAATTGGTTTACAATGCGACTCTATTCTGCCTTGACTTGACCCGAGCAGCGAGCACGTCCGTCGTAAGTCTCCTTGGCTCCAGCACCCCACACCCGCTGACCCAGTCTAAGTCAAATGCAATCGGAACCAGGCTCGGTCAAGACTGCTCCCACCGGCTCTGGTCACGTATAGTTGTCTAAGCTAGCCGGTAAGACGAAGTACGGGGAAGACTTAGCCCCACACAACACCTCCGGGCGAAAGAGTCCCCACATAGATCTCCGGGAGTTTCAACAGCGGAGTTGAGATCTTCCGCAGCCTGTACAGCAGTAAGACGGTTCTCAGACTACCTCCGTAGTACAGGACTTGTGTTCGATTATACCTTTCGACATTTCTACAAGACGTTACGAAAGCTGGACGCTGAGCGTCAATGCTGAAGCACCCACATAGATTGGCCATTGGGCTAGCGAGTCAGGCGACATCCAGTGAAGACAGCCGTATAGACTCCTTTTAGTACCAAGAGCATGGCAGGTAGATCTAGCAGATGGAAAACATACTGTGTAGACGCGTATGTCTGTCACGGAGATTGCTAACCCGAGCCGAAGCTGAGATGCCAGGCCCGAACATCTGTCCCAGCCAGCAGTATCGGTCTCGTCGGCGGTGTTACCGACTCCGCCGAGATGCTTGAGGTCTTGCATCGTTCTTGGCCTTCCTTGACTGCTGGGCGCTGATTGATGCGGAAGACTCCGCTCAGTCGCCAAGCAGCGTTCCATCCCGCTTCCCCTTCCCCCTTCCCTTCTTGTTGTCGCCTTGGAACTATCATTCAGGCCCTGACCAGGCCTCCGCACGGCGGTCATACCGACGGGGACCCCGGGGTATGACTCGACTCAATTCTGGGGCCCCGGTGCAACGCCCGGTGGGGAGGCTGGGCGATGCTCTCTGAAAGCTCGAAATGTATATAAGAACGCGTTTCGCCATGTGTGTGTTTCCTAGACCAGGGCCCGGTCTGAGTCTCCGAGACACCGACACGCCTCGCATCCCTCAGGCTCACTGTTCAGCTCCAGTCCTGCTGTTTTTGGAGGAAACCCACTGCAGCAGTAGCCATGGCCGTCTCCAAAGTACCCGACTCGTTTCCAGCCGAGAAAGAGCTCGTGCATCAAGAGAAGGTGGTGACCTCAGACAATCCAGCTGAGACCCACTACTATGAGCAATTTGTCAATAATGGCGAAGCCTGGCGCAGCGATTTCGAGAAGAAGCTCGTCCGCAAGGTGGACTGGCGTCTGATTCCTCTGCTCATTATCATGTATCTGAACGTGAGTCCATTCAAAGCGGCTGCAGTCCCCTCACCAGCCATCCTCTGTTCTGATCACTAACACGCATGCCTTCAGAACTTCATAGACCGCGCTGCACTTGGCCAAGCCCGCCTTAGCACGCTTGAGGAGGATCTCGGGATGTCCGGCACTGACTTCAACCTCTCCATCTCGATTCTATTCGTCGGCTACCTCACCATGCAACTGCCATCCAATCTCCTCATCACCCGAGTGCGCCCTTCGCTCTACCTTGGGGTGACCATGGCCGTCTGGGGCGCAGTCTGCGCTTGCACGGCAGCTGTCCAGAACCTGTCGGGCCTCATCGTCGTCCGGATTTTCCTGGGCGTTACTGAAGCTCCCTTCTTTCCAGGAGCCATCTTTCTAATGAGCTCATGGTATACTAGGACGGAGCTGACGCGACGAATTGCGTGGTTCTACGGCGGCGTCGCCTTGGCTAACATGTTTGGAGGCCTGATCGCTGCAGGCGTCCTGTCTCGAATGGAGGGTGCTATGGGAGTCGCAGCTTGGCGATGGTACGCAACTCCGTGCTTTCAATCATCGGTGATGACTGACTAGCTTCTAGGCTCTTCATCATCAACGGTGCTATCACTATCTTCTTCGCCATCACGTGCATCTTCATCATTCCCAACTTCCCCAAGAACACCAAGTGGCTCACCGAGGAACAACAAGCCTATGCCCAGTGGCGCCTCAAGCAGGACGCGGAGGAAGAAGACGACAGCGGCTCCACCTCGCTCTGGCAAGGCCTTAAGCTCTGCCTCACCGACTACCGCATGTACATTTTCATGCTCATGCAGCATCTGTCCATCCTGTCGCAGACTTTCCAGTATCTCTTCCCCTCGATCGTGCAGACTCTGGGCTACGGGCGCATCGAAACCCTGCTCCTCACCGTGCCGGTCTGGTTTGGCACCTGGTGTGTCGCAATCCTCGTCACCTGGACCGCTGATCGTTTTACCGACCGCAGCATCCACATCATGTGCCTTTTAGGTGTGTCCGCCATCGGCAACGCCATTGTCGGCTCCACGCTCAACGTTGGCGCCCGCTTCTTCGGCATGTTCCTGGTACGTTCCACTCCAAAAGTCATCTCCCGCTTCCCAGCGGGCGCACTCATCCTCTCCACATCCCCACCCTCTCAAAACCTCTTCCGCTAATTGACCCACCTGTAGATGCCCATGGGCGCCGTCTCAGCCTACCAAATCATCGTCGCCTGGGTCGCCAACTCCTTCATCCGGCCCATGGTGAAACGCTCCTCTGCCATCGCCATCTGCAACGCCATCGGCAACTGCGCCTCCATCTACGGCACCTACTTCTACCCCAGCGCCCACGAGCCCGGCTACACGCCGGGATCTGCCGCGAACGCTGGCGTCTGCGTCGTCGTGGCGCTGCTGGCGCTCTCCCTGCGCTTCATCCACAAGTGGGAGAACAAGAAGCTGGGGAGGGTTGAGCGGGAAGGGTTTAGCGGTGAAGAAGGCGCGGATCGGAGGGGGTTTGGGTTTAGGTATGTGTACTGAGTGCTGCAAAGCTGTTCGTATCGACGTCATGGTGCGGTGAGAAGCCATGGTAGAGCATATGAGCGTCCGCATCCTGGCTTCCGGATTCTGATTTCCGAGAGAGTCATGGACAGAGTCGTTGGCTGGTAGAGTTGAGAGTCAAGCGTAAGCACGGATAGCCCGGCAACGTACTTCAAAGTATTTGCGTTGTACGCACTCTCTCAGTGTTCTCCGCAATCCCAGATACTACGCAGATGTTGGTATCCATGGTGTAACTGGCCGCGGTGCTCGTGCGCCGGAATATACATGCCGCGTTTTGTGAAGAAGTGGTCTTGTGACCCGTAGACGGGCTTCGGGGCTGGCGTGCCCGACAAGTGTCAATTTACATGCCATCTTTTGTGGCTCGCGCTCAAGCTACATCCGCAGGACTGCGAGAATGCTGTCTCACGGGCGTAGGGGTCTACGGAACCCTCGACTTGTTCCAACGCCAAGACTTTCACTGCCTGGGAGTGGGCCGCTCGGTGCTGAGTCTCTTGCGGCTTCGCAAGGATCCTACGAATCTCTCTGAAAATACCGGTGGAGGCTGTTGTGTGAATGTGATTTCCATGGAAGATACGATGTGTAGTCTTGGGTTAAATCCCGATGCAGAACAAGAATCCTCGTTCATCTTGTCCATTGGTTGTGGCGTGAATAGCGTAAATGTAGAGGATTGGGAAACTTCACTGACTTCAAATATCTGCTGCTCGGCCGTCTCTCGTCGACTGTGCTCGTCTTACGATATCCTACACAAGAATCCCGGTTCGGAGGCACCGATGGCATGTTTCATCAGGGGCCTGATGCGTATAGCCACTCTACTGGCAATGCGGCTGCACCTTCTTGCCTGCGGGTACGGGCTCGGTGGAAAACCTATCACCGGATCAGCACCACAGAGCCTGTACAAGGTAAGCACGCTAGCTGACCGAGCATTTCCTGCGGCTCAGCCTCCATAAAGTAGATCAATGAACGTAGTGATATACTTAAGTCTGCCGCTTTTGCGGATGTCGTCATGTCGTTCGCTGTTCTTAGCGGACATCCCCATCGCGCCTCACGCCTCTCTCCGCGGAGGCCTCGGCTGCCCCAATACCCCGTACATATATCCCCAGACATATCTTAGTCGCCAAAAACGCCCTCGACCACCTCCCAAAGCCTCCCGAAATTCACCCGCAACAACCATGGCCTGTCCAATCCCCCGCAAATACCCACCCAAGCAGCCCCCCTCCTGGAAACCCCCCGTCCCCCGCTGGCAGCTCACCTTCCCCTCCACCATCAACGCCGTGCACACGCTCTACATCGGCATCCAATCGCACACGAGCCCCAACCCGGCCCTCTCCTCCGCTCTCGCCTCCCTCACCACCTGGCTCGCCCACACCGCCCGCCCCGCCAGCATCGACGCCTTCCTCACCGAAACCACCCTCGCGCACGACCTTCCGCACTCCCGCGTCTGGGTCCTGTACTTCACCTCCCCCACTGTCTTCACCGCCGCGCTCGCGACATTGGATCTGCCAGCGCGTCACCGCGCCGCAGGGCCAACCGTGGGCTTCTGGGCCGAGAGCTTCAGCACGCCCATCTCGCGCCTCGAGACCAATTATGCGGGTTTGCACGAGCGGCCCGGCCTGGCGAGGCTGTCGGAGGTGGGGCGGGAGGGCCACGAGTTGAGCGCATATTGGGGCGCCGCGAGGGATCGGATTCCGGCGTCGGGGGAGGATTTGTTCGCGTTGCCCGGCTCGAAGGTTCCGGAGCCTGACGGGAGGAATGGGGATGGGGAGGAGTTGAGGGAGGCGCGGGGGAAGGGTGAGAAGGCGAAGACGACGTGGCATGTCACGGACGAGTTGAGTACGGAGAGCGATGCGGTGGAGGTGCAGATTTTGAGGGAGACAGAGGTGCCTAGGGGATATGGGCAGCGGTTGGTCGGTGGGAACTATGATAACATGACGCATATCCGCTCCGGACAGTGCTGGGACCAGTGTCCGGAGGACGAGGCGGAGGCGTATACGCGACCGGGAGGCCTGCAGGAGAAGTTGATGAAGGGTATGGAATATCTTTGGACGCATCCGGAGGAGACGGGAACGTTGGGGCTGCGGTGGTTGAGGAATGTCGTGTCAGACGAGAATAAGAAGCCGGAGGGCGAAGCACGAGCGGACGGAACGAGCGTGCGACCCATCAACGAGACCTGTGGTGCCGGCTTCTTCAGGAATCTGAAGGATCTGGAGAACTGGTCGTCGACACATCCGTCGCACATGGCCATCTTTACGGGCGCGCACAAGCACGCGAGGGAGTGGGGGTCGGACAGGAAGTTCATGACCTGGCATGAAGTGTCGGTGTTGAAGAGGGGAGAGGCAAGGTGGGAGTACGTTAATTGCGACCCTAGGACGGGAGTGGTGCGATACGTGAAGATGGACAGTGTGGAGGACCTCAGTGCTAAGCAGTAGGAATAGGTTATGTAGAAGTATGCTTATGTATCATGTCCTGCAAATGTAGTTGTCGGAATCTTTTGCTTCTGCTGAAAATATTCAATGTCGAAGCTTAGCTGCCACACGCGAAGTCATGTACTGCTTCGTATTTGGCAGGAAACAGCAAGCCACAATGGCGCAGATGCCGAATGGAATGGTGGCGTACCACACAAACTTCAAGCTCTCCGCGTACGCCCACCGCGCCCCCATCGCTGCAGCCTGTTGGATCTCCGGCGTAACTCCTGGGACTTCGCTTACCTGCTCCGGCGCGGTGAGGAACGCGCCAACGAATGTCTCAGCGCTGGAAATCGGCAAGCCAGCTCTGACGGCGTATTCGCCAACATAAGCGGGAAGTTTGGGTGTGAGCTTATTGATGAAGACGTTGTAGTAGATGGCATAGCCGATGGAGCCGCCCACGGTGCGGATCGCGAGCGAGAGGGCTATACAGGTGGCGATGGTGGTGTCCGGGCAGACCATGACGGCGACGGTGGCTGCTGGGACGAGGACTCCACCGACGCCAAAACCTGTCATAGTCGAGAGGGCGACGACGAGCTTGCCATCGTTGGGGGTGATGCATGCCAAAGAGCCAGAGAAGGCCGCTACTTCATGTCAACTGGGTGAGCTAAGTTTGGCAGAGGAGCTTACTCATGATGATGCAAGAGCCCAAGAGAAGCTCTCGGTTCCAGCCTCTGAACCACGTGAGACATGCGTTGATGAAGACAGCGCCGAATGTCGTCTGCTAGAATAAGCTGACGGCCTCGAGGGACGATATATGGTCACACATACCGAGAGTCCTGGGGCTAACCCTTTGAGCCCAACCTGCACCGGATCTGGAGGAAAGACATCGTGGAACAGTATAGGGAAGAAATTGAGCATCCCGTAGAAGTTCATGCCGGCAACCTTTTGGCATGGTTAGCGCTGAGATATAGCACACCCTCGAGCTTGGATCGGATGCTACTCACAAATGCGATGCCATAAGCCATGGCCACAATTCGCTGCCCAGAGAACATTTCACGAGGCACCATTGGCAGCTTTGAGACCCTCCACTCCCAGAAACAGAAGGCACCGATCAACAGCACACCAATGATCATGGTACAAAGAACATAAGCGCTCTTCCAAGGGTGTGAGTAGCCACCGGCTTGCATAGCAACCAGGAACAACGTGAGACCGCCAACAGAGGTAATTCCGCCAACGTAGTCAATCTTTGACAGGATTGATTTGGTGCCGTCACCGTGGATTCGGGACTGAGAGAGCGGGAAGTAGAGGACCAGGATTCCAACCCACCAAAATCCATTCCACATGCTGGGCTGATGTTGGTCGAGGATTCATAGGCGTAGGCTTGCACTTACAGGCAGATCCAGATGCCCCATCTCCAAGTGTGGTACGTGCTCAGCAGCTGGGCAAAAAGAAGGTACGGCGTGAACGGGAGCACGAAACCCGTCACCAGCGCGAGGTAGTAGCCACGGCTTTTGACAGGCACGAGCTCTGCAGTGCTGTCCAGTGGTCAGCCACAAGCCACTCTTCAGATTCAGAGGCGGACTTACCCAGCCAGCGCCGTCAGTTCACCAATAGCCGCACCCGCACCGGCCAGTGCCATGCCGACCACGCCCTGCCCAAAGGTCTTTGCCGTCGCCAGAACAATGATTCCGATCAACAGCACCAGACCTCCAACGAGCGTGATGTTTCGTCGGCCAATGAGATCCTGGAGATATCCGGAAAAGGGGGCCACTGCGGCCAGGGCAAGGGCGTACGCAACTGGGAGCCATGCTGAGGCAGCGACGCCACCGATGTCTGCGGCGATGAAGCTCAGGGAGCCGCCGACGAAATATAGTGGGATTTGGGAGCCTGTGAGGGGTCAGCGGGTTGGAAGGGAAAGTATGGGAATCACAGGTAGTTGTGCAGGAAGCGGAAGTAGAGTAGGCAGTACCAACGTAAAGGCCAGACAAGGAAAGAGCAGCGCCACGGTCTTTCCATGTCCAAGGCGTGTTGTTGAAATGGTCAGAGTAGTCAGGTGGATCTGAATCATGACTGGGTACCTGCTGGGCCGGAGTCGCGACCTCATGATGCTCGGTGGCAGTATGTTTCTCCTCGTCAGTACGTGCCATGTCGACCGGGCTCTTCTCTTGGATAGCAGCCATTATCGCGGAGAGTGGCGGATGACCCAGCAACTTCCAGACTTCCAGCAGGGACCACCACAACTTACTTATCTAAGATACAACGATCCCTTGTGGGTTCGCCCCGTTCGATCCCCAAGCCACCAAATGCATTGTCCCCACCCCCGCAGTTGCCTCGTAACCTAGACCCCGGATTTTCGCTAAACTCTCAATGGCACTTCATTGCCTCGGTGATTTTCGGGTAACGCTTACATGAGGCGGCACTTCGCTCGAGACTTTGAAGACCCTGGGGCCAGACCCTCTGGACGTTGACACTGACTCGCTGCCACGCCAGAGACGAGGAATCTGACCCGAGCAGCCGACCACTTGGGGACTGTCCCCTTTGAGATCTCTCTGTGTTTCCGTTTGATCACTGGCGGTTGTTGCCGTGTTGCAAAGCTGATCAAGAGTCACACAAGCGATATCGACTCGTGTTGAACTCTTTGGAACAGGGGGATTGTCACCACTCGGGTCTGGCCCTCGTTCACGACTCGTTACCTAACTCCTGCGTTCCAGATACCCTGGCACTGGGGTAAAGATCGCCGAGAACTGACTCAGTGTTGTGCATCGACTCAGTACAGATCCTGGGACTACAGATGGCCAGTTGGAGCTTCTAGAGAATCAAAGTTTGTGAACATATGCAAAAATATATTCTATTATGGAATCATTTGTTATTGGGGACAGACTTTGATATCGTGCTGTCGTGCTCGAGGACTCACGGTTGTCTGGACTCACCTGGACCACACACAGTAGCTACTATTAGTTGCCCTGCATTCTCGAAAGCAGGAAAATACACTCGCGGGCTTTCCCCAGCGCACCTAGCGCCGCTTGCAAGGCATGGAATCAGTCTTACTTTTTACGTCAAGCCTGAGGGTGAACGTCTCAGCAATATTCGGCTGAGATATGACTCGACCGTGTGGCTTGTTATGAGCGCCTGCGGTTTCCACGTGTATACACATTTGGTCCGGCCGGTTTCAGACCATAGCATTGGAATGGCACTACTACGCGAGGCGTCTTTTCGGATCTCAGGACAAGGTGTTAACTGAGGTGTAGTAACTGGTGTCTCAAGCCTTAAAATCACACCTCCATATTGAAGACAGAAACTTGATTCTCGTCTACAAAGAACGAAACAATCACTACCAGTCTCTGGATTGATATTATTTCAACATCCATCAGAGAATCTGCATCTTTCTGAGATTTATATTCATGTACATTGTCTCAGCCTGAATGCTTCGCCCCTTTGCCCGAGAAGCAAGCACTGATCGCGACGGGCGGCTTGCACTTTGCATGCTATGGACATCTCTGCATGCTGGCCACGGATTGCCGTGCATCGACTTATCAGGTTCGATGCTCTATGCTCGGCAGTACATGATCCGTCATGTTTTGAACGGACGCGAGCAGTATCAGCTAATCAGACCACGTGCTGCTGGGCTATCTACAACGACATAACACTGTCCTCCTATCCTCGATGTGCGTGAAGTCACTGATATGTAAACACAATCAGCAGCATCCTCACCACCAGCATTCGGACATCATGCTTGACTCCCGTCGTGGCCGTGATGAGGAGCCCGTTCAACCCACCTTGCTCAACCCCTTCTGAGTCGAGGATCTACAAGGCACATCCACGGCTTCCGCGTTTTCTGTAACTAGCAGCATCGTGCCATATATCATCACGACACTATTCTGGCATGCCTAGCAATATGATAGTGGCAGGCATCCAACAACCCTTGAGCACATTTTCGGATTGCACACGTAGTCCTGCAAGCTGGAATCATAGGCTCACAACCATCTGCGAGTTTTCCAGCGAACGCAGCCCAGATACGGGTAAATCCTCCATGAAACACAGTCGGCGCAGGTCTCGACGGCCGGGCCTTCAGCTCCGATCTCGAGTTCAGCGAATTGGCATGTAGGGTGTTCCGTATGAGGCTGATTCGCGTCCCTGTGAATCTCAACTTGGAGCTTGGGTAGCGATTTGCCTGACTGTCCCCGGCAGTGGACCACTGTTCATATCAAATGATTCCTAACCGATCACCGCATCATGCTCGAGTGTCAAGTTTGGGAAATGCCCCTGATTGAACGGAATACCGCCTTCGCCCCTTCCCTCTTCGCTGTGTTAGCCAGTTGCAATTCTAGACGTAGCAGGTCAATATCATCAGCCGCCGAGACTGGCACTCCAAGCTCGGCCTCACTGATCTGCACAAACCTCTGTTCCGCGCTGGGACATCCAAGCACATTGCCCTTCCACCAGCACCGCGCAGTACTCACCCCTGTCGTTGGCACCGAGGTGCAGACTCGCAGCAGAGCCATATCAGATACCGCCAACATGACCCACTTGCCTGACGCCATACAGCCCCCTAGAGATGCTGGTCGGAAGGCAACATCCCGAAGCGCAACCGCATCGCCAGCAGCGGCGCCCCAGTCCGTCGCGCAAGTAATGCTTTGCCCCCAGCGATGACAAGAACCTACAGTCGGTAAGTCCTTCTGACAACCTGCACCAAATGCTCAGACATGACGTCTGTCTCTCCGGTTCAGTTGCGATGCTCCCACTGTTTGGGAGAGGGCAGGAAACAACCTCGTCGCAGCGTTCCGTGGCTTCTCGGCATGGATCCCTCCTTGCGGCGGCGTACCTATGATCTCACCTGAGAGTTGCTGCGCTGATCGTACGCAATTCGATGCACGGTCGCGTGCTACGAGGTACTTTAGAGCGACGCGCACGCCCAATTACGACGCAGAAGCAGACGCAGTAGTTGATTGAGGTATGCCGCTACGGCGGAGTGGCGTACCCACCTGCGCACTTTGACCACCGTAGATCAGCTTTTGCTGCGATCAGTCGATGACATTTTATTTCCCGTTTGTATGGATACGGATATGGAATCAGATAGACAAAGATAGCGCTGGACCCTGTCTTCGGCTGCTGATAATGTCGCTTACTGGGCCTCACGGACTTCCAGCGATCTGTGATATCTTGGCGCGCAAGACCACACAAGATTGCATCCGAGTCTGCCGAGATGCCAGAGATTCGTCGCATGGAAGGACTGACATTATTAGAATTGGTGGTTGCGCACCAACTGCGGCTTTGGCTGTGACGTGAACTGTTAGCGCGCAAATCCCGTTGGGGAATCACCGGCCGCTGGGATTCCAGTTCGGATCACAAGTACCCTGGAATATCCGCGCGTTGCAAATATGGAGTCAAGTTAATCGAGATGATTCCAGGCCATAACTCACAGCCACAACCCAAGACTCTGGGCAAAACAGATAGTCTGGAGATAACGAGTCGAAACCCCCTTTTTTGGTCATGCTGAATGATCACTGGGCCGATACCAGAGTTACATCAGTGATTCCCTTGTATGGCGTAAAAGCTGCGAAGACTCCACCGGGGGCCACCGGGCAGCTGGCCGCCAAGAGCAAGCTGACTTTCGGAGCAGGAACCACCTGCCATAAACTCGCGTGCGCCGGGCCAGCAATCTATCTCTGCCTGGACTATTATAGGTCAGGATAAGTGCGGAGGGGGTCCCTCGGCCACGTCCGCCAAAGAGGGGGGAGCGATACACCACAGGAGGGTCCTACCAAAATAGACCCTGGGCCCCGGGTGGAGCGTTGAGCAGCAGCGCCCAGCAAAGGAGGGTAGCATGGCGGACCCTTGGCGTAATCTTCGACTGGCTTGGCCTCGCACAGCCGGTGCCCCATAGGATGCCCATGGATGCCCATGAATGCCCACAGGGTGCCCATAGGCGTGCCCGCAGGTGACCCTCCGACCCCATTCGACCACCATCGAAATGTTTTGCCAAGGATTCCCGCCTCTCGCTTGTCACAATCTGCTGTCCCGCTTATGCGTGGCTTGGCGAGAGGAGACAAGAAGAAACCACGCGATAGCGAATGCAACACCGCATCGTGCTTTCCCGCGCGCCAATAACGCCATGCAAGCAAATCTTGCCGAGGCCCGCCGCGTGCGACGAATGGGTTGGTTGATGTGGGCGATTTGGGGCATGCGATCATGCACAAGTGTCTCTGGGTGGGTCGCCCTTTGCCCTCGCTCTCCCCGGATACTTACATAGAACTTTCTATCCCTTCGATCCCGGATTCCCTTTTTCTTTTCCTTCCCAGACTCGCACCGCAGCTTGCAGTCACCTTCTGTCTGCCACACACAGCCATCATGGCAACGATCACGGACAAGAATGCGCAAGAAAGCGCGAGCGACACCCCTCCCAGCTTGGAGAAGGGCACCGCCGACCGTCGCCCCAGCGCGGGAGATGGCTACGTCCCCGCCAACTTGCGCGAGGAGGATTTCCGCACCCGCAACGGTCTCAACTTGAAGAGCTTCCAAAGACGTGTGTATAACCTTGCACTGCAAAGAGCGGCGTGGACTGATCGAAAATCCAAACAGGTGACTGGGGAACTCGCGACTCCGAACTCGACCGCTCGATGAAAAAGCGCCATCTGAACATGATCGCCATTGGCGGTTCCATTGGTGCCGGTTTCTTCGTAGGCTCCGGTGGTGCGCTCGCCACTGGTGGGCCAGGCTCAATTCTGCTGTGTTTCTTGATTGCGGGTGTCATGATTTTCAACGTCGTGCACTCTCTGGGCGAATTGGCTGTCATGTATCCGGTTTCTGGTGGTTTCTATACCTATGCTGTGCGCTTTATTGATCCGTCCTGGGGTTTTGCCATGGGTTGGAACTATGTGAGTCTTTCTATGGACGTCCATTGATGGCCTGAATGAGCTGACCGATGCCCAGGTCCTGCAATGGATCATTGTGCTACCGTTCGAACTTGTCGTTGCCACCTTTACCTGCCAGTACTGGAACCGGGATGTCAGTATAGCAGTATGGGTGACGGTCTTCTGGGTTGTCATCATCCTGATCAACATCTTCGGCACCCTAGGCTATGCCGAGGAAGAGTTCTGGAGTTCTTGCTTCAAACTGGGCGCTGTCGTTATCTTCATGATTGTTGCCATCATCCTCATTTGTGGTGGTGGCCCATCTGACGGTCTGTACGACGAGTATTGGGGTGCACGCCTGTGGTATGACCCCGGCGCGTTCCAAAACGGCTTCAGAGGATTCTGTTCCGTCTTCGTCACCGCTGCCTTCTCCTATGCTGGCACTGAGTTGGTCGGTCTGGCAGCCGCCGAGTCAGAGAACCCCTTGAAAGGTACGTCGCTCCACCGGTCCTCCACCATCAGGTTGCGAAATACAATGCACGGTTTCATCATGGTACTGACTGGTTGTCCAATTTAGCACTCCCCTCGGCTGTCAAGCAGGTTTTCTGGCGGATCACCTTGTAAGTTGGGCCAAAGTATGGCTGACGATTCGACACTGACATTGGATAGTTTCTACGTCGTCGGCCTCACGCTTGTCTGTATGCTGGTTTCTTCCACCGACGAGCGCCTGCTTAATGCGGAGAACGCCTACCGAGAGGGCACGGCGCCTTTCGTCCTGGCAGCTCGCGATGCCGGTCTGAACGGCTATGATGACTTCATGAACGTGGTTATCTTGGTCTCGGTCGTATCTCTGGGCGTCTCCTGCGTGTATGGAGGGTGAGTTTTCCCCGGGCTGGTCATTTCGCTCCGAACTCTGTACTGATGTGCTCGACAGCTCGCGCACTCTGACTGCCCTTGCCGAGCAGGGATATGCACCCAAGATTTTCACCTATATTGATCGATCTGGCAGACCCCTGCCTTCCGTGCTTGTCAACCTGGCATTTGGCGCGATTGCATACGTCCAGCTTGCTGAGGATGGATCGACCGTGTTTGGATGGTTGTTGGCAATGTCTTCGCTGGCCGCACTCCTGACCTGGGGCTCTATTTGCTATGTAAGATTCATGGTCAGCGTCTCGAGAGAGAGGAAAACTAACATCTTTCAGTCTCACATTCGGTTCCGTCAAGCTTGGAAGCGACAGGGTCACACCGTCGACGAAATCCCCCACCAGGCCATCTTCGGTGTGTGGGGAGCCTGGGTTGGTCTCATTCTCTGCATCGTCATCTTTGCCGCCCAATTCTTCGTTGCGGTCGCCCCAGTCGGTGGCGGTGTCAACGGTGCCGAGGGTTTCTTCAACTCGATGCTCACGGTCCCTGTGGTCCTGTTCTTTTGGGCTGTCGGGTATCTGTGGAAGCGTCAAGGCTTCCTCAACCTGGATCAGATCGATGTGGATTCTGGACGTCGTCCAATTGATTGGGAATACGTGCATGAGCAACGCCGCCTCTACGCCGCCTATCCCTGGTGGAGGAAGGCTATCAGCGCCGTGTGGTAGTCGGTGTTCCTGGAGGCCAATCTGGCGCTCTTACAGGCTAGACTGAGCAATCGCTCTATGCTTGGGATGCACAGCAAGAGTGACAGACTGGGGTGTCCTTGGTGACCTGGTCAGTATCGCCGCTCTTGCGCAGCCAGGTTGCCTATCGTTACTACATGCAGGAATAGCTTCAAAAATCCGTCTAGACCCTTGGCTAGCATTGTCGCAATTGAGACCCTATTATCAATCGTAACCGCTGCTTGGGACTGCTGGCTACGGCTAGGCGGCAAAACGGAAGCTGGGAGTCATGGTTTCTGAGGATGGAGACCACTTGGCGTTCTCAGCTTAGCTGACCCCACTGGCGGCTCTCACTTGCCTCAAGACGCGGGGAACAGCTCATGCTTTTCTTAGGTAAGGAGTAGGCACCCCGCAGCCACGATCCTCTAGCCTGCGGGGAGTTGCAACCTGCAGCAAATGTGAAATCAACGCCATGAGTCTGAAAAAGTCCTAAGCGGAGGGTAGCAGACCATCAAGCCTGATCTCGAATCTCTATACGGGCTATGCGCCCCTAATACGACTCCCGTGCATGGGCCTGGCAGCGTTCCGTCTTTCTCTCACCGCCAATTCCGTCGTCCTCGCATACTTTCGCGGCGGGCTGTCATGAAGAAGCGTCAAACTGCTCATTGTTGATGGAGGGACATCCAAAGACCACGTCATGACTCACCTCACAGTGCTATACTGACCCTCGCAGACGTAAATTGGTGAACAAGGACAGCTCGGATTCCTCATGCATCCCAGGAATAACCAAAGTCATGAGCTCAGGATGGGACCAACAAGACCAGCACGTCCCCCGGCTCAACTAGATCCCCCTTCTGCTTTAGCACCGCCACAACGCTGTATTTTGGGCCGTCTCCTGGCGCCTTGACGGCAATCTCCATCTTCATGGCCTCCAGTACCAACAGGTCTTCGCCAGATTTCACCATGCTGCCGTTGGATGCAACCTGCTTCCATACCCGGGCACTCATTGTCGCGAGAACGCGGGTGGCATTGGCGTCTGTCCTAAACGTCAGCATAACTCACTTCCACGCCAGACATCTACTGACTGCTTTCCAATAGAGCCGCATCCTTGTCCTGCTGCTTCTCCACGCCTTGATCTCCGCGCGCTTGCTTCTCGGCCTTCCACCGCTGCAGCAACTCGTTTTCCCTGGTCCGCCATGTCAGCTTCATCACACCCACACCAACCCCCCTTCGTGACAGAATGATACTCACTTCTCAAGCTCAATGGCCGCACATTCTCTTTGCCGCTGTCCAATACGCGCGACTTCCTCCGCCGTGTCTCTCGTCAACTGGATGTACTTCTTCATTTCGAAAACAGAATCCTCCACTTTGATCTCATACAGGCCCATCTGAAAACGCTGGTTGATCGCATCGAACTCGGCACGCGACACGGCATGGAAGACTACCTGATCGAAAGTGTTGTACAGCCACGGTGCATCAGGAGTGTAGTTTGGCTTGCGGCCGAAGGTGTCGAATGGACAGCCGGGCAGGGTCATGCCCCAGAGTCTAGGACACGGTCAGCAACCTTCTCACGTCGCACGCTTGTTCTGTGGACCATACAGATAGCCACCGGGCCTAGATCTTGATCAGCAAGTGTTCGGACTGATCCGAGAGAGGGAGAAGGCATACGAGTCAACCGGATATATCGATGAGGTATTACCACCTGTTCCCAGCGCACCTGCCGGCGTAACAGTCCGGGACGGGTTCGTCTTCGGCACCGTCAGTCTTTTCCTCGGATCGATAGGCATGAGGATGGGCAAGCCCATGATCCCAGAAGACGCGACGACGAGAAACGGAACCCCATTCACAGCTTTCAGCACGTCATCTCTCTTTTCGAGGCCGTTGTTTCGTCGGATGAAGTCAATGTTGTCCGGCAGGTATGTGGCATAAGGGCGCTGTGTCTCCATGTATCGGGCTGTCGCCTGCACACATTCTTCCGCGTCGAATACCATGGGTAGGTGAAAAGTCTTGCTGGGCGTTGTGAAATTCGATACATCGCTGAAGCTTCGCTCGAGGTTGACCAGGGCGTCGACGGCGGTCTTTTGATCTATTATATGGGAATCAAATGCGACAAAGACGCTCATAGTATGCGGTCGTGTGACGCGTTGGAAGCCTCGAGGTGGCCTCTCACCAACAGCCCGCACCAGCTGCTGTGCGCGGGTTCGTACGGTAAGGTCAAAGACCTGCGATCCAAAGTCGCAGAGGATGCCTCGATCGCCTGCCTGGCGAAGCACGAGACGAGGCAGACCGTTTCCTGACTGCTCGACGCGTTCATAGAGAACAGAAGACTCGGGCACTGGTCTGCTGATCTCCCACGATGTCGCCACATTAGCCGCACCATTAGTCTCGCCAGCCGTTACCGCCACCGCGACTTTCCGTACAAATTCCTCCTGACTCTTCTCCAACTCCATCGCCTGCTCCCACGAGCACTGTGCAAACCGAACACAGTCGCCGGGCTTAAGCTGCCCCAGCCTCCACATCTGACACGACAACACCGTCTGCGGACAAATGAACCCCGACTGCACCGGCGAATCCATCGTGAAGACCACGGCCTCGTCGCCCGTGAAACTCATGCCGCCCAGCGGATACCCGTAGCCCAGCATGTTGCTCGGGTGGCTGCCGCCCTCTCCACCGCTGAGGCGCGACCACTGCGGTGGCGGGCCCTCGAGGCGGATGCCGCCGCGACTCGAGCTGAATGCGACTTTCCATGCTGTGTCGAAGAAGGCGTGGCGGCCTTGTGGGGTGATGAAGTCTGACGTATCGTATGGCCCGGGGAGGGTGTAGATTGGTGATGTTGAGGCGATGGGCGGGATCAGCGCTAGTGGAAGCGTGAATGGCCCGGTTATTTGACTGGCATCGGGGTCGAGACTCGAGATCTGAAGCCAGTCTCCCGCCCGCAATGTGCGGCCCTGATACCCACCCCACTTCAGTGAAGGCGTCGTGCTCCTCGACCCAAGATACGCACCGACGTTCGGAAACCCTCCGAGAATGGCCAGGTAAGCCCTGCATCCTCCTGAAGTATTGCCTCCAACGACCACCTCTGCGCCCGCAGGAACCAAATGGCGACTCCACAACGCCACAGCCTCTCCATTAATGGAGAAGTCGAACTGCGCCCCACAAAGCGCAACCACAGCTGCTTGGTGGAAGAGCATGCGGGGCCCGCCGTACGTGATCTCCAAGCTCTCGGTGCCATCGGCGTTGCCGACGATCAGGTTCGCAATGCGGAGCGAGAGGCCATCCATCGGACCTGAGACAGGAACACCGCTGCGGTAGTTCGGCCGGCCGGGGTAGTCTTGTACGGTGGTGTAGAGGCCGCCGTCCTTGACCTCGATCGCCGATGGCGTATATCGGAAGTGGTTCAGGGTGCTGGTCAAAGTCCTCCCGGCACGTACCGCAGGATCCCGCACAATGGCTTCGAGGAACTCAAGATTGGTTGGTGGACCGTAGAGCTTCGTGTCGGCAAGTGCTTGTTGTAGTTTGTCAAAAGCACTGTCGCGGTCTCCTGCACGTACCATGACCTTCGCAAGCAGCGGATCAAATGATGCAGTCACAGTCGACCCGCGCTCGAGCCAGGTATCGACGCGGATATGCTCGCCTTGCGGGAACGAGACGTCGGTGAACAGCCCAGGTGACGGCTTGTAGCCATCAGCCGGGTTCTCTGCATAGACACGCACCTCGACGGCGTGACACTTTGGCTCTGCTCGAGTATATCGCGCCAGCTCATCATGACTCAGCCCTGGGAGCGACTGCACTTCCGCCTCTGCCTGCTTCAGCATCAGCTCGACCAGATCGACTTCGTAGCACAGCTCCGTCACGCCATGCTCAACCTGCAACCTGGTGTTCATCTCCAGGAAGTAAAATTCCCCCGTCTTATCATCAACCAGAAATTCCACCGTGCCCACAGACTTATAATTAACCGACCTCGCCAACGCCACTGCCGCCACGCGCAACCTCTCCCTCAACCCCGGATGCTTCAGCACAAAGGGACTCGGCGCCTCCTCCAACACCTTCTGATGCCTCCGCTGCACCGAACACTCCCTCTCCCCAAACCACAACACCTCCCCCTCCCCATTCCCAAACACCTGCCCCTCCACATGCCTCCCGCTCTCCACAAACCTCTCCAGAAACACTCCGGCATCCTTAAACATCACCTCGCCCCTCTTACTCACACTCTCCACCGCCACCCTCACCTCTTCCTCTCCATAACAAACCTTCAACCCCATCCCCCCACCTCCCGCCGTCGCCTTCACCATGACCGGAAACCCCAGTCTCCGAGCCTCCCTCACTGCCTCCTTGCCGTCCCGTACCACCCCTTTCGTGCCCGGCACGACCGGCACCCCCGCCGCCACCGCCAGTTCCCTCGCCCGATGCTTAAGTCCAAAATCCCGCAGGACCTCCGCACTCGGCCCCCCAAACACCACACCCGCCACCCTCAACATCTCCGCAAACGCTGCATTCTCGCTGAGGAACCCGTAGCCGGGGAGCACGGCATCGACATTCTTTTCGCGGCAGATGCGCACGATTTGCTCGGCGTCGAGGTACGCGGCTGATGAGCCAGCAGGAGTGGGGGAGTGTAGCGCGACGGCCTCGTCGGCGAGGCGGACGTGCAGGCTGTCGCCGTCTTCGGCGGCGTAGATGGCGAGAGTGCGGTGGTGGAGGGTGCGGCAGGCGGAGATGAGGCGGAGGGCGATCTCGCCGCGGTTGGCGATTAGGACTTTCATTCGGCTGGGGGTGGGACGTGGGATGTGGGAGGTTTTGGGATGAAGGGGGACGGGCGAGAAGGACTGTGGTGGGTGTGTGGGTAGGGTTCGGGTGGTTTACTGCATGGTAGTCTTTTTGCGTGGTTCACAAGAGGGAAGAGTACTAGAGAAAGTCGAGGCAAGCGTTTCGGTGGTCGCTTAGACTATGGTAGAATGACAGTATCAAGATCCTTACTTCCAGCAACGGCACGCCCTGCTCATCTAATGCGAGATTGGCGGGAAGACTAGTAGAGTATGAGGATAGACGGCTCATGCGGGCATGCACCCCTTCTCCAACTGATTTGCCTTGCGCCTCGCTGATGTCCGCCCTGTTGGAGACGAGACAACAGAGTCTACCATCCATGAGTGGGGGAAAGGCTTGTCTCTTGCGCTGCTACTTGATATCAGCAGCCGTGGTCACAGATTCATCGCAGAGAGTATTTTCAAGCTACGGGAGAAATACATTATCGAAAGCTGCGCGCACATATATAGTCCGAAGCCATTTACCCTGGACTGGGCGGTCCTCAAGCTTGTTGACCCTGAAAACACTGGGAAGAATAAGATCCGTAGCATAAGTCCTCACAGTCACGCGCTCGTCGCACTCACAACAGCCACTCACCACCATGGCTACCACAAGCGACCGCCGCATCACCATCAACTGCGACATGGGCGAAGCATTCGGGCAATGGCAGATGGCACGCGCCCCTCCCAACCACTCCAACCTCTTAAATCCCTAAAATCCACCCCAGCTCCCAGCTAACACTTCCGCACAGGGACCCGACGAAGAACTCATGCCCCTCCTCGACCTTGCCAACATCGCCTGCGGCTTCCACGCGGGCGACGCCGCCACGATGGTTCGCACCGTCCAACTCGCCAAAAAGCACCACAAGCTCGTGGGCGCGCACCCCGGCCTGCCCGACAAAGAAGGCTTCGGCCGCCGCCTGATGGACATTCCGGCCGAGACGCTCTACGCGCAAGTGCTGTACCAGGTCGGCGCGCTCAAAGCCGTGCTGGATGCCGAGGGGATGCGGCTCAACCACATCAAGCCGCATGGGAAGCTGTATCGCATGATCAAAGATGATGAGGCGGTGGGGAGGGCGTGCATGCGCGCCATCAGCACATTTGGCGTGCCGTTTGTGGGGTTGCCTGGCACGAGGCATGAGGCGCTGTGTGAGGAGTTTGGGGTCGAGTTTGTGCCCGAGTTTTTTCCGGATTTGTGGTATGATGACGAGGGGCAGACGGTGCCGATTCTGTGAGTTGAATGGTCTTGATTGCGACCCGAGGGGGACAGGGTTGCTGACATGGGGGAATAGGACTGCTGGGAGAGTGCCTCACGAGGATATAGGGGGGAAGGTGGAGAGGGTCATCGGGGACGATACTGTTGTGTCGATCAACAAGAAGGATGCAACAGTTCCATTCCGGGGTCGAGGGTTTACTTTGTGTATTCACAGTGACTTACCTGGTGAGTTGACGTCTTGTTGGGATACCCAACTGACTAGGGGACAGGTTCGGTCGAGGCCATGAAGTCAGTAAGAGCTGCGGTCGACGCAGCGAGGACAATCTCGAAATGAAATGGAGTAGATTCCCGACGGTGATGAGCCTTCATTTAGGGAATGGTACTATTGTACAGCAGATGGTGTATTGTCCATGTTCGGTCTCGGACCACGATTGAGCATTGGCGCAATCCGTGTCCGTAGTTAGCGAGCTTGAACCATTCTGGTTAGATTCAGGAATCCATGGGTAGTCGGGATAGGGCGTGGGCATATGGATTGTCGCTGATAAGACCTCTGCTCGTTACGATGCCCACGAGGAGCTCCACCGTCGATATCTCTCGGCTGTGTTTGACCGTTATCAAGAGCTGCGGACATCCGCTCCCGTGCCCCAAGTCTTGGCTGAGATATCTCTTGGACCATATACTAATGATCATCCCGCTGTCGAGTCTCAAAGCTGCTGCACTTTGGGACGAGGGCCACACAACGGGATGGTGCATCCTACCATTTCGAAGGCCTTGAAGGCCGTCCAGATCACCCAAGATGAGCACGGCCGACCCATTGACCGGTGGACGAATTTCGACATCCTCCCCGTGTTGCCAGAGCATCAGACATATACCACAAGGACGTTTCTTGGCTATTGGTGCGAATCTTCTTCGAGCCGCTATGACAGATGCTGACCTCTCCAAGGGTGGCCGTTGGTGTTGCTGCAGTGTACTGGTAGGTGGTGCGAAGTACTTCTGTTCACAAGTCTCTGACAGCGGATTTGTAGGACAATGGGTTCCTCAGCTATCGCGAACGGACTGAGTGCAGGCGCAGCCATCGGAGCAATGGTGTGCGGAGGCATCCTCTCCGGCCTGGTGTCCTGGGGCTGCGGCGAGTTCGGTATTCGATACAATCTCGGGTATGTCGTGGCTGCGCGATGAAGGCCTCAAGTTGCTGACCATGCTGCAGATTCCCAATGCAGAGCCGCGCTGCTTTTGGAATGTACGGCAGCTACTTCGTCGTCATCCTGAAATGCTTTTCCAACTTTGTATACAGCGGCATTCAGGCATACTGGGGCGGAATCTCAATGAGAGTGATGCTCTCGGCCATCTTCCCAACTTTCCACAGGCTGAGGAACACCATCCCGGAGAGCGCCAATGTTACCACCAAAGACTTCATCGGCACCGTCATCTACTTCTGCATATTTGTCCCCCTGCTTTGGGTTAAGCCGTATAAGATGCAGAAGTTCTTTTTGGTCTCCTTTATCGGCGTTTTGCTCACCATTCTCGGCATGTTCATTTGGTCGATGGCAGCAAGCGGAGGCGGCGGTAATTTGGTGGCCCCTAGTCAGGATCTCAGCACAGGTGATACTGTATTTCGCTTCTTTCAAGCCATCTGCACGCTCTGCACCACCTACACGGGCGTCAGTATCCGCCATTCGGATTGGAGTCGCTACCGCAAGACTCCTCGCGCCGCACGTCTCGGTATTTGGATTGCATGTCCCTTGGTCGTGATTGTGGCTTCCCTGTTCGGCATCCTTGTCACGAGCGCCACGCAGAAGCTGTATGGCGAAATTATATGGCAGCCCATGACACTCCTAGCACACATCCAAGAAGTCGACTACAGTGCCACGACACGTGCAGGAACCTTCTTCGCCGGTCTGGGATGGTTCCTATCGCAGATCGCCATCAATTACTCTTCCAACGCCATTGCCACTGGAATGGACCTCGCGTCGATCCTACCGCAATACATCAACGCGCGGAGAGGCTCGTTGCTTCTCGCCATTATCGCCATTGCCTCGTGCCCATGGAACATGGTGAACTCTCCTGGTACCTTTATCACAGTCATCGGCTCACTTGGGATTTTCATTTCACCGCTCATCGGCATCTATATCGCAGACTTTGTGGTGGTCCGGAAGATGAAATACAAAGTCGGCGACCTTTATGTCGGCGGCAAAGCTTCAGTCTATTGGTTCCAATTCGGTTTCCACTGGAGAGCATTCCTGACTTGGGCTCTGCTCATCTGGATGTCAATGCGTGAGTACCACCATCGGTGACAATCTATAAAAATGCAGGTCTAACGGGGATACAGCTGGATTTGTGGGTGCCATCAGAGGCGAATCGTACGGCATAGCATGGACTCGAATCTTCCAGCTCTCGTTCTTGATAGGGCTGTTCGGTGGCTTCATTATTTACTGCATCATATGTAAGCTGTCGCCAGTACCGGGAGCTGGTGTGTATGAGCCGTGGGTGGAGCCAGTGGCTGCTAGCGGCGCTCGAGGGGACGAAGAGTTCCTTGATGGCGTCTCTGTTGACGAGAAGAGGCCTGAACGTCACGATGTCAATGAAAAGGAGGTCAACGCGTGAAATGGAAGTCCTGCTTGGTGCTTGTGGCAAACATCGACTCTTGCATCACCGGTGCATCAAACAAGGCCAAGATGGTCCGCGGTTGCACCAACGCCACAGCTCAGCTTCGTCAGACCAGAGATAGGGCTGTTTGAAACAACATTAAAGGTATGATACAAGACTTCGAAGCAATGCGCGAAAGAGTGGTCATGAATATGGTGGCGAATAAAGACTGGTCACCGCACTCCGCCTGCGCAAAGAATCCTGCAGGCTTCAAGCAGTGAAACAGGGCGTCACTCATGTCATCGTTGGTGGTTGTCAGACTAGTACCATACATCACCTCCTGCTCTGCTCAGTTACACAAGTACTGCTTCAAGAACTCGGCCTGTACGTCAGTGTTTCTGTCGAAATTCGGTCCTGTGTACCCATCAAAATGGCCGCCAGGCAATACGTGAAGACGCTTGGGCTCCAGAGCGCGCGAATACGCTTCGAGTGCGATGTCAGTTGGGGTAAGCACGTCGTTCTCGGCTACGGTCATGAGGAGCGGCGTCGGTGCGATGCGGTGGATCTGTGCTGAGGGGTGGTAGCCTCGCAGCATCTCGACGCTGTGCTGTGATTAGCCGCCAAGAACGCCGGGCGGCAGTAGCTGGATGGAAGCGTACCTTCTGACGGTGCAGTCGTTCTTCCAGTCGCTCTTCTTTGCCCAGGCATCGAAGAAGACGAAACTGTCGGCAGTGGGTAGCGCGGATGGTTTCATTGGGTCGGCGTCCACGACGGGGAGGCGCCCGGGATCTTTGCCGGCCGCGCGGGCAAGGCGATCTAAACACTTGTCAGGACATTCGTGGGTCTTAATAAGATCCTGGGGACAGACCGTCCTGGAACATCTGGTTCATGCTTGACACAAAATCACACCTGTATCAGTGGTCAGTCTCATGATCTGCTGATCTCCCGGCAGCCGATTCACCCTTACCGGATCAGACGTTGAAAGTTCGTATATCCATCCGCCAGCGGCACCTGCGAGAGCACCGCCTTGACGCGCTTGTCCACCGCACCAACATGCAGCACATGGGCACCGGAGTAGCTCGAGCCCCAGATACCGATCTTCTCCGGCTTCACGCCCTCCAGCGACTGCGCGTAAGTGATCGCGTCAGACATGTCAGCATGCTGCAGCGCGGGAATGATCTCGTGCCTCGGCTGGCCATCACTGGCGCCGAAGCAGCGGTTGTCATACACGAGACAGGCGATGGGTAGCTTCGCGACAAAGCGCTCTGCGAAGGCGTCGAGATCCATCTCCTTGAGCGCCGACCAGCCGTGCGACATGACGAGGCAGGGCAGCTTGGCACCGTCCTGGGCCAGCGCGGACTTGTACAGCCATCCCCGTAGTGTCAGGCCGTCAGATGTCTGGAAAGAAATGTCTTCTCTTGGTGGTGCCATTGTTGCTTGCGTGTGTCGTTTGTAGAAGCGATACGACAAGAGTAGGTGCAGCTTTCTTCAGGATGGAAAGTCATGGCCGCCTAGACCAGTATATAGTACAAATCAGGTGATGCTACGGGCGGGGGGCCTTTGTTCTTCCCGTACCCCGAAAACCCCAAAGCATGAACCACAGGATGCCTAGAGCGAGAGTACTGTCCCGCAGCTGGAGGCGATTTTAGGCCCACATCTCCCCATGTCAAGCTGAAAACTCTGGAACTTCGAGACCCGTCCACTGGTCATCACCGCAGCCAACGTAGCCAACGTAGCGCAAGGGTCCCGATACTACCGGGGGGTTGAGTGCATAGTAACGGAACTGGTCCTTCTTGCAGTAAGAAACACTGGAGACGGTCTAAAGTGGGCAGGGGGTAGTCGGAGCCCCCATCTAGTATCGAGATACCGGGGAAAATACATGTATGGTCCAGCAAGTGCGGGGGCGCCAAGCCGTTGTGTCTTCTGCACTGTCCGTGTCGACTTCAATCTATGATTCATATAGGTATGCAAATGTGCTCCTGCCCCTCTCACTTGTAGTGCAAAGCTTTACGGACGCTTGGGACACGGCGGGTCCGGACACGGAGGCCTCGTGCTACCTGGCGGTTTACTTGGTGGCGGCGGCGGTGGCGGTCTATACTCTCGTCAGCGTTTGCCTCTTGAACACCCACAGTCCCTTTCCCACAACCCACCTTGCTGTAGTCTTTTGGTGGCCCTTGGAACCCATTACGACAATGTCTCTCGCGCTTTGCTCTTGCCCCTTTGCTTATCTTTCTTCGCGTTGTGTGGAAGTGGCGTTACTGTTTGGAAGCACCTGATCTATCACCAACCTCACCTTAAGCGACACAGCAAAGGGCCTTCGGAGCTTTATATCTCACCACTCTCATCCGTTAGGCAGCCTAACTTTCCAAGGGGATTTTGAAGCGGACAGCCATGAAGGCTGCTAAACCCCGGCCAACCGCGACCTTGAGCAGCCTTGCGCACCGCTGAACGCCAGCCCACACCGCAAGCCCCTTCGCTATCCGCCACGGCAACAACACCATTGTGTAGAGGTAAGGTGGCGAGGTCTGAAGGCAGACAGCGCTGTGGCGGCCACACAGCCCCAGTTCGAGAAATTCTAATGTTGTTCGCAATTATGCCTCTCGGCCGCATTTGCCCCGCCGCCTTAAGGTGGTTGCCTTGATGCCAAGCACAGGCTTCATTGTCAGCAATGGCAGAGAGACGGGGGATTTTGTGGCCGCCATTTCGTTGCTGAGGTTGTCTGTCGACATGCTCAATAACTGTCGCTGAAGCATTCAGGTGTCGATTCCAGAAGACCATGATCGGCCACGCGGCTCGCCCACAGATGCCAGGTCCATTTGGTGTCCTTCCTCTTCTGAGGCGGCATGCGGTGGCTCCAGCGAAGAAGCCACATCTTCAAAGTGTAAGTCGTATTCCTATCCCACTGCATAGCCACTGCAGGCGCCATGAATCCGTCCGCGAAGAGCGTCGCACAATAGGTTGTTCACGCCGCACCCTGCAATCCAGACTGGGAAATCCTCGATCCCGAGCATCTAGGGGCTTGGATACCCGAGAAGCTTCCAGGATAATCGCATCAGCATAACGAAGCCTTGATCGTTCTGCCCGCGATGTCAATGATCCGCCTTGCGTTGCCTTACCCTGCGCCATGCGCGAATCCAAGCTGTCTCACCCGCATCGCAACCGATCAAGACTCTGTACAAACAGCATTGTTGACGCCCATGCCCAACGTTCTGGATTCGCTCTCTTCACCGACCGCGAAGCAGACCTCCATGCAACCCTTGTCAACGCCCAGCGTTGCGGCCTAGTTGCCTCATGCCCAGCAAGGCAACTAGGCCGCCGGGCCTCTCCGAGCAGGCGGCAGGCAGCGCAGGGCTTCGGGAATTTTCAGCATGACCGCAGCACACGCCTCTTGCGTCGCTGCCCAATTCTCCTTAGGTTGGATGATGTGGCGCTTGTTCCGGGGCTGTGATGGCGAGTAGATCTAGCAAGCCCTCGTAGTCATGATGGTGGTGAGGTTAGAGCGGACTCCTAGGTGAGGCATCGAGGTGAGGCAGCGTAATGGACCATGAGCTTCGAGCGAGCTGTGGCAGCCAGTGAAGCCCTTGACCCACAGTTTCGTCGTCTCTGACCTGGCTTCACTCTGTGTGGAAATCAACGTTGGCCAGATCCTGTAATGGTACGGGTCCTCCAGGCTGGGGCAATAAAGTAGAAGGTAGATCCAGGTTGCAGTGATGGATCATAGTAGACACTGAAGAAGAGGATTTTCGCATAGTGAGACTTGACCTGCCGACGCGCCTCGTCGATCGGACCCAATGCTTGTTTAGGTCAAGAAGACAAGCAGAGCAAGAGCCTCAAAGCTCTTCCGTCAACCCCTCCGCCTCCTCCAAGCCCTCCACTTCATAATGACGATCACCATCATCACCGCGGCCATGACCATGCACTCCCATCCCATCCCTCATCCACTTCACAATGCCCCTCACCAACTCCATCGCCACATCATCCCCTCGATTCGTGAATGCCGTATACGTCCTCCTCTTTCCCACGTCAACCGCTGCATGCACGTAATACTTCGTATTGCTCCCATCATGCATCAGCACAAACTTGCCCTCTCCACGATCTCCATCGCCCACACCATCACTATCACCATGACTTTCATCCTCACACCGCCGCCACCCTCCAAACGTGCGCCTACAACCCTCCCCATCAGCCTCGCCATGCACGATATTAAGCAGCGCCGCACTCTCAGCCGAGATATTCAGCTGCGGTATTGCCTGGCCCCTCGCGCCCTGCAGCGCAGCGGCGAGGTAGAGGCCATACTGCCACATGCGCATGTGGACGCGGCCCGCGGTATTAAGCGCCGGTGGATTATCGCGGTAGCGAAGCGAGCTGAAGTAGGGAACGACGCCTCCTGCTCGTCCTCGTCCCAGGAAGGTTGCAACGGGCCAAGCGACAGCGATGTGAGGCCAGGGACTGCAGACCGAGAAGGTCGAGGCTTCCGGTAGGGGCCCGAAACCGGCGTCGGAGAGTGCGAGCGGAGAGAACAGGCGGTTGGCGAAGGCGTCTTCGGCAGGGGAGCCGGTGAGGCGGTCGATGAGAAGACCTGCGATGATGTAGTTGATGTTGGCGTAGGAGAATGTGCCGCGTGTTGAGCTTGAAGGCTGGTTCAGCGTGGCGGCAGAGAGCCTGGTGCGGCCGTCGGCGGCGCTCCAGCTGTATAACTGCGCGAAAAGGGCTGTGAGATGCTCGTCGGTGAGACCGCTGTGGTGGGTCGTTAGGTCGGAGACTGTGATGGGTGCGTACTGTGGGAGCATGGTGTAGTCGGCTAGAAGGTCGCCCAGCGTGGAGTTCCACGACAAAAGGTTATCTTGGATGAGCATGGCCAGGATCATGGCGGTCATGGACTTGGTGTTGGATCCGAGATGCCAGAAGTCGAATACACTGGCCTCTGCCCTCGACCACCGGCGTCGGCGTCCTGCGGACGCACCATAGAAAGAGCTGTGATCTTTTCCAGTAAATGCGGCAACGGCTGGGAGCTCGCCATGGTCGACAATGTCCCGGAGGAATGGTAAGAGGTTGTCATGCCGTCTCGTCTCAGACTTGTTCTCGTCTGCACCATTCGAGCATTCACCCGGTGAGACATTCCAGCTGAGAGTCTGGTTCGTCCCGACCGAGATGGAAGTAGTAGTCGTCGTCGCAAGATTGAGGTTGTACAGGAATACAGTGCAGTACCCCGCAGCGGCTCCAACCACCCACTGTAAAGGTATCTTCCATGGTCCAGGCATCGTGATCTGCTGAAGCGAGGAAGAGCACGCCCCGAGCCGTCCCAGCCGGAAAACCAATTGAAGATGCCTAGGAATCAGGCAACCCATCAACGAGCCAGCTGCCGATCGAACTCTGCGTTGTCAGTACGCAACTACCAAGGGTCCCTTGGGGGCCATGGCCGCTTACCTAAACTTGGATTGCCCGCCGGCTTGTCATTGGGGGCTGTAATCTTCCTAGACGGCAGATCTTCATTCGTACAAGCTCGCTCAAGGCAACAAGGCTACCATCACTGTGAAGAAGCTTCCTGCAGGCGGCTTTAGGCTAGATGTGCATGAGCGCCGGGTCATACCCGAAGTGTAGCACATCCCCGATGGGCTGATACACTGCATGTGTTCTGTAGCCGTGCTTCGAAGGCAAGGTTTTGTAGGCCGAACCGGTGTCAATCCACGCTCGGAGATGTTCCCCAGGCGATGGGATCTTAAATGAACTTCCGCGCTTCAAACGAAGGTTTTATGTGCCGACATCTCGCCTCGCACACTCGCTAAACATAGTCTCCGGAGATTTTGCCGTTTTGTAACGAGGTGGACACTCCGTCGATCATGAATGGATTTCAGGATCACTCTCCATGACTCAATTACTCCATGCATTGATCACCACTGGTGTGGTTTTGCTGCACGAGTGAAGCATCTGCCTATCGCTTGTAGATCGACCGCCCCCAGTGAGTGCACGGGCGAGCCAATATCAGTTGCTCGACATCATCCGTGCCTCTTAAAACGCGCAATCGTACCTGTAGGTGATGCTTCGGATAAGCAGATCTCTCGAATCAGCTGCTATCAACCTCGTTCGACGCTGCGCCACTAGTGCCCCTCGATATGCTAGCGGTCGTGAAGAGGCAGAACTGCGAACGGTCTAAAGGCCTCTCGATTTCGCCTACCAGAGTTTCATGTTATAAGATCGTTCTTGTAACCATCATGGTCCGAGAAGCCTGCTTCTGTGAGTTCGTCCCAAGCCGTTTCAGCCGAGCTCCGCTGTGTTCGCTATCCTAGCCTATTCTGCTATCACGGGTGCTCTAGAAATAGTCATCACTAAGGAGCAGCCCATTTCCAGAACCTTCTCCCGTCCAGGTATACCTCATGGCCGACGATACAGCACCAAACGGTGCTCCGGTTCAGGAACCCCAGATCAGGGATCCTGCTACAGTGTCAAACCGGAGCAACACAGCGGAGAAAGGCTATCCGGAGCGTGTCGACGATTCAGGCAATGACGGTACGACTGCTGCGTCCCTGGAAGCGAGTAATGGTCCGCCGGATGACAGAAAACCCCCAGTCGTCGTCGCTGCTATCGATCCCGCCTCATTCCCCGATGGCGGCACACAGGCCTGGTTGGCCGTCCTGGGCTGCTGGTGCACCATGTTTGCGTCTTTCGGTTGGATTCAGTCCGCTGGTGCGGTAGAATCCTCGCCTCACAGTCGACCTTTCTGCTGACGACCTCTAGGCGTGTTCCAGGCATACTATGAGCTGAATGAGCTGTCCGACTACAGTCACAGCGAAATAGCGTGGATCACATCGCTCGAAGCTTTCTGCCTGTTTGCCGGCGGTATTTTCGTTGGTCCCATTCACGATGCAAGAGGGCCACGCTGGTTGCTAGTTGGAGGTACCTTTGTAAGTCTTGATCTGGTGCCACACATTGCTCGTGGGGCGAGCTGCAGCTTGACTGTGACAGCTCTGCCCTTGCTTAACTCTTTCCAGGTTGACAAGCTGACTTGCGTCTGCAGATGCACGTCTTTGGCCTCATGATGGCGTCTCTCTCGACCAAGTACTATCAGATTCTCCTGTCACAAGGCTTGTGCTCCGCGATAGGTACGGCAATGCTGTTCTACCCTTCCTTAGCATGCGTCGTCAGCTGGTTCCATCGCAAGCGAGGGACTGCCATAGGCATAGCAGCAACGGGCTCTGGAGTTGGAGGCATCATCTTTCCTACCATCGTTCGCCAGATGATTCCGGATGTTGGTTTCCCGTGGACAATGCGCACCTGCGCGTTTTTGAATCTGGCAATGGGCATAACCGCCTGTCTGGCATGCAGCTCCCGCCTTCCGCCTACGCCGAAGAAATCATCCAAAGAGGACGTTGTCATGTCGTTCAAAGACTTGATATATGTACAGGTGATAGTTAGTGGAGTGCTTACGTTTCTCGCAATGTGGATTGCGTATACGTTCATCGTCACGACTGCCATCGACAGAGGGGTTGACGCCAATTGGGCCTTTTATCTGGTGCCAATCATGAATGCCGGAAGTGTGTTTGGACGGCTTGTCCCTGGGGTGCTCGCGGACAAGACTGGATCCATCACCATGTACTGCATTATTGCTGCATTCACAGCGCTGATCGCCACATGCCTCTGGATACCAGTAGCAGGCCAAGCGGGAATGATTGTGTTTGCGCTTCTGTTTGGTTTCGGTTCCGGTGGCACCAACACGCTGGCGCCGATGGTGCTTGCGGACATCAGCGATGTGAGGATGATTGGCCTCCGGACAGGGCTATGTTACACCTTCACAGGTATTAGCTGGTGAGTTCCCTCTGCTTCGAGTAATAGCCGCACCTGTACTGATGACTTCAGCCTGTGGGGGAGTCCGGCAGGAGGAGCACTCATATCTGCCGGCGGCTATAGGGCCATGCAAGGATTTGCAGGAGGAATAGCCATTGTGGCTTCGCTGGTGGCATTCGGTGTGAGATATCAGCTAGCTGGGTTTGACTGGAGAAAAAAGGCTTGACGACGGGTGCTTGCAACAAAACATCGCGATGATCGTGGTGTTGAGTAAGGCTTCCATGTTGCTGGTCTCAACAAAAGCCCGAAATGAGGGTGTCAACAATGCCACGAAGGAAGGCACGAAGGGAAAGGTGCTTTCGAGGGGCAGATACCGCCAAGACCAAGGTTGAAGCATAATTCGAGTTCAAGGAATGACTAAAGTTGGATTGAGGTACCGAGTTAAGGCACCAAGCTGAATACTAATGCTAAAAGAATGGACGCAATGATCCGTTGGACCACGCTGCTATGGCTAAAGCCATTCATAACAATATCACACATCCTCCGTCAAGATATCACGGTCCTCAGACGAAATGTCCTTCATCAAACGAGCTGGAACACCCTGGGACCCAGAACGGCCTGGGGTGAGCAATGTTGTCCTGTGCATCGTGCGTGTCTCTGTCCCCGCATTGACCTGTGTCATTGCCGCCGAGCTTGCATCTTACCGCCCAACATTTGCTGCATGCTGACTTCGGGCCGCGTACATAGGGTGGTACGGTACCGCACGATATCGAAGATGCTGTCGTCGGTGCTGGTGATCCTGTCTTCAGGTGGAGCTGCTATGCCCATGCCAGGAAGCTTTGCTCAGGTTGTGACGCTGGTCCGTGATCAGTCGATGGGTCTGATTCGAGTCTGGCCGTTGCCCTTTGGAGCAAGCGCGATGAGCTGTAATAAGTAACAAAAGGATAAACCAATCCTGCCCTTGCCGACGTTCACTAGTCATAGCCGCCGCCGACCTGAGATGCAAACGCTGTGCTCTCGCTTCGGGTGTCATCGTCCTGCACGCCTTTACCAGGTCGCATCACCCCTCCAGCACGGAAGCCACCGGCAGGAGCACTGTTCTCAATGTATCGTTTGAGACGATCACTTTGGTTGAAACTCGTCGGCTTCTGGCTCTCGTGGATAGAGAGCTGATCCAGAGCAACACCACCAATACCACTGCCTGTGACATCAGACTCAGTTGCAACAGTTGACTCCCCAGCCACACTGCCGGGCACCCCACGCAGTTGCTTCCCGTTGGAGCGCTGGCCGTTGGGACCAAGCGAGGGCCACGTGTCAGGAGTGAAGCCACGGAACATTGGAGGGTAGCCAGCGGGCACTCCCACGCCACCCATAGCAGATGAATGGATGGAAGAGACGTCGTCTGGAATGTAGCCAACAACTGAGCCACTCTCGTTGTAGTTAGAGCGTTGCCCGTTGCGACCGTTCATCATTCCACTGGCCATATGACTGGCATGGTTGTAGGCCATCTGATAGCGTTGAGGGCCACGATACGTCTGCTTAGGGCGACCGAACTGGTGAAGTGAGATCTGCAGATTCGACAGAGGGCCTTCAACCAGACATTCGCTTTCTTTGAAGTGAAGCAGGAGGTAATGCCAGAGAGGGTGCTTAGAGAGGACCTTGGGGTTGCCGAGTATGACAAGGCCGTACTTGGCACGAGTCATGGCCACGTTCAAGCGACGAGGATCACTCAAGAAACCGATACCCTGATGATCGTTGGATCGAACACAGGAGAGAACAATGAAATCCTTCTCACGACCCTGGAATGCGTCAACAGAGGCAACTTCGACTTCCTTGTACATCTCTTTCTTGAAAGTACCAGCAGCCTGCATAGAGCTGACGACATAGCTGCGCTGACCCTCGTAGGGCGTGATGATGCCAATGTCGGATGGCCGAACACCAGCCTTGAAGAAGCGAGTGACAATCTTCTCCACATTGGCGGCTTCGGTACGGTTAAGATAGGATGTCCCGGAAGCGGAGATTTCTTCATTGCCCAAGTTGGACCAGAACATCATCGGATAGTCAGACTTGGGCCAGGGAAAGTCAACGTCGCGCCGAATCCGTTGCTGCATAGTCACACCATTCTGAAGAGAGCCCTCGTAAAACATGTTGGAGGGAAACTCGGAAAGGCAGGGATGCATTCGATACTGAACGTTCAATCGGATGGGTGCGCAGCCCAAAATCACCAGGCGTTCGAACAGAGACTGGTTGAGGCCAGCCTTGGCCGCCTTCTTATTCATGATCACGGGGCCGAGTTGCTGGTGGTCACCAACAAGGACGACTTGCTTGCAGCCAAGCACCAACGGAATCATACACTCTGGTTCAGCAGACTGGGTAGACTCGTCGATGAGCACGGTCCGGAACTTGAACTTGGCCAGCCGAGGATCGCCAGCACCGACACAAGTACAGCAGATGACGTCGGCATTGGTCAGAATCTCGCGCTCAGCAGCTCGAGTGAGAGACTTGAACTTCTTCTCATCCTGACTGGACAGCTCACCCAGTTCGGTCTTGAGTTGATTTAGTTTCATCAATTCGACGTTGCTGTCATTCATGCGGACCTGCTCGTGAAGTGAAAGGAAGCGGACGGGAGACTCAACATCCTCGCGCGACTTTGCAGTGACGCGGACGGTCTTCAATCCTGTGCGATGAATGCGCTCGCACAGTTGGTCGACTGCGACGTTGGACGGGGCACACACAAGTACTTGACCACCGTTGATTCTAGCAAGATGGTAGATGATGGTGGCCGACGTGACAGTCTTGCCCGTACCCGGGGGTCCCTGGATCAGACTGAGAGGTTTCTGCAGAACGGATTTCACGGCGTTGATCTGACTGCCGTTGAGCTCGGGAAGTCCTGGAACGCTGAATTTCTTGGGCATCTGTGTCTTCATGGGAGCAGCGGCAACTTCGTGACCCAGCAAGCGATGAAAGATGTAACCCGAGACGCTCATCTCATCAATAGCAAAAGTTTTCATGGCGAGCTGCATGCGGTCGAAAGAGGTGGCCTTCCAGACATAGTCGGCGGTAAAGTTGTGGGTGCACTCTGTGGGCACAGACTTGTGGTCGCCTTTGGCTCGCAATTCGATGGTGACCTCGTCGGACTGGTTGTTCGGGATCTTGATAACATATCCAACGCCTTCCCAAGCGGGTCGCAATTCGCCGGTATACTTGAGACGCATCTCGTCGCCAACAGCCAACTTGACGTCGCCGAGTTCAAGCTTAGGAAGGATGAAGCTAGCGAGATGCTTGTTGTTCAAACCGAGATCCCAGCGCACAATCAACCCATCCTGAGACTGGCTCTCTTTCAGCTTGCGATCGTAGTCTGCTTCAATCTTGACTAGAGGACCAAAAACATTTTGATACTGATATGCATCATCGTATCGGAGTAGAACGGGTGCTGGATCATCGTCGGTGCTGGCGCCCTTCTCAAGATCCGTGACGGTGGCGGCCGCGTTCTCCTTCCATAGTTCTTCCAGCTTAGCAATCATTTGTGGACTTAGATGTCTTGCGCGGAGCTGCTCTTGGTCGCTGGGTTGAGCGACAAGCCAGGAAAGGAATGAGCGATCTTCGATCAGAGGCTGCCATCTTGAAGTATCCCAGTTCATGTCTTTCGAGGAGGGCATCGCGGCGCATGGCTGTCGACACAGCAGCACTACAACGGTGTCGGACTTTGCGGGAATGAAGCCGAGCAAGAAGACATTCTTGGTTCCACAATTGTAGCATTCGAGAACGGTGTCGCCTAAAGAACTGCTGGGATGGAGTTGGACTTCCTTGTGACGGGCTCGGACGAGATGGTTGACAATATGGGAGGAAGAGGTGTTGCCTCGGGCGCTACAGAACCATTTGCTGCAACTCAAGCAGCGAACAACACTAGCAGGATTGTGGATGCCGCAGTAACTGCCAGGCGTCAGTACTGACTGGCTGTCGGTAGGGAAGTACTCACGCGCAAGCATGGGGTGGCAACTCCTTCTCTTCCTCTGTATTGGCCGGCTGCTTGTTACCGTCGACTGCGTCAGTCGCGAGACTCTCCAGATCATCCTCGACGCCTTCTGATTCTTCGTCGTCGTGCTGGCGTCTTCTCGGCCCCTTCGCGAGGCTTAGAATACTCTCATCGGGGTCCATGGTAGATATGTCATCGGAGGCGTTGATGGCAGCAGCCGAGTTGGAGACCATGTGGTTGCTCATGTTCTTAAAGGCGTCCATGATGGCGGTCCAATCGCAGCGAGCGCTGCTCTAGCAAGGGAAGACTTGTAGATCAGGCAATAGTTGTAGGAGGTTTGAGATTGATGAAGGGTGCGGGTAGCGAGAAAGGAGGGTGGGGAGGGGTGACAGATCCGATGCCCTTCTTCCACCTCATTCACCAGCTGTACCACCTCCTCGACTCAAGAAAAAAGCCTGTTGCAATAGACTCAGGTGTTTGGTACGGCCATGGAGAGTGAGGGGCTCTGTCTTTTGGTTGCAGGCCAAAATCGCCCAGGTTGAAATCCGCAGCCGCAGTCCGGCTCATCTTCGGCTGAACTTTTTCCTCGCCGTCAAAAAAAGTGGCAGTCAACTTCGACATGTCTTCCCCGTCTCCGCCGCCAGTGAACATCTCGTGTTCTATTGAGCGAGTTCAAGATGCTCCGCCGACAGGCTCGCGAAAGGCGAGACTACTTACATCGCCGTGCTCTCCAGCTCCGTGACGCCTCAATCGCCGAGAAGCGCAGCCTACTCAAGAAATCGCTCGCGACAGGCAAGCCGCTCTCCACAGACGTCGCCAACGACAAGCAACTCAAGAAAGATTTCAAATACGATGAGTCGCTAGAGGCCGCGCGCGAGACTATCGACGACGAATATGCCGCCCTCTCCGGCATCGTCGACCCCCGTCCGCTCGTCTCGACGTCCCGCTCCCCCTCCACCCGTCTCTCGGCCTTCTCCAAAGAAATTCGCCTGCTTCTCCCTACCTCGATTCGCCTGAACCGCGGTGGCCTCATCCTACCGAATCTCATTCACAGCGCCAAAGCCGCCCAACTCAGCGACATAATCCTCCTTCACGAACATCGTGGCACCCCAACTGCCATGACCATTTCTCACCTACCCCATGGCCCAACCGCTTCTTTCTCGCTCCATAATGTCATGCTCCGGGCGGACATACCAAACGGTAGCCGCGGCACTGTCTCCGAATCATATCCCCACCTCGTATTTGAGGGCTTCACCACAAAATTGGGACTGCGTGTGGTCCAGATCTTAAAACACCTGTTCCCTCCACGAGATGGACCCCATCGCGTTGGGAATCGAGTTGTGACTTTCAAGAACGTGGATGACAGTATCGAGGTGCGACATCATGTCTTCGTCCAGACGGGCTACAGAGATGTTGAATTGGCCGAAGTTGGGCCTCGGATGACTATGCGCTGCTTCGAAATTAGAGGTGGTACGCTGGAGAAGGATAGCGGCGGCGAGAAAGAATGGGCACTTACGCAATTCACGCGAACTGGCAGGAAGAAGACGTATTTGTGATTGATGACTACAAGACGGCGAGGGAAACAAGTCGTCAACCTGATCTCAGCCTCAGCAGAGGAATACCACCTCAGTATAGATGCACGAAGCCAAGTACCGGCAAGCAGGATCTGGCCTTCCAAGAGGGACGTGACTGTTGCAGGTGTCCCCATCAGGTGGTTGTGGGCGGTGCCAGACCCTTCGAAACAGCATCACCTATGCTTTGATGTTCCTAGCATTTCAGTGTACGAGGCGCAACTTCATCTGCGCACCTCCCGCTCCGATTTCACGTCCGATGTATGCTACTCGTCAAGACCATGGACCTTATATGCAACTCGATGCATACTCGCAGCAGCCAAAAGGTGTCCCGACTTGAATCGCCATCGAGGCTCGAGCCACTGAACCTACTGGCCTATCTCCTGGTCATACTCACCCAACCGTGGATCTCGGAAAGGGAGGTGTAAAGCTCTCGAGCATTGCGCAAACTATCCAAACAGACCCCGCAAGAGCCGGCCCCCAGCGATCCAGTTGCAAGGATTCACCATGCTCGGGAATGGCGAGCGAAGTGCATCTGGTGTTCTGTTCACATAGCATCAGAGCAAGGAGGAGTGGCATATCATGGCGCCGTTACAGTGAGCAGCAGGAAAGGGAGGCGAGCGTTGACCGCAGCTCAAAGGCCTTCCCAGCGTCTGGTTGTTTTTCTTGTCGAAGACGAATATTACCCTATGAATCCATGCTATGCCGCACAGCCTAATTTGAATGGAGCCTATCGGCTGAGAAGTCTGGGGTGATTGTGTTCATCGATGCTTCGTGATCGAGATGATAAGAGCGTCCGACGAATATAGTTACACTTTTCACCAGCAGACGTGACGAATGGTATACCTCTTTAAATACAAGCTCATCCTCGTGCATATCTTTCATTTTGTTTCTCCGCAGTGACTTGCCGCGTGTCCGTGTTCGCAATTTCTTCACGGGGCTGCATCGCCATAAACCAAGCTAGCTCTCTACGCCGCCTCAAGTTCTACCTGAAAGTGTCCGAGGATGCGTTTCTCTTGGCAATAGTTGCCTCGTGTTGCCCTACGCGCCACCACCTCAGAGAACTCCAGCTTCCACCAGACATTGTCTCAGAGCAAAGAAACGTCCCCCCTATATCTCATGTCCATTTCTTCTGCCAACCCTAGCTCTAGCTCTCTTCTTTCATCTTCACCCCGGCTCGCTCACTCTCATGTATGCACCTTGCCACGTCACCTTCGTCCTACTCACAGACCACTTCATCAACCGATGGAAGTAAGCAACCCGTTTAAGGCCGACGCCGCCGCTGCCGTCTGAGCTCTAGGTCGGGACAAACTATTCGTGTTCTTGACTTTGGTGGTCGCGTTCGTCTTCTGGTCTAGCGGTGCCGGCGCCGTGGCCCTGTTGGATGCTGCTGGTGGGTCGCCTTTGGTTTTTGTGAATTGGTCTGAGAGCATTGCAAATGCGCCCGTTGGATTTGTGAATGACTTCGCGGTCGCCTTGGCCTTATCGGCTGATGATCGCGCCTTTGTGATCCTCGTGGCAGCCGCACCACGTCCCACACCCGCCGTGCCATTCTTCTTGTCTTTCCCAACTCCCAATTCCCTCCCATCCCCATCCAGCAGCGTCCACAGCACCTGCTTCCCATCCCATATGCACTCCTGCCTCCCTTCTTTCTCTGCCAGCCTCGCTCCTGGGCCCCACTCCCTGCCCGTCCGATTCCGGAATATCTGCGACCAAACCGCATAGGCTGTGTCTTTCGAGTAGATCGGCAGCCTTTCCTTTGTCTCCGCATGGTCCGATGAGTCGACTGTGATGCTCACGATCTGGTAGCTAGGCTTGTCTTCATCCGAAACATACATCTGCATGGCGAAGACGGGCGGGTCAGAAACCGGTACGCGTCGGATGTGGCGATCGCGCAGACGGCAGGGGAGCGTGTAGGGCGCGATGGGGAGACGCGCGAATGGACCGGGCGGGAGGATGTATAGGGACATTGGGCAGGGATGGAGGCTCGCGGGGAGGCGGATGCTGGGTGGAGACAACGGTGGACTTACATTGTATCGAGCGAGGGTCTTGTAAGTGTCCTGTCTGAGAAGCGCAAACGAATACGTAAAGCCAGAGTTGTCGATGTAGAGTGTGTAGCCGTAGTTGGACATTTTTGTATCGCTCGTCTGGAGAGCCTGCTCAAAGGAACGTCCTGGTGAGAGTAATCAGCAACGGAAAAGTGAAGCCGACGAGAAATCAGTCTGGGGAGGTAGCTTACCTAACTTCTCAAGCTCGAGTATCCGGGCAATGAAGCTCTCTGAGCCTGAGGCGGCATTGGGCATCTTGGTACCGCCACAAGCGCCTTCTTCCTTGTCCTTGTGCTTGAGCTTGCTTTGCTGTTGCTTGAATTTCCTTTGATCCCACTCCCATTCAGCAGTGGGTAGAGGACGGTTCTTGGACTTGTTCCCACCGAATCGAGTTAGCGACCTGACTATCCAGTCGAACTTGACGATCTTGATTCTCTTGATCGTTCGTGCCTCCCTAACGAGGGGTGTCCTGCGGTTCCAGGCATTCTTGGAACATAACAGGTGAGTAGTCTGCGATGTGAGCTGCGTCGTATACGTGCCGCCTGCATTCTCGATCCACGTCTTGACCTTGTCGTTGTCTGAAGGGTGATCATTGGTGCTACAGACGTGGACTCTAGCGAACGTTCGTGGCATCTTTCACGGTCTGCCAAAGACAGGGTAACGGAGAGCCGGCAGATCAATGAACCAAGAAATTGAGAGGAACACTGTAAGGATGTTAGAGAGTGAATTGGGGATAGAGTGTACAAATGATGTGTCGTGATTCAACCTTTGATCAGGATTGAGATTCGTCATTCACTGGGACGTGGAGCCTCCGTCTCTGCACCATCAGGTTGCCCTGAGGTTACGATGAGGTGATGCAACTAGGCATTGGGATCAAAATGTTTGAGGGCATTGGGCGGGCAATGTTCCTTGGTAGATTGGAGCGCACATCTTCTCCGGGACTATTGATACCGCTCAAACCGAGATCTGAATGAAGATGATGCTAGAAGAAGCGAGGTCCCTCGCATGTTATGTAGCTCCGTCGAAAGTCAGTGGCCGGAGTGATATCAGCAACTCACTCATGTTCAGTACGGCGAGATTCACTGGCCGAGCAGCCCTTCTCTGACTTGATGGGTCAACTCATCTGCATCGGCGATGCGCTTCGCTTGCCTTTCTGAGCGGCTCGAAGACGGACATAATATCCCGTGTCGAGACGCATCAGGCCCGAGTCGTCGTCATCAGGACCTTCATCGGAAGTCGACCACACAACCAGGTCAACGTGTGGCAGACAATCATTCCCAACCGACGACACCGGATAATAGAAGGTGTAGGCATAGTTTGCTGGTCATGTTCATCAAATATTGTGATCAAGCTTGCGCTGCCTTGATGAAAGCCTGTATCCGTCCAATATCCTGCTTCCCATCCATCTCAACACCACTCGATACATCAACGGCTACAATATTGTGTCTATATTTCCCCAAGCTTGTAAGGACTTCAGTGATGTTCTCGGGCTGCAGTCCGCCAGCAAGGATGACTCTAAGGCTCGAATCCCTCTGGAAAAGGGCCTCGATCTCGCCCTTGTCAACCCGTTGCCCATGACCACCGGCACCGGCATCGAGAAGAGGCAATGCGTGATAGCCTCTTGTCGAGATTCCGATTTCAGTTGGCGAAAACTTGCGGAATACTGGAACAGGAATCGAACGAGCATACTCTACCGGCTCTTCGCCATGCAACTGTATTACATCAAAGCCGAGCCGGCTGACGTCCTCGATGATTTGGCTGAGCGGAGCGTTCTGATAGACGCCAACCACCAGGGCTCGGGTCTGCTCAGATAGGATACGAGAGGAGTGGTCGTAGTATTCGGATGCACCGAGTCGAGGGTGTTCAATTCGCTGTACCGACAATTTTGGTGTTTTTTTGACTGCTTCAATAATCTTCACTGTCGTTGCATCATCCACATAACGTGAGCGGCCAGGTACTCGAATGATGCCGATAAACGATGCACCGGCTGTCACTGCAGCTTCAGCCGCTTCTGGGGTCCTGGTGCCGCAGATCTTGACCATAGGCTTGGTGGGTGCAACAGCGATAGGTATATTTGTTGGATCACCCAGGAGGTTAGCAATGAATGCAGCTGTATCGGGTGCTTTCATCAGGGCTTCTCCGACAAGAACTCCTTTGACGCCATCCTGACGGTAGGCCTGGACATCCTCCGCCCCAAAGATGCCGGAAAGAGCACACAGGAGAGTTTCTTTGGGCACTCTTTTGATCAGGTTTGAGGTTGTGGAGAGATCGAGCTCGAAATTTGTGAGATTTCGATTGTTCACACCTATGACCTGGGAGCCAAGGGTGATCGCAGTTTCCATCTCCGCCTCATTCTGGACTTCAACGAGCGGCTCCATACCGAGACTTTGGGAGTATTTGTAAAGGTCTGTGAGGGTAGCTACATCCAGCATTTTGACAATGAGGAGCACGGTGTCGGCACCAGCGAGACGAGCTTCCAGGATCTGATATCGGGTGAAAATGAATTCCTTTCGGAGAACGGCAGGACGATTGGGCATGGCTTCGAGGGCCTGCCGCACGGATCTTAAGTCTTCGATGCTTCCTTTGAACCATTCAGGCTCGGTCAAAACAGAGATACAGCTTGCGCCAGCGAGAGCATAATGAAGAGCCTGTGTGGGTGCGTGTACCGAGAGCGATATGTTCCCTTTCGATGGCGAAGCTCTTTTCACTTCTGCCAACAGGGCAAGTGGGTATTGGGACTGCCGAAGTCGTTGGGGGAACGAAATCTGGGGAGGGGCAAGGCCCAGATCATAAGAAGCTTGGAGATCCTGCATTCGAAGAGACGGGATCTGTTCTTGTGCGGCGACGGCGAGCCTGCGGTGAGCATAAATCTTCTCGAGGATAGATTCTTTCTTGGGCGGTACATGACCGTTGGTTTGAGCAGGCTGCTCCTTGTTCTCCTCGGCAGCCCGCATCTGAGGATTCTGCTTCCAGAGACCACCCTTCATACCGAGAAAATTCTTGAACATTGTTCTGCCAGCTTCTGTGAGGATAGATTCGGGATGGAATTGGACACCCTCGATCACGAATTCTTTATGGCGAACGCCCATTATGACGCCTTTGCCGCCGTCAATGCCCTTTGCTATCCACGAGGAGACTTCGAGATCAGGCGGAAGGGTAGGATGCGTGCCAGCAAGAGAATGGTATCGGGTAACTGGGATGTCTTGGGGCACGTCGGTATAGACGCCACCGCCATCGTGTCTTAGAGGACTTGTCTTTCCGTGGAGGATCTCGCCGGTAACATCTACCTCGCCTCCGAACTCCGATATAATGCACTGCTGCCCCATGCATACTCCGAAAATCGGGATCTTCCCGGCAAAGTAACGGATGGCAGGCTTACTCACGCCGGAGTCAGTGTTGGGATGGCCTGGCCCAGGGCTGATGACCAGCTGGGTGGGTTGCTTTGCAATGAGCTCTTCTAGAGTGACCTTGTCATTGCGATAGACCGTCACAGTGGCTCCCTCTAGTAGCAGGTACTGGTAGACGTTCCATGTGAACGAGTCGTAGTTGTCAATGAGGACAAGATTGTTGGCGGTAGGCAATCTCGTAGCCGGCACCGGCTGGTGAGGGGAGTGGTCGACGAGGTTCAGGCTAGGCATTGTTGTAAGGCGGAAGCAGAAACAGAGGACGTGAATGATCAGATCATGGCAGGAGGCAGAAGTAAAGAGAGCCAGCAAGTGAGTCTCACCGCATCTCCGCCCGAGCTGACTGTTGACAATAATGAGTCGAACTGCTCTGCCTTGTCAGCGGCTTCAACTTCCCCGCGACCGCCTCCGACAAAATAAAAGGCTTGGCGCTGCAGGAACCGGAACGCGCTTGCCGCAACATTGACAATCCATCACCACGCGTGTCGGAGAACTTCACTGGCACAAACGTTGTCGCTTTCACCTGCAAGTCGCGCGTGGCAACTGGACCAACACTCATCGATGATCAGATAGCGCACAAGAAGCATCGCAGGCGCGATCCAGCCCGCTGTTCGCCATGGCACAGTCAACATCCGCCGCAAGCAGATTGCCCGACCTCCACAAGTGTCTGACTGGCGATGAGGTCGTTCTCGCTTGGGAGGACGTGCTCAACGCCACCCTCTCGCACCACGAACCACCGTCTACCCTCCACCGACAGTTCTATGCCGCCAACAGCGCCATCTTGTCCCAGATTCCTCCTACTTTTGGCAGTCCGAATGGCAATTCCCGGTCTCGAATTGATAAGGTCACATCTGATGTCGCCGCGCTTTCAGAAAGCCAGCGGAAAGAGGCAGAACAAATCAAGAGTGATGCTCTCTGGCTGAGTGATCTTGTCAAGCTTGAAGAGGTGGAAGCGCTGAGGACAACTCTCGTGGAATGGCAGAACAGACCGGAACTCCGCCTGAATGCGGGCTTTGCAGATGCTGAGCTTGCCAGCTTGAGAGATGCTCTTGGATCTGAATATGCGCAAACACTGGAATTGGTCCCTGCAGGACCATACAGTCGATCCGATGCAGACTTCGACTCCGCAGATGCCCGTAAAGTTCGCATCCTCCACACGTTCTACCGTTCTCAAGTCGCGATGCTGGCTCTGGCGAGGGAGGAGCTACAATCAACTATAACAATGTCCGAATCACATGGTCCTCAAGCGCAATGGCAATCACTCTTCGCCCACGCACCCGACTGCACTCTGCAGGATGCGGTGGTCACAACAACGAGCGCCATCAGCGGCATCTTACAAGAGCTTGGGGACTCGCGCGAATGGAAAGGCATTGATCCTCGCTACGCAGAGCAGCTGGAAATCTCCTTCGTCACGAGCAAGCTGCAATCGACTGCACTGCTGCTTGAAATTCTACTCCTGCGAACGCATACTTCCAAAGAGACGGTCACTGGTGAGGTTCTACAAGAATGGTTGACCTTCGCAGCTGGCTACGACCACTTCGCCCAATTACAGTCAGATGTTCCCGTACATCAAGCGGCCATTGAGCGGATACAGTTCAATGCTTGCTACATTGGCTTGGCTTTGATCAACCCTGCTTTCTCTATGGAGTTCCTTGACAGCCCTGCAATAATGGAGGCTCAACCCGGTCAGACAGGCACACACTTTTTTCTGGACGCAGACAAGATCGAAATCTTGTTTGAGCCTGTTATGGTAGCCGCTGAGGCCGCTACTGCCTGCGCTTCTCCCGCAGTTCTTGCCTGGGGACTGATCTTTTATAAGATGAAAGTCATGGCTGCCGCTGCCAAGCATGAGCGAGAGTCACGCCAGGTACAGAAGGCTATAGACAGGGCTCACGCTACAGAAGCTCAAAGTCGGCGTTGGTCGAGCAGTAGTTTTGGCTCCACAACGGAGTCCATTCTCGAGCAGGTCATCGGCCATATTCGACCATTGAGTGGTGGAGAAGATCCCCTCGAGTACATGCTAGAAAGTGCCGTCAGGGGAGGCAACGTGTTTGAGGTTGCGTCCACAATGGCCGCATCTGCACGCAACAGCTCTTCATTGCTGGGCTCGTTTCAGCTAAATATCCTCCAGAGTCTTCTCGCAGCCGCGCGTCCTGCGCTAGGCTATACCCCAGACCTTTTCAATGCCCAGTTGGCCATTTTGTCCTCAGCTGGAGACTCGGCGATCGAGCAAGGGCCTTTCAAACTGCTCGTCAATTTCATTGGCGATGAATTCCTCCGAGACAACTTCCTCGATGTTGCAGCCTCTCGTTTCCCATACGAGACGTTACCGTTTCTGCGAATCACGATACTTCTCGCGAAAGCTCGCAACCATTCGCTTTTCCGGGATGATGGCGTTCACTACATCACACACCGACTCCAAACCATGGAGTCTTTCACTCAAGCAGCGATCGGTGGTTTCGAATCCTACCATACTACACAGGAAGATGAAAACGCCAATCTAGTGGCGCTAGATCACTCGGTGGGCATGCTTGACCATCGATCTACTAGACGTCTGACTAGTGGAACTCGGCAAGAGGCGGCCGAGATCGTTCCCGGAGGTGCCGTTGGAGAAGTCATATCAGAGTCTATGCCTCCAGTAATTCGTTGGCATCACACTTACTCTGGTATCGCTCTCCTGGGGAAGTGGCTTGAACTTCACGTAAAGGGCGAGCTCGCTAATATCGTGTCTCCTTTCGAGACGGCCAATGACGTGGCAGCCGCCGCCGTTGGTCTTTTGTCTGTACTGTTGCGGACTACATATGACCACGCCAACGAACATCGAACTCAGGATGATGCTCGCCAACTATGTCAAGACTTGCTTGAAGAAGCCTCGGTATTCCACGAGACTGGACGCGACATTGTTGACTGCGTCTTTGACCTAGTTGAACAACAGCTTGTGTCAACTCGACGTTTCTCACCGGCATCTGGCTGTGACCTGCTCAGTGCTTGTGTCGATTTCATCACCATACTCTGCAGAGTTCGACCATTCCAACTCTGGCCTCTACTAGTCAAAAGCAGTGTTGTTGCAGCGTACGGCGCAAAGCGATCGGTGTTTGCTGTTATCGCTAGTGTTGAGGTTCCAATCCAAAGCTTTCTCCTTCTTGAAAGCTGCTCCATGCTGCTACAAGCTACTGTTGACCTTGTGCTCACGGTCTCGATGTACAGTGATGTCGCAAGAGGACTGAAATCACGTGCAGCTACTACACAGCGTCCACTAGCCACTGCTGTACTTGGTCTTACGCAGAGCATGTACGCCGCCTTCGACGCGAGCGCAGGGTGGACATTCGTTCGACCGAAGCAAAAGCAGACCATTCTTGATAATATATGTGCGGCATTTTCCAGTTTGCTGTACTATTCCTTCGGAACAGGCAACTCATGCAGCACCGACTCAAGTATTACGGTCTGCTTTCGACCTGCAGCGAACTTTCTGCTTGAAGCCTTGAGCGGCACGGGGGTCCAATCTCTTGGGTCCGGCCCCGTTGCTCTCCACCTAGTGTCTGCTGCGATGGCTCACGCCCCGGATGTGTTTACTTCAAGTGATCACTCTTATCTGCGCTCATTGTTATCTCTTGCCAGAATTCATCTGGGCTGCTCCCGGCTCTCTGGCCACGCTCTCAAACAAGTCAACGCAACACTGGTCAACTTATTTCCGGTGCTAATCCGGCTACCTGTACTCTACGCGCCTCTTCTTCGGCCCTGTCTTGCATTGGAGTGCGATATCTTCGACGCCTTCGATGCCGGATCGACCCCTCACCTACTCGGCCATCTAGGGTCATTATCATGCCTGAGCTTCTTGGACAGCTTACGATATCTAAATGCACGGGCACACGACGAGGTTCACATCTCTTGGCGTCTGATCGCACGACTCATAACTTTGGACCAGCAATGGACTGCAGTTGTTCTCATTACAGGCTCCCCTCCTGGCCGGGAACGCAAAGAGAGCGAGACTCCGAAACTGAGGACTAGAGGAAAGCCGCTGTTGGAGCAAGCACTTGACAAGCTGGTCAGGATCGACTCGATTGACCCGACCGTCGCTGTGGCTCTACTGATGCTCCTTAGTGACGCACAACAGAGTTGGCCTTCTGTTGCTGACGCTATCGCTGCACGGACTGATCTGTTCCCTGCCCTCATATCGCATGCTACTTCCCGAACGAGTTACGACCACAGTGACCTCAGCCAGGCTCTCCACAATCAGGTGGCTGCTGGCGTGGTCGATCTCAGCATCATCTCACTTCATGCGATGATGGCCTTCCGTGATGAGAAAAGATTCGCCGTTTTCATACCTTTCTTGGAGTGGTTGACCAAGAATGCATGCGAGGTCAACGGGTACAATTCCTCATTGCATGCAAATTTGAAGAAGAACTTCGCCATGAAATACGATGATCTGGACGTCAGTGTAGTCAAACGCACGGGTATTTTGAGGATACCGTATGGCGAGTCCTATTTCTATGACCTCGATTTCGCGGACAAGATTCTGTATACTGATCGACACTGGAACAACGGACCGCAGAGCTTCCATGCAGAACTTTGCCGCGCCAACATTAACCTTTCTGTCGTCGATTCGGAGCTGATCCTGCTCCGCAGTTTCACGTACCTGTGCAGCGAGCACGGATCATTTTTCGCAAAGCACAAGGACGTGCAGATTATTATGTCACACATGGTTTCGATCTGCCTGAGGGCTAATTGCAAGCCAAGTCCACCGGAGAGCCTGTTTGATTCGCTGTTTCAGTCACGAGCTGAAATTGCAGCTATGGTTCTTGGGCCACTTGTGACCGTTGGCGCTCGTGGTTCAGATTATACCACCCTACTTCGTTTGGCGTACGATACTGCGAGGTACAGTAATGGCTCTTACGAACTGGCGATCATGAACAACGATTTACAATACTGGCGATCTATGCTCACCGTTGTTCGTCTGTCGATGCAATTCCACGTAACGAAATCGAGAAAGACGGTCAATTTAGGGGACAAAGTGTCCCTCGACGCGATTGATCCGTCGAACACTCTATTCTGCGAGATTGGTGCACACATCGTTGGCGAAGGACTTCGATCTCTAGTTGCTGCTCTGCAAGACCAACGACAACGGTCCAAAGACAGAATAAATGATGGTAGTGTCGTGGATGCATCAGACGTTCTTTTACTCTTGAACGTGCTACAGACGATGCTTCGACTTCCAAGCCTGCCTCAGTTCGCGAATCAGCTAGCGGATGCTTTGATCAGCACCAGTACGCCACAGACTTGCCTCCTGCTGTTCTCATGGTCTCATCTGCTCGATGAAACCCCGGTTTATGCGGTTCTGGCCAGCCGATTTCTTGCAGCCATCTCCAAATTGGGCCCTGTCGCAGAAGAACTTGCCGTTGAAGGTGTCCTGAACCGAATCTTGATCTCGAAAATGACCCAGCGAATCCAGCAGATGCCACAAGGCGTCGGTCATCTAGATCGCAGACCGAATGCTGGTACACTGTACAACATCTGGAGCGATGGGTTCCTGCGAATCTGTCTCAATCTTCTTGATGCAATCGGAGGAGGTGTGGCGGCCGAGGTCGCCAACTTCATTAATGCTTTCCCAGAACAAGTCTCTCGCGCCAGTCTTTCGTTTTCGACGAACCCGAATCGCGCTGAGGGTACTGAAGGCCTTACACTTGGCGCAGCATGTGAGCTCGCAAACTTAGCTTTATTGTCGTTCGTCCTAGAGCGATTTCGCATTGCTGGGGCGTCGTCTGCTGTTGATCCAACACAGATCGCCCCACTGGCTGGCTTCGACGAGCACAAGAAGGGAATCGCCGCGGACATTCGCGACGTGATCGAGCAGGATCTTCGCTTCAGGCTGAAACGGGAGGTTCCGACCAACGAAACGCAGGCGGCCTGGGCGAAGAAGTCTAGCAGGCCAGAGGAGAAGGGTGGCCGGAATGACCAGCCACGTTCAAGTGTGCTTGACCAGAAGATGATCAAGGAATTGAAGGATGCGAGGAGATGTTTGCTGCCGGAGGGAGAGGAGCAGTGACGGCCAGGTCACGACCTCGTTGCCGAGTAGCGATGTACGACGATACTCGATCCTTAGCCTGGCGTTGATCGGATTTCAGATAGTAGCTCAGGGAAATCGACTTGCGCATGCACCCCGGTATGGCCCTTCATGTGCAACGGCAGCTCGTCCTTTCTATGTCTTCAATTGCCATGGAGATACCTCCGGATCTCTTGATCAGAGCCTTTGGTGAAAAATGCCCACCGTGTAAGAACCTTCTTGGTACCCAGGATACCGTTTTCGGGCACTTGAATCCCATTCTCTCTCCCGGTACGACAGCATTGTCTAAGCCTCCTGTGACGCGACCCACTGACGCGGAATTGCTAGTCAGCTTGTGAACCTTATGTCTGGGTGATCCCCGCAAATATATTTGTCACTTACATAGTGTTCAGAATGCGAATAAAAACGTCAAAGGTACTAGCGATTGCGGGACCTCAAACTACAGGATATGACTCGTAAGAGAAGACGATGACTGAACGGCCATGTTGTTTGTAATGAAGTATTCATCCCCAGGGACCGTGGCGTAGGAACATTCTCTAGGTAGTCCGGCTATCATGAAAAGCCGGCGCCGGAACATGCCGTCAGTCTGTTGATTACCTACCAGAGTTCGTTAGCACTACTATCATACTCGTTGCCAATACCATTCTCGTAGGACGGCCCTCCAACACTCCTTTCGTGCTCCAGTCCTGACCCGGGTTGACTTCGTGACTAATATAGGCACAACGTTGGCCCGGACGTGAGAAACGCTGTAGCGCCATCATTGCGGCGTTTGGGGCTTGTGTTCTCTGAGCTTCTCTGGAAACAAGGCTCAAGGAGTATGAACCTCTTGGGGCCATAGCGAGCACTGAAGCCGACTTTACGCCGGACTGCAGATAGACAAGCGAGTGATCGTCCCAGGAGTCTCAAGTCCTCGAAAGTGCTGGCTGGAGGCAGTATTCAAAGGATGGCGTTGTTCGCCGAGCGCCTGGCGCGCCTGCGGCTGACCTGATCCGGGGTGCTCTCGCCCCCCTGACGAACGCTTAGTCACCGTGCTTCACGCCCCTCAAGCCACCCCGGAAAGCTTGGTCTCTAAGAGGCTGTGCCGCCGCAGGCTAGAAAGAACTTTCCGCAGCTGTATTACGGCGGTTGGATATAGCGCGGGCGATTATCTTTTTCTTGTTTCGCCCACTGCCCTGCTTACTATCCGCCACAAGCACAGTATTGGCTTTAAGGTGAAGCGGCTCTGCTGTACAGAGCAACTCGCGACAGTAGATATGCTGCGGGCTTCGCTACGGGCAGTGTCAGATGCACGACATGGCAAGTTCTGGTGAGAAAATGCACGAAGGTGAGATAGCTAGTGCGGTAGGATCGTCGAGCCTTTCGGACAACGAGGAGGCAGGTGTGCCTCAAGCAGGCGGCGGCGAGGGCGAGGAGGAATTGGGGCTTCCAAAGAGTAGATGGTATCACAGCACGCTCTTCAACATCATCCTCGTCGGCGCCATCTCGTTTACGCAGCCTGGCATCTGGGCTGCGTTGAACAGTGAGTCCGTTCATACTACTTCAGAAACGTGGTTATGCTGACAAGAGGTCGACAGGCACTGGCGCAGGCGGCCAGCAAGAGCCCTACCTCGTCAATGGCGCCAACGCCCTCATCTTTGGAATCATGACTTTTGGCTGTCCCCTTTTCGGCGTGCTCGCTAACAAGTTCGGCTTGAAGCCTATGCTCATCATCGGCACGCTCGGGCTGGCTCCCTACTCGGCTGCGCTGTACGTCAACAATCGCTATGGCGTCGCATGGTATGTGCTCGTCGGGGCCGTCACCTGCGGCATTTCAGGGGCGGCACTGTGGACGACCGAGTCGGCGGTCGCTGTCGGGTACGCCCCTCCGCATCAGCGCGGCATGTACGTGGCCATCTGGTTGGGGCTGCGTGAGTTTGGGCAGATTATTGGGGCTAGTATTCAACTTGGTCTCAACCATCGCCTGGGGCAGCTTGGGAAGGTGACTTATGGCACTTATCTGGCTCTGATCGGTATTCAGTGCGTAGGACTACCTCTGGCGCTGCTCTTCACTTCGCCACACAAGGCGATTCGACCAGACGGCAGGGTTGTTGCCGTTGCCAACAGTGGAGGAATGGGATCTCAGTCATTTAGACTAAAGGATTGTTGGGCTGTGTTGCGCCAGCGGTGGGTATGGATGCTCATCCCTGTCGCCATGTGTTTCCAGTGGAACAACACATATGGCAGCATCTACCTCACGCGCTACTTCTCTGTTCGAGCACGTACACTTGCTTCACTTGTGGCGGGGGTCGCGGTGACAGTTGCCGACTTCCTGACGGGCTGGTTCCTCGACCTCAAGTGCTTCACCAGGCCAGCAAAGGCCAAAATCATCATCATCGGATTCTCCATCGCTCTGGCACTCGGCCTCTTTCCCTGGCAGCTTACCAACGAGTACGATTACTCATCCGCCGAGAGTGTAACGATAGATTGGTCGAGCACAGGATTCGGACGTGCTTTCGCCGTGCATATCTTCTTCCGATTCTTCAACGAGGCGCACATTGTCTTCATCTTCTGGCTGGTTGGTGCCTTTACGCGGAATGCTCAGACAGTTACACTGGCCTGTGGCCTCATCAATGGATTCGAGGCTCTAGGCTCGACGCTGGCGAATGGTATAGGCGCAGCTCGTATTGCACCAGTTGCTAACCTGTGGGTGGCGTTTGGTGTGTTTCTTTGTTCAGTGCCACCAACAATCATGGTGGCGTGGATGGTACCGAGGCAGCCCAAAGGTACAGATCCAGCCGAGGCTCTGGACGCCAAAGGTTGACGAAGGTCACGGTCCAGGGGTCGTTGTAATATTTAGGGCGTGATCGCCATTCAGGCCTTATATGACTTTCAAAAGCCCGCAAGTCGCTCAGCTTTGGTAGGGTTTGGACATTTCGCTGGAGGTGTGCTTACTTGTGACGAGTCCGAAGATACCAATGAAGTCGTGGTCTCCTGTTGCTCAATTATGCTGGTCGCTATAGGTCGTAAGCATCGAAACTTAGCTGCTCCTTCAGTGGGCAACTTCCTAAAGAGGACAAAGTCGTGGCCCCCAAAGGTTCCGCCCGGAGCCCTGGGAGTTGCAAGACCTCAGCAACTGCAATCCGCCCCCAAAAGGCATGGGTGACGTTCTCCGCATGGCGCCCGGAGAATGACCCTGCTATTCCCGAAGCTTATGCAGACATCGTTTTATCAGCCGTGTTTCCGTCACTTTTGCCATGCTGGCTGATCACTAGGGTGTCGCACAACCTTATCTCATCTATACGCTAAGCAGATGGCCGGGGTGATCGTCCCAAAGGGTGCATCGTGGGTGCGTTGACTATTGGTGGTGAGTTCGCAACACGATGCTGATGGCCAGTCTTGAACCAGCAACACCTCGCCAGAACCAGGCCGCAACTGCCACGGATCGCTTTGATGGGCCCCTCCTCTTCGTGCACCATGATGCCAATCACATGAAAGCAGCGCCTCACCGGCACCGTATTTTCTCTCATGTTCAACGACAGTATCGTCCATGGAAGCGGCGCAGTGATGGTCGGCCGCTTCGAACATCGCCCAAACCTCCCACCAAGACTAAGGCCCAGCACGAAGAAGAATCCCCGCCAACACCCTCACCAACGAGCCTCGTCCGGCATGGCAACTCAGATCCGTTCAGGACGTATCCTGTAAACATTGGAGCCGAGGAGAACGAGCTCATCTCCTTCTATCGCGATCTCTTCTTGCCGGCTCAGTATGGCAACAAGCTCGGTTACCCTGAGACACAGCTACTGATGAAGCGTGACCTTGAAGCGTGTATGTCGGGCCTGCTGGACGAAAGCATCGCCCATGGCTCGCTCGCCAGATGGGGCTATATGGTGCGAGGTTCCAGCTCTCGACTTCACAAAACGGCTATGCAGCATCAGCTAAATGCAACCCAACTCCTGCGTCGTAAAATTGCGTCGGGAGTTGATCTCCAGACCGAGGATAATTACATGCATCTCAATATGCTGTACTCGGCCGAGACCATCAGTCGCAATGCGATGGGTGCGTTAACCCACGGTCGGATGCTGAGACAGATGTTCGAAGAGGCACATGCGAGAGGTACACTGAATCTCAAGCTCCTGGTGTGGCAGTTTCACAACGATGTTCAGACCAGCTCGATATTCCTTGTCCCTCCGGTCTTCGATGTCGATCACTTCTTGCCCATGGTCTTCGCTCCGACATGGGAAGCCACCCTGTCAGTCATTCCCACCGTAGACACGAGCGGCATCAACTCGAACATCGATCCCTCGATTCAAGGACCCCTCCTCAGTATCTTTGAGTCCAGTCGCATCTTCTGGCACACCCTAGAAAGCTCCGGAGGGCTAGCCGCCCACAAGTCTTTCATCGTTACAATCCGCTGCAATGCCCAGGAACTCCTGCAACTCGGACGCTTCCTCGACCACTACTGCAAAGTCCGAGAACAACTACAACGCGAGATCAGCCGCGATCAACGGGTGAGACTTCTTGTAGAAGCCTACCTGTCGTTGGCAGGAATCTATCTTGTCAAGAGCCTCAACCTTGACCCAGTCGTGCTTGGACGGCCAATGTTCGACATGCGCCCTGCCGTCCTGCCAGCGCTGCGAGCTGCCCTTGAGCAGAGTGAGCTGCTCATGACCGATTCCGAGCAGCTCAAGTACGCCAATTCCAGATTCTGGGCACTGTTTGTTGGTGCAATGTCGGAACATGGCTGGCCCGTCAAGGGACAGGACGCATGCAGGCAGTGGTACAACACAAGGCTGGCTGACCTGGCAGCGAGGCTGGGCCTGTATACCTGGACCAGCGCCAGGCTTGTGCTAAAGTGCTTCCTGTACACGGACAACGTGCAGCCTCCGGGTGCACTCTGGTACGATGAGATGATGAGTGTCAACACGGGCTACGTTCTGCGTCTACCGCGTATGCACAAGATCGAGTTTGATGAGAAAGAGACACTTCCCGACGCCGAGTCGGGGCTTCCTCCGCGCGATGAAAGCATATCATCCGACCTCTCCAGTTGAGCTCGGGCAACTGCATCTACCAATTTGCACAGGATCATCTTCCGCCACAATCGCGATCTCCTCACGCCTCATATACTGTGTCGGGACGCGAGACATTGTTGTCTCTCGCATCCGGGTTGTGCAGTCAATCCTCTCCGAATCCTTCTGCCCTTACCTGCGTATACTGTGTCTAACTTACGCCTTGTCGCGGAGTCGTTCTGAGAACAGGCAGTGTCGTACGTGTCACGAGGACTCCTGCAGTGTGTCCAATGGCGAGTCACGCATCTGAGCCATACGCGGTGAGCAGAGTTACAACATCGATCCTTATACACCCAACGATCGCGTTGAGGTACATCTCACTACCACGCTGTTGGCCTGACTGCAGGTGCCCGGATATGGCATACAACCCGCCCGCTGGCGTCATGATCAATCTTAAATCCAATGAGACTGCTCCTGTCCCGAATTGTTTGCGACCTGTGTCTATATCTGGCAGTGCCTTCAATCGGAGCTTCCGCATGAGTAACCTCAAACGACAGGAGAAGCTTTGGGGAATACTAGCGTCAGCACGGCTCAGTAGATGTTGGAAACACAGAACGAGTGCGCGTGGCCAATCGCGATGAATGAATACCTCACTGAGGGATTTGACTGGTCGGAGATGTTCTATTTTAGGAGGAATATGATGGCAATGGCCCTAATGGCGCGCGATATGCAGGAACTCCAAATCAGCTGCCTACAGCTTCGCTTGATTGCATTTCAGAGAGTCTTCCTGCCGCGCAACCTCCATCACCAACACGCTCTTATTTCGCTCCTGCGTCGACGGCGCCACATCCATGCCTGGGTTCTGCTGGAAGAAGTTGACCGGCTTCAAACCCACAGTCATCTTCTCCGATGGCATGACTGGCCAATCTTCTATCCGTGGATTGTGCGTGGAGCCGAATGTATGCCAGACGACAATATCCGTGTTGCGGACGCTCGAGACCGCTCCACCTTCTTTCCGCCGCTGCTCTATTAACGACTCAATCCCTTCCCCTCCAAGCGACTGCATGGTATGTCTTCCTGCAGGAAAGAGCTCGTCATCATGATACCGCGTCACCCAGACCGCGTGCTTGGCGAACTCTGAGCGCCGCGCGTGGTACGAGCTGGGATGCGCGAGCAGCATTTGGCTGTAGCTAGGCAACAGCTTGAAGCCTACTGGCGTCATGGTAACGGGGTTCGTCTTCTGCTCGTTGATGATCTTGAAAATACGGGCTTTGCTCGCGTCAAGGTCAAGACCTTGCTCCTGCTCCACGGTGTACGACTCCGTCACGTAGCCGACACCATAGGGGTTGTGGACCTGCGCATCATCCACGGGAAGCGGGTGCGACTCTTCGACCTGCAGCGAGTTCGCATGGCCGTCGATAGCGGGATCAATCCGCAAGCTGAACAGGTGCTGGTGGTACGGCGCCAACACGCCAGGTGCGACCACGGTCCCGTACGGCACCGTCTCTCCAACATTGATCGGTGCCGTTGACAAGATGCCCGTCGCCCTCACCTCATAATGGATCGACGCATCCTGTCCAAAGTGGAATGCAAAGATATACTCATAGTTGCTCACCGTGATCACCATCTGCAGCACCAACACTCTCGCCCTCGTCACCGCGGCGTTCCCCGTCCTGAAATTCGTGTGCTTCCACAAAATGCCATCATCTACCTCATGACAGCACACCACGTTTGGCAATTTCACCGGCTCACCCTGAGCCGTATTGTGCCAGCCGTCGAAATACTTGATGACCCCCAAACAATCGCACCCGAGCCGCAAATTGTTGGCGTTGATGCCCGCGCCGTCGTTGCCCAAATCGAAGGCGGCTTTGCGCACGTAGGGGGCGCGCGGATCGCCGTAGGGCACGAACATCTCCGCGAGCGAGAGCCGGTAGAAGAGGCTGCGGTCGTCATAGCGGATGTCGTGCAGTGTCAACCCTTCACGGTAGTTGAAGCCGACGTGCATACTCCATTTCTCCCAGCTGAGCGCGTTGCCGCGAACCTCGAAAGATGGGCCCTCGGGCTGGGAAACGTGCAGCGGCTTGGTGGTCGTGCGTGGGGGTGGGCGCAGCGAAGGGTGGTACTCGCTGGCGGATCCGTCCTGGGTTTTGCGCGCGTCGAAAGGTTGGCGGGTTTGATGAATGCGCTCGTCGGCGGAGGAGGGGAGGCGATAAATCTTGACGACCTGAAGCTGCTCGGAAACTTCGGCGCAGAGGTCCAGAGGATAGGCATAGTAGTTTGCGTCTGCCTTGTCCGAGAGACGCATGTAGAACCAGCACTGTTCCGCTTCGTCAGTCGACCGTCATCTCAAGTGCGATAAATCATGGACAGCTCCAGCTAGTAGAACTGGTTGTGGAACTTCTCAGAGTTCTGCCGCTGCACCGCCGATGATACCCTCACCAACACACAACGCAGCAGGAAAAGCAAGGAAAAGCAGCTCACCATCGACGTCCGCTCCCTGACATCAATCTCCCCATCCGTCGCATACGCCCACGGCTCCACTACCACAGTCGCCCCCTTCGGCAACTGCAGCGTCGCGATCTCCCGCTGCACATCCTCGTTCTCCATGCACACCTTCTCCACCGCTTGCATGTACGTCGTGTCGACGTACGAGTGCTTGCCGTCTAGGATGTGCTGCTCCGTGATTTGGCGCTGGTTGAGGTCGACTAGGAGTTCATGGAGCTGGTTGATGGGGGTCCTGGTGTCGGTAGTTGGACTGCTAGCTGATGCAGGTCCGTGTCTGCGAATGATGATCTGCACGCGCGCCGTGCGGGCCGGGAAGGTGCTGATGCCGGGGTCTGCGAGGTAGCGCAGCATGAGAGCCTTGGGAGGCTCGCGGAGGGTGATGAAGCGGAAGTTGGGGTTGGTGCTAGGGAAGGCATTGCGGACGATGGTGGCGGTCTGTGATGGAGTCTGTCAGATATCGTGCTGGGCGTGGGATCGTCCGCAGGGTGTATATCTACCTGTGTGATTTCGTCTGGTGAGAGGGGGTCGAAGGGGTGTGGGGAGGGCGTCATGGCCTGGGATGGAGTTGGAGGCAGAGGACTATGTGATGTTGGGTGTGTATTGTTGCAGGAGTTTTGATATCAGCACCGCCAGGGAGATGAGCGGTATGTATCAGATATTTGAAAGAATTGCTGCGTGTCGAGTGAAGTCTTTATCTTTAAACAGATATCAAGAAGTCCCCCGGCCCGGTGAAGATAGGTCGTTGAAATGACAGGGTTGGCGCCCTGGTACATCGCGCTACTCCGCGCGCGGCAATTCTGCTTCCCCATCCGCGATAGCTAATGGGAGCTTTTGGCGCCCCAAAGTCTCCAAAGGTATCAGTCGTATCGAGACCGTGTCACAACTTGACACGGAGCTTTACGCTGGAGCTACGGCAGATCTTATTCCAGTCGATATGAGCATGTGGCATCTGTTTATTATGGCAATTGAGCTACTGAGTCGGACACTGTTATGATGTGTAGCGGGGTAGGAAGGCGCGAGATCTGTACCTCTTCCAAGGAACACAATTGGAGACGTATTCATCATGGTGTGCACATTGAGTCGCATACATCGTGCGCGACCCTCAACACATGTTCGACGATGGAATCTGACTACCTGCTTATGGCAGACCCTCCTTTCCACCAAATCCTTTAATTTTGACAGCCTATGACCTGTGCTCTGGTTTCGACCGAACTGCAAGTGCCGTCAGCTTTGCAAGTTCCAGGCATAGAGTTTCCTCACCTATCCCAACTTTCGACACAAAGCGCGACAGCGACGATCTTGTTTGGGGCGAAGGTACGGACCGAGTAAAAGCTAGAGCCCTCATGTCTCCAGGTTCCTCGACGATGCCCTTTCTAGGGGCTTCAGCGGTTGCTGATTGATCTTGATAGCCCCAGCTATTCATCGGACTTTGGCCTGAACAGTCGATATGACTGTAAAACTCCAGAGGCATCCTCGAGAGCTTCCTGCTGATAATGCGATTGTAAGAAGAGGGACAGTGTCACAGATCCGATATACCAAGAGATATCTCGGTTTGATAGTTAGAGTCGACGTATGGACACCATTGAGGCAATGGACATATTAGTCTGGCCCCTCGGACCACTTCCAGACAGAGTAGTTGACCTCATACTATGGCTTCTGAACCACGCTGTATTGTAGACACACCAGTGAGCTAGCCACATCTGTCTCGTTGGTTCCTACCAAATCAGGATTAGTACATGTTGACGAGCATGAGGGGTGTGTAGCCCACCAATGGAGGGCACAAACACGAGACGATAGGCGTTTGGTGGAGTTCGTGATATCGCAGATGGATTTGTCCGACATGTTGATCCGTGGCAGTCGTTAGATCGTGGCGAGTCGTTAACGAGACGTAGTAGGCGGTTCTTGAAGTGTCGCTCTGCTTTATCTTGGGCATCAAACGCCATCACTGCCATGACTTTTCATTCGAGTAACATTCTGATTCCTGAACGTTCATACCATACATCCAAGCACTGATCAACCCTTGTCCACGTACCATGGGCCCTGCAGACACACTTAAGAAGGCACAGCCCTTCAAGAAGGCTCTCCACTTCACTGAAGAGGAATTCCAGGAACGAAGGGAGCGTGCACTGGCTTTGATGAAGCGCGAAGGACTCGATGGCTTCCTCATCACGAAGCAAGAGACATTGTACTACCTCACTGGCTTTGACACATTCGGCTATGTCTTCTTCCAGGCAATGTACTTCCACGGCGATGGATCCATGCGCTTGGTCACCCGGATGCCCGACCTGCGTCAGGCACTTTACACGTCGGTGCTCGAGCAGAAGGATATTGTGATCAGATCTGACGATGCGTCGAGCAACCCAGTGTCCTTGGTCCCGCAGATTCTCAAAGACTTTGGTATCGAATCCACGAGTAAAAGGGTCGGCTACGAGCCAGATTCTTGCACCTTGACCCTACGCGTTGGAAAGCTGCTAGAGGAAGCAGTCCATGGCTTGTGCACACTTGTCGACCACAGCACACTGTTCACGCGCGAGTTGCGACTCGTGAAATCGGAGACGGAAATGCGAAAAGTGCGAAAGGCTGCATACCTAGCTGACTTTGCTCTGGTGCGGGCTTTGAAGTTGGCGAAGCCGGGCGCGTACGAGGGTGACCTTTGGCGAGAGATCGTGGGAACCGTGTACGAAGGTGGCGGTGACGATCCAGCAAATGAGAACATCCTTGTCTCGGGCAACAAGGCTGTTCTGACTAGGTACTCGACTGGGAAAGACCGTATCGAGCGCCAGCTCACTCTTGAGCATGCCGCTGCGTACAAGCATTATCACGCTTGCTTGATGAGAACAATTCCGATAGGAGGCATCACTTCGTTGGCACGACGAATGCATGAAGTCAATGTCCTGCAGATGGAGGCTGCAATGGAAGCACTGAAGCCTGGCCGCGAGATTGGAGACGTCTTTGAGGCATACGCTCGAGTTGCCCAGGAGCATGGATTTGAAGATCAGCGATTCAATGCTTGTGGTTACAGCGTAGGCGCGACCTTTTCGCCGACGTGGATGGATTTTCCCATGTTTGTTAGAGGTCAAGACGTCATTGCGAAACCAGGAATGGTCTTCTTCATCCACATCATTCTGATGGACAAGGCAACCGACACCGCGAGCTCGATTGGGCAGACCGTTGAGGTCACTGAGGATGGCTGCATGTCGTTGTCGAAACTTCCATTCGCCCTCACGCGGAGGCAGACGATTGCAGCATGGAAGAAGATTAAGAAAGATGCTTATTGTTTCACGTCGGAGGAAGTTGACGAGGGCGAGAACTTACAAGATGTGGAGTTGTCGGATGGCGATGTCGATGAAGAGGACTATGACGTCGAGTACGACTTCAGCGACTATAAGCCGGCGGCTTCTTGAAAGGGGTCGAGTATTGATTAAAGAGAGATATGGTGGAAAGCGTTGGCTCAGAGACGTTGGATGTTGGCATTCATTTACAAAAATCGGCCGCGAGCATAGTGAACGCTTCGGTAAGCTGACGGACGGAGTCGACCTCCACCCATTCCTTTTTTGAGTGTAATCCGTAGCCTGTCGGGCCCCAAATAACGCCTGGGATTCCTGCCTCGCTCAGCAATGCCATATCTGTCCAGTAGGTCTCGCCTTTGATCGTAGGATCACGCCCTGTTGCTTCGCTCGCGTGTTTCAAAACCTGTTGAACAAAGTCGCTGCTGCTAGAAATTTTGTATGGCGGCCTGGATATTGTCACGCGCAGATCGTACTTGAAATCAGGAACCGTAGCTTCGAGGTTCTTCAAAATGGTCTCCAGCTCAGCCGTGACTCCATCAATCGTCTCGCCCGCAACAGTACGCCGCTCTACGCCAATCGTGCACCGTGCTGGGTACGAGGAAATCTCTTCCCCACCTTTGATGATGCCAGCGTGTACATTAGGAGCACTCGTTTCAGGCTCCGTCTGGTTGTCATAGCGAGACCGTAGCTCATGAGCAAGACGTCCGAGCTCGACAAGAAAGTACCCAGCCTTGACAATGGCATCGATTCCGAGGTCCGGTCGTGAGCCATGTGAGGCTAGGCCATGGATGTCTACTTCGAACAACACGAAGCCCTTATGGTTGTTGACAATTGCCATCTCGGTAGGCTCGGCCACCACCGCAGCATCAGCTCGCCAGCCAGCTCTTATGACTTGCTCGGTTCCAATGCTAGGGCCTTCTTCGTCAGCCACTGCGGCAAGAAGTACATCGCCTCGGAGATGAAGCTCTTTTGCACGGACAAGGGCGATCATGGCTGCCGCAAGGCCGCTCTTCATGTCTGCAGATCCTCGACCATAGAGACAACCATTCATAATTTCACCACTCAATGGGTCTCCATCGTAGCCTAACAACGTCACGGTGTCGGTGTGTCCGTTAAGCATCAGACTCTGGCCACCACCTGATCCACGCACGACACCAACCAGTGAAGGCCTGCCAGCAACTGGTTCTATCCAGTGCGATTCGATTCCGTGACGATCCAGCCATGCTTTGATGTATCTCGCAATGGTGGTTTCTCCTGGGCCGCCAACAGTGCCCAGACCAGGATTCGATGAATCAATCTGCACAAGTGCTTGTGTCAACGCAACGACATCGTAGTATGCTTTATCGCTATCCATTACGCTTTGAGTGACAGTGAGTCTCAAGGACGGGAGATACGGCTGCTGTGGCTCCCGCACAGGAAGAACTGTGAGCTGGCTTGAGTGATGCATCCATCAAGAGCCCGCAGCGCCCAGGGGGGCGGTTCCGGTCAAAGACCCAGGGTTGTTGCATATCTCTTTGCTGGCAAGGACTTCTGGGGATGGTAGATTGTCCAAGCGAGACGGTGTTGTTCGTGAAGGTCTAGCCTGCTTTGGGAAGGGACCGGCGACTTTGAACAGGACTAGTGGGGGGTGCGGAGAGCACAAGTACCTTCGGAGCCAATAGGTGGCTTCTGAGCTTATCGGCACTGACGCACGCCAGAGCACGTTCTACAATCACTTTCACCCGCGCTGGGTTCGTCCTGTCAACGTCCTCGGACATGCTCACGAGAGACTCCCTGTCCTCCGGATCTGAAAGACTACGATGCCGGCAGAAGTGAAGCTCCCAGATCCGCCATGACCGAGATCGTGTGGGGCCTTGCGGGAGTTGACATCACTAAGGCTTGCATCGCGGAGGCACGACCAGTGAGATCGATCTCATATTCAGGGTTCGTGAATCACATGATGACTATTTGGAACGCTTGACTGACATAGTGAAGTTGCTGGACCTGCCGTCAGAGGCGTATCAAATGTGATGAGCGGCCTGGAACCTGCGGGAACTGTGAGCGGTCGAAGCGTACCTGCGATGGGTACGACTTAAGACTACGATGGCCCACTGGCACAGCGCAGGAACGGGGGAGACCACGAGGCCAGCGGAGGCGTGTTGGTGAGCACTTTGTGACCCTGCAGAACATGGTGCGCTGATCACATGTGTAGCCAGCTCCCGATGTCATCCAACGCAGCAACTACAGCCGAGTAGCGACAGGACACAGGCGCCCAAAGTTGCCCATGATGTATTGGTATCCGCGCCATCTCATTTGCTTGCTAGTGTTTCGGATCCACCTGCATCGACGCCCACGCCAGATGTCGCTTGTCATGATCATCTGGCTAGCCACAAGCACGCGTTTGCTTCTTTCGTTTCACAACCCAGCCTGAGCCTCAGTGGAGGCTTGGGCATCCTCCCGATAAGCGACAGCAATGCCCAGACGTCAAATCATGAGACTGGGCGTATACAGGAGATCGCGGAAGAAGACAATGGCCAAAGGAGCCCCGTATCCAAGGCGAATCTCTGCCTTGTTCCAGAGACTGACTCCACCTCAAGCGTTGTTCCTACACGCACAATGTTGAGCAATTTCAGCGGGTTGTCGAGTCTTGAGCATACCAGTGTCGCACTGCTCACCGAGTCATCAAATTCTGGGCTGTATTTACCCCAGAATCTCCCCGTTTTTCCATTCGGAAACTCAGCCGTGGCGTTACTCTTTCATCACTATGCGCATCACATGGTATCGCTGATGCAACCGATCTCACATCAGAGCAATCCATTCAAGAACATATATCTCAGATTAGCCTTCGAAGGCTCCGTCGCGTTACTATCAGTCAACGGCAAAGGTCAAGCCTCAGCTGCTCGAGTGTCCATCTACCACAGCGTACTCGCTAGTGCTGCTGTGAACTTACGGTCTCTTACCTCCCACCAAGCCGATCATTTCTATCAGGTCAGCTGCTACCACCGCAAAGAAGCTCTTAGAGCCGCTAGAGATGCAATGACCAGTCGCAACAGCAGCTACAAAGAGCTGATGACAGCAATTCTGTGTCTGGTCTCCGTAGATGTAAGCCAGTCCATTGCCCTGCACGGAGTTCTGCTGACATAATAGATTAACGATGGAGGTACACACGACCACTGGATTCACCTCGAAGCTGCAACGCAGCTACGGAGATCAAGACAGCGTTCCCGTATTATCAGCTTCGAAACCAGTCAATTGAACGCCATGTGCGGAATGTTAGGCCTTTTTGCCCGTACAGCCCTCCATGATCTCGCTCCAAAGCGCTGGATGGGAAGTGTTGATGTCCTCGAGAACGGTACTCTTGACGATCTCTGTCCCAGCATTGAATCCATCTACGGCATCACACCGTTCTTGGCGAAAGCGATTCTGAAGAACCACGAACTGGCTCTGCATCTAGCATACTATTCCCAGAACGACCGCCCGGAATCACTACTTGAAGCATGTGAGGCCTTGTACGACGAGCTGACTGCCTGGAGCATTGAATCCGAGGAATTTGCGACCATCAATGCTCATGATGGACCCGCACTTGCTGTTGCAGGAGCTCAGGCTACAGCATTCTACAACGCAACACTAATCTATCACCTCCGCACCATCCAACAATGCAACCGTGCACATCTTCGAGGAGAGCAACAGAAGGTTTTGGAAGCCATGAACAGGGCAGAAGATCTCAAGACCTGGCATCAGCGCAACACCTACTGGGCTGCGCCCATCACTTGGCCTGCATTCATTGCCTCTTGCGAGGCGGTGAAAGAGGACCGTGAGGCATGGGCTTGCTGGTGGAATCGAGTTCAGACGTATGGATTGGCGAATTATGCAAAGCAATGGAGGATGGTACGCCAGGTTTGGACGGAACAAGACATCGCAGATGACGGCACTGACTGGCGAAAACTTCTCTTCGATATGGGTGTCCGAATTATCCCAGTATAACGGTCCAAGGACGCCCTGGAATGGGAAGAGGTGGACATCTCTCTCGACATTGGACTACTCTCAAATGCCCAGTAGAATCGACTCTAGGCTTTCACGGGAGTCAACTTCATCCACAGCGGCGGCTTCTCCCACAACGTGTACACCTTCTGATCATGCCACTGCTCAGACTCCTTGCAGAGCGCAAAGTCGAAGTAAAGCAACGTCGTCGCGAGCAGTAAACGCATCTCATGCCATGCAAGGTTCTGTTGATGTCAGCAAGACCCTCGATCGATCATTTCGGCAGCTTACCTTCCCCACGCAATTCCTCGGTCCGACAAGGAACGGCTCCCAGGACGCTCTTGCATCTTTCTCGTATCTTCCATCACCTAGCCAGCGCTCCGGCACAAATTCGTCAGGGTCTGTCCACATCGAGCTGTTACGGTACGTTGCGAGATGAGGAATGCTGATGTTGGCGCCCTCTGGCAGAAAATGACCAGCAATGGTTGCACCGCCTTTCGGCACCTGTCGTTGCGTTCCGACTGGGACAGGCGGGTATAAGCGAAGTGTCTCCTTAAGGACGGCTTCCATGTATCTGCACTGGGCCAGTGACTCGAGACCAAAGCCGTCCAAGGTTTGGAAAGAGTCTCTCAGCTCCGTCTTGATACGGGCCATTTGCTCGGGATTTTTGGACAAGTAGTATAGGGAACCACTTAGCAGCGTGGCTGTGGTCTCCGTGCCGGCAATCATAAAGAGACTAGCGTTCGAGTGTTGTTCATCTCTTGAAAGCCTATCTTCACCTTTCTCAAGGATACGAGACCACAGGTCAGGTCTACGGGGAGGATTGGCGAGACGTTTGTCGACCCGGTCCGTAGTGAACCGCCAATGTCGCATCTGTTTTGCGCGCAGGGATGGCATCTTGCCCAAAATGTCCTCCACAAGATATTTGCTAACCGTGCTGTAGATTTTGAGGCAACGAAAGGTCGCCATCTTCTTGAAGCTCGCAAAGATAGCTGTAACCCAGGGACTGTAGCTTGAATTCTCGAGCATGTACAGAGGCTCCGCAAATGTGAGATCGGCCATGATGTCAAAGGTTGTGCAATTCAACATCTTCACCATGTCGATCTTGTCTTCAGCAACGGCTTTTTCTTTAAGCTTGACAAGGAGAAGCTCGGCCCATTTCTTCAAGAGTGGTTCCTGCTCTTTCAATGCCTTGTCGCTAAATGCATTGGCAACACTTTTGCGTTGTCGAGCATGGTCAGCATCATTAGCCGTAATAATACTCGGTACGCCGTTGATGGGTTGAAGATAGAATCGCTTGTCTTTATGAGGAAGTTGCCGGCCAATCTTTTGGAACCCGTATATGTCTTTCCAGGTTTGCGGGCAACCAACAAACGACAACATCGTCGGCCCGATGCGAACAACAGGTCCATACTTATCATGTAGAGCAGCCACATCAATGCCTTCGTTACCATTCCATGTAGAACGAATGAACGGCACCAGGGAGAAGGCATTGACGGTTGGACCTGGAAATTTGCTTAGAGGGCCAAAAAAGGTCAAGTAAATGTTCCCAAATAGTAGCACCAACGCATAGAGCCCAAATACAATTATCAAACCTGGAAGAACAGGCAGCAGGCTCAGGCTTGACGCAAACAATTGCAATGCCATTTTGATATGGGAAGTGAACAACAAGACTCATTGTCGAGACTTTGCGCGTTAATGTTATGCAGTCGTCCCACGTCTGAAAGCATAGAAGAGGGAATGGTTCCGAGCTGATTAGGCCAGCAAGCTGTGAACTTTACGAATCCTTAAGTTCAGGGGTGCGCAGCTAGCCTTGGTCATTTTGAACGATGCAGAGCCGATTTAGGTTAGGGATGGGTATGGTCCCATTTAGGAGCTGTAGTTGGTTAGCATAGCATATCCGAGCTGTGAAGTGATGGGCTGGGCCTTACAGACATTGCGTGGCTCATTAGATAGTCCATTCCGAACAAGATCATACATTATTTTGAGTGTGAGACGTGGGCGACTTGAGTGTCACTACCCAAGCTATAGAAAATCATCACACAGTGTACCCGCGCTCATGTCCGATGCATTTCAAGGCAAGCGTACTCGTATTTGACTGCAAACAAATCCTTCGAGGATAGCTCGCCGCACCGAACGGTTGCCTACTTCGACATCTCAAGCGTCAACGAAGACAATGGCGCAGAATGTATACGACACAGAAGAATTCTTTCGGGCGTACAGTTATCTTCAGCGCTCGCGTGAAGGGCTGGATGGGGCTGGTGAATGGCCGACAATGCGAAACCTTGTTGGCAGTGTGTCAGAAGCTGACATAATCGACGTTGGCTGTGGATATGGGTGGTTCTGTCGCTGGGCAAGTGAAGGTGGTGCACGATCCGTTCATGGCATCGATGTGTCGAAGAGAATGCTTGAGCGCGCGCAGTCGTATCCGGCAGATCCTCAGATCAAGTACATGTTAGGAGATCTCGAAAGTATCGATCTCGCGGCCAACACTTATGACCTCGTATACAGCTCACTCACGTTACACTACCTGCCAGACTTACGATCAGTCATCCACCGGATCGCGACATGCCTCAAATCTGGAGGTCGCTTTGTATTTTCAGTCGAGCATCCTGTCTGGACGGCATCGCCTAACGCGACCTGGCAGACCGACAGTGCAGGTAATGGCTTTTGGCCTTTGAAGGATTATGCCAAGGAGGGTCTGCGAGTGTCCAAATGGTTGGGGGCAGGAGAGGTTCACAAGTACCACCATCGAACTGAGACCTACCTCTCAAGTCTTATAGAGAGCGGCTTCACGATCGATGCTGTCCGAGAGTCGTGGGAAGGCATGGACGACAGTTGTAAAGCTGAACATAAAGATTCAGGTCATCGGCCATACTTTCTCATTGTTCGAGCCAGGAAGGGGCAGTGAGTAACTCTGCTCACGTCTGCACCAGTGAGACCTGAGACAGACCGATACTACTCGACTGGCAGGGGACTTGTGAGAGTGGCTTCACTTTAAGGGCCGTTTCAGCTTGAAGACGTGAATATTCGAGAGGCAACGGAACGAGTCGCTGCGGACCCGACTGATGGACCTGGATATACTTTTCACTCCCGATACCGGCTTCAAGAAAATGTGACCTCAATCGTCAGAGAAGATCTGGTCTGCGGAGGAAGCTTCGCATCCGGGTGTCATCGCAGGAGGCTGAATCGTAGCCTTACCCGGGCAGATCGAGAGCGATCGATTTCCCCGCATTTTGTAGCAATGACAAAACGCGACTGAGCTCGAACGCAGGTCTCGAAACTGAAAAGGCCGCTACTCCGCTCGAGAAGATGGTGAAGCTGATCGTAGCCGATGATCAAGAATACTGCGGAGCAAGCGACCAATTCTCACCTACTTTGAAGCCACCATGAAGGTCGTTAGAGTCATCGAGTACCATCAAAACCTCCAGCTGGATGAGGCACCTGAACCAAAGATCACGTCTCCTCTCGACGTCATTGTCAAGATCGGCGCGGCGGGAGTCTGTCGCACCGACATCCACATCATCGAAGGGCAATGGGAAGAGAAGGCTGGCGTCAAATTGCCGTACACAATCGGTCATGAAAACGCAGGATGGATTCATGAAGTAGGAGATGGTGTGACCAGCGTCAAGAAAGGCGACAAGGTGCATCAGAGCCCGCTCCTTTCCAGTGGCTCATCTGACTGACTCCTCATAGGTCATTCTTCATCCCTTGGTAACCTGCGGCCTCTGTCGTGCTTGTCGGTTCGGCGACGATGTGCATTGCGAGGACAGCACGTTCCCTGGGATCAATGTCGACGGTGGCTACGCCGAATACCTCAAGACCGGCGCCCGTAGCGTGATTAAGCTTGACGACAAGCTGGAACCAGCCGATGTGGCCGCGCTTGCGGATGCTGGTCTGACCGCCTACCACGTTGTGGCAAAGGCAGCGCGGGTGCTGCGGCCGGGCAATTTTGTGGTCATGATTGGCGCAGGAGGGCTCGGCCACATCGGCATTCAGGTCATGAAGGCTATCAGCGGTGCCACGCTCGTTGTTGTGGACCGAAATCCCGATGCTCTTGCTCTAGCAAAGAAAATCGGTGCCGACCACACCATTCAGGCAAAAGACGATGGTTCATTCGTCAAGGAGGTCATGGATCTCACGAAGAGAAAAGGCGCAGAGGCTGTCATCGACTTCGTGGCTGAGGGAGGGTCGACGGCGACTGGTGTGAAGATGCTGAGAAGAGCCGGCAACTACTACGTCGTTGGGTACGGTGAGAACCTGAACATTCCTACCATCGACATCATCTCGACCGAGATCAACTTCATTGGTAATCTTGTCGGTTCGTACAATGATCTCGTGGAGCTCATGGAGCTTGCCGCGCAGGGCAAGGTCAGTCTTCACACTCAGCGATACAAGCTGGAAGATTTTCAGAAAGCCATTGATGATCTGTCGGCCGGCAAGGTGCGTGGGAGGGCCATTCTCGTCCCTTGAATTGAGAGCGCACGGTGCAGGTGGGAAGTGTGAGATTTATACGGCAGGTGATACAGACCATACATGCAAACGCGTCGCGTGTCATCAATGTCATTCAGTGCCTGCCTGTACGTGTTTTGTCGTCGAATCCTCGCTTGATCCCAGGGTCGTGGCTTGAGACGAGCCTGCTTGGGCCAAAAGAGCCGGACATGATCTCTCTCACAGTCTAGCAGAGATATGTTGGCCGCAGCAGGAATTCAGAGTCTCTCTTGGTCTTCTTGAACTCCTCGTCGTCCCAGAAATTGGCCCTCAACTCGACTTTGTCGCTTCCGAGCCAGAACGGCCTCTGACTTTCCGGAAGATGGCATCTCTGCAAGAAGTTGGGATAGCTTGGACTCTGCAGTCAAGTCAGTTCATCATCATAAGCCTGCCTGTGAAGCTTTCAAAACGTACCATATATCCCAGCCCTATCATAATCCTGTGCATGTCACTTCCATTCGCCATCCCTGCGTGCCATGTCCTGATGTCGCGGATCATGACGTCTCCCTTGTGACACTCTGGCTGCACAGGTGGTCTTACTGCCCTCCTCACCTTCAGCGCTTCCTCTGTGATGCCGGGAATGGGTTCTCCGAGCTTGCTATGCGGGTATATGTCGAGGTCTTTTCCCGTTGCCTTCAGTTGATCGGCTTGTGACGTGTGACTGTGGCTTCCGAGCCAGAACTCGGTCGCTCCGTTGGCGACACTGAAGTCGCACAGAGGTATGTTGGCGATAAAGTAATACGGAAATTGTGGATGGACAAAGGCATTATCTTTGTGCACCGGCTGGCGTACTCCGCCTGTGTTGGCAAGGGCGTTGTTTGATGTGATCCAGTTGAAGATCGGCTTGTGACCGAGGTATCTGGTGGAGGTAAGTGTGATCCACATATCGGTCAACATGAACATTACGCATTGGCGACCTGCAACAGGAAAGTATTGAAATATACATCCTCGAAGAGGAGCGAAGGCTCAGCAACTGGTGGGCGCTGGAGGAAGTTCGCTGCGACTCGTCAGAGTGTCGTTGTGGCGGTCTTGCCGAACACTCACACTTGATGCCGTGGTTGAATGCCTGCTTCGGATCTGCTAGGAAGTGCTCGACCTCTTCGCACATTTTACTATTAATAGCGTCGATATGTCCGACATCGATGATACCCTTCAACAGCACCAAGCCATCTTGGTGCAGCGCCGAAAGGACCTTTCCCAGCGTTTCTGGAGCGTATATACCTCGCCGCCGCTCCTCCTTGGTAAGGACGATAGCTGCTGGCCCGTCCGTCGCGCCTTCTGCTGAATCTCTGCTTATCATCGTGGCAGGCTATGGCTGAGATAAGACTCAGCACCCAGGCAATCCAGTTTCTAACGGGGCCGCCGGCTTCGGACGAAAATCCCAGGCCTAGCAGTCAGTACAGCGGTCAACTTGCTACTCCAAATGACGGTCAGGTCACCCCGTTGAAATCAGTGCACATCTATACAAAAGGACATGCCCGCAAGGTGTCCTGCGAAGGTCTTGTGGGTGGGGTTGACTCTAACCCAATCCTATGGAGGTTAATGGCAGGGATTGTGGTGGGGTACCGAGTACTCGCTGTGGACAACGCCGAAGTTATAGATTTGGTAGTGGGCACTGTTCTCTGGGGCTCTTGCAACGGAGCCCTGATCTTGACCGAATGGCTGTTATTGCCATTGCCTTTGAGTACGACTCGTTGACAGAATTCGTACGAGATACGACGCATCAGACCAGCTAGGTTCTGCCGAGAACACGCGACAAACGTGCCGAGGCTGTTGCTAGCGAACCTCGCTTTCAAAGCAGCGTTGCACCGAGCCATTCAGACAAACAGTTGCATATCTCAGGACAATGCTGACGAGTCTAGACAACGACATTTTAGCTGTAAGAAGCACGAAGCCACATTTCAACCCCGGAGCGAGTACCTCGGTAACCGCCGGCGTCTTCGCAGTGCCTTTATAACACAGCGCTCCACTCCACCTGGCGGTCTGAGGCGACGCGCACGACGTTGAGGTAGCATTATTCTATCCCATCTACGCTCAACCTTGACCATTCACCACACTACTTACAACACCCGACCTCTCTAACAAGTATGGTTGACCAGGAGCGCGCCATCATCGTCGGCGCTGGCCTTGCGGGCCTCGTGGCAGCGTACGAGTTGACGCAGCAGAACGTGCACGTTACAATTTTGGACCAGGAGAACTCACAAAATCTCGGCGGACAGGCTTTCTGGTCGCTTGGTGGCATCTTCTGCGTCAACTCGACCGACCAACGCCGTGCTGGTGTCAAGGACAGCTTCGAGCTAGCGCGCACAGACTGGGCGAACACCGCGCGCTTCGACCGGGATCGCGAGGACTACTGGCCGCGGCAATGGGCGGAAGCGTTCGTGCAATTCGCCAACGGCGAGATGGAGCCGTACTTGAAGCGGCGCGGCGTGAAGTTCTTGACTGTGGGGTGGGCGGAGCGCGGCGGTGGCGACGGTCGAGGCCAAGGAAACTCGGTCCCGCGCTTTCACCTTACTTGGGGTACCGGCCCAGAGATCGTGCGTGCGTTTGCCGAACCTGTACAACGGGCAGCAAAAAAGGGCCTGGTCGAGTTCAAATTCCGGCACCAGGTCGACGAGTTGATTGTGGATCCGGATTCGGGTGCTGTGGTAGGGGTGCGTGGAACTATTCTCGAAGACTCTGATGCTGAGAGAGGCGTAGCTTCGACGCGCACGGCAACCGACAAGTTTGAACTACGTGGTAAGGCGGTCTTGGTGGCAACTGGTGGAATCGGCGGCAACGTGCAAGCAGTGAAGGAGAACTGGCCGCTGGACAGGCTTGGCCCAAAAGTCCCGGACTCCTTCGTCGTGGGTGTCCCAGCACACGTTGATGGTCGCATGGTACAGATCGCCAAAAAGGCGGGGGCGAGCGTAGTTAATTTGGATCGCATGTGGCATTACACCGAGGGCCTGGCGAACTGGAATCCCATCTGGCCTTCACATGGCATCCGCATCATACCAGGCCCATCGTCTCTCTGGCTGGATGCAAATGGTCATCGCTTGCCACCCGCGCTCTTCCCAGGAACGAACACACTCGAAACCCTCCGCCATATATGCTCCACCGGCTACGACTATTCATGGTTCATCTTAAATCGAAGCATCGTGAGTCGCGAGTTCACACTCTCCGGTTCGGAACAAAATCCCGACATCACTGGCAAAAACTACCTGAAGCTTCTTCAGAGATACTTCACGTGGTATGGAATACCTGCGGTACAGAAGTTCCTGGAGCACGGCAAAGACTTCGTTGTGGAGGATAACCTCGAAGCCCTGGTCAGTGGCATAAACATATTGGCACGAGAGAGGAATGGACCCGTCCTGGAATACGACGCCGTCCGAAAAGAGATCGAGGCACGCGACTTGCAGTTGGCGAATGCTTACAGCAAGGACGCTCAATTGATGCTGATCGACAACGCACGCAAATACAAATGGGATCGCTCGCGGGTCGCGCCAGCCCATCGGCTTCTCGACCCTGCTGCAGGCCCTCTAATTGCCGTTCGATTGAACCTGCTCACAAGAAAGAGTCTGGGCGGTCTAGAAACCAATCTTGACAGCAATGCCATGCGGGATAAGGATGAAGTCTTTCCTGGGCTTTTCGCGGCTGGGGAGGCTGCAGGCTTTGGAGGCGGTGGGGTACATGGCTACAGCTCGTTGGAGGGCACATTTCTGGGAGGATGTATATTCTCCGGCTTGAAAGCTGGCCGAGCGATGGCGCAGTTGTTTGACGGAGCGAAGCGCAGGGCCAATCTGTAGTACGCCAAGAGTGAGGTCTCGTCAATATGACCGCCGGCAGCCGAGTTCCTCTTACGGATTCAAAAGCCTAAGCGTATCGACGCCGGTGATTTTGCATCTCCGACATCGCCCAGCAAGACATACGGCAGAGAAAGCTTAAAGGAAAGCTTCTGAGGGCAGCTGTGGCGTGATGGTTCCATTTGTTGAACAAGTCAGTTCTGAATGGCGATACGGAGTAATTCTCTCATGATGGGAACCAGTCCGTGGAAAATTTCGCCGGCCTATCTAATGATGTCTTGCATTGACGTCTGTCGATTGGCTTCCACACTCCACCTGGAGCCTCACAATTGCCGTTAGTGGAGACTGATTTCGGCAATCGTCTTCCGATGTTTGTCCATACACAGGTCACGGGAGAAAAGGAAAACTGTTTATAAAGCAGAGCTGACCGAATATGCCGTATGTGAACCCAGTCACTTTTTCTGGCATTCTTCAGTCCCAATATGTTGTCCATTCGGTTTGCCAAGCTCGCGGCGCTCTTCGCTGCTGTTTCTACTGTTGTGGCAGCACCAGCCCAAAAGAGACAGGATAGCTGTGCGGACGTACACATCTTCCTAGCAAAAGGCTGGAATGAGCCATATCCAGGGCGACAAGGAAAACTTGCCGGCTCAATATGCTGGAGCCTTGACAGCTGCGACTATGAGGACATCTGGTTCTCAAATACGCCAGAGGACAACTACTGCGACTCGGTCACGCAGGGAGCGGCAAGCGGCGTTGCTCAGATGACTGCATATGCTCAGAGATGCCCCGACTCGAAACTCGTGCTGTCAGGGTACTCGCAAGGCGCGAACGTTGCCGGCGACATCATCGGTGGCGGTGGTGGACCATTCGGCACTCCTAGCTGCGAGATTGGATGGAGCGCTGGTCTTAGCCGCAACTCAAGCCCAGGCAACAAGAGTGAGTTCATCCGCGAACACGATGAATAGTCCTGACTTGTTCCAGTTGCTGCAGTCCTCCTTTTCGGTGATACCCGTCATGTTGGCGGCAAACCTTACAACCACCTGAACGGGGCTTCCATCTCATCCTGGAACCCTCGCACGCCGGAGGCTCTCGTACAGTTCGATACGTACGCAGATCGTATTCGATCATTCTGCGTTCAGTCGGATGCTGTATGTGCCGCGTCTGGGCCAGGTCCGTTTGTCGACGACGATCATCTCAACTACTTCGATCGATATACCGACGAGGCTGCTGGTTGGGTCCGGTGGCGTTTGACGCAGCAATGATTAGGTGGAAGGATGATACAATAATAATTTGACGGTGCCACGAGCATATAGTGTTAATATCAAGACGTTTACCGAGCATGCTCTTCGGGCGTGAACATGACACGCTGTCTGAAAGTGGTGCTCCCCGTGGGACAGCGTGGGTTGAATCGAACGTTTTACAGAATTGCGAGCGTCACACAATCTGAGTGCTAGCTGGTCAGACGCTATCTCTGCCCGCCTCTTTATCGAGTAAGGTGCTGTCTTGTATGCTTGGTAGACAGTCTCGACTGTCAGCTCGGGAACCCAGGCAAATTCACCGTGGACCAGACAACCGGAGCATACGGCTCTGTAACGAAACCACCTACTGGCTGTAGTGTAGATGGAAGCTTCGGCTTCGACGTACAGAGCATAGAAAGGCACATGAGGGGATTTATAATGAAAAATGAGATCCGTAAACGAAACTGCAGGTGGTGTATTAAAAGGGTCATCGCAGGTACTTCCTGCTCAGGACTGCGCAGAAAGGCTAGGCGTTCAGACAACTCGCAGAGTCATACGCATGCCAGCTGACGCGTTCGCTGACTCCCTCTCGATGTTCTCTATGGGGTGGTACATGTCCAGCCATGACTGACGCAAGTCACTGCTCAAGGGGTGAAACGACTTGGCATGCGCCAAGCCCGCAGGACATTACACAGGACAAAGTCAGCCCAAGCGAATCTCAGCTTTGAGTAAGTCTTGCCTGGCATCGTTTCAACCTACCGCATTCTGTGCATTTTGATCTGATCAGATTGCTGAATCCGAACAAGGACCCCTCTCCCCGGTCGGTGCTTTGGTGGACCTTCGCACCTTAATTTTCGCCTCACGCTCGCCTTGACCACGCCAGGTGGTCCGACCAGCCAAGGACTTTCGGAAAAGAAGTCCATCGACGGCACACGCTCCTGGCTGCTTGACGCACAATGCCAAAGTGCAACGTCCGTCGTTACCAATGGCGAGCTTGCTCGTGATCTGTCGAGTTTGAGGGACGAATGGTGAAGTTCATGAGTTCGTCATTGGTGACCCACAATGACCACGGGGCCAGCCACATCTCGCTTACTCATAGCCATCGCGAGAGCCAAGTCTCCTTCTCTGGGAAGACCCCGAGTGGTCTGCTGTTTCATGCCCTTGACCTGCAGTATTATCCATGCGTGCTCTTATATCGCCGGCGGGCAGTTCAAATCTGAGCGGGGCCATCGTCATGCCTCAACACTTGCTATTCGCCAGACATGGTTGCCGGTCCACGCTCTGGCCAACTCACAGTTTCATCCTAGATTCGAGTACAGCTCGGTTAGAATACCAAGAGCTCGAGGATGCGCTGTGGAGGTGCGAGGGCTTGTCCATTTACACTGGTGTTGACCGGGCTAGGTGACCATGAGCGATGAGAGGAATATAAAGGGATGGTACCCGCAGATGATGGATTGAATAGTTTCTGCAAGTCATTCTTTCTTCAGTCACTCGCTTTTAGCCGTTCGCTTCTATCATCCCTCCAAGATCAGGATCTTTTCTCAGTTCGCCGGCACGAACAGACACTCTACAACATGAAAGCATTCACAACTCTCTCGGCTCTGCTCTCGGCTGCTGGCCTAGCTCAAGCCCATTACACATTCGACAGGCTGGTTGTCAACGGACAAGAAACTCGAAGCTGGGAATACATTCGAGAAAATACTCGCACTGAGAAGTACATGCCGACCAAATTCAAGAATACCATTGGCAAAGTCACTCCGAACGACGCCGACTTTCGATGCAATGAAGGATCGTTCACAAATGCTGGAAAGACCAAGGTCTACGAGGTCGCTCCTGGTGATGAGCTCTCTATGATTCTCGCGTACGGAGCGAGGATGGAGCATCCCGGTCCGGCCCAGATCTATATGTCCAAGGCCCCTGGCAGCGTCGTCCAGTATGAGGGTGAGGGCGACTGGTTCAAGATCAAGGATGAGACAGTCTGCGGATCTACTGCCGATGGCCTCCAGGATACCGATTGGTGCACCTGGGGCAAGGACCGTCTGACCTTCACTATTCCTGATGGTACTCCGGCTGGCGAGTACCTTGTCCGTGCCGAACACGTTGGACTTCACCGTGCTCATGTGGACGAGACCGAATTCTACTATGCTTGCGCCCAGGTCAAGGTCTCTGGTAGTGGAAACGGTACACCCAGCCCACTCGTCAAGTTCCCAGGAGCATACAAGGCCACCGATCCGGGCATTGCTTTCAGCATCTGGGCTGGTAAGACGGAGTACCCCTACCACATCGGTCCCGATGTCTGGGCCGGTGGCTCTAGCGGCTCTACTGGCAACAACTCGACTCCTGAGCAGCCCGATGCGCCAGTACCCTCGCCTGGCCAATTCTTCCCATCATCCTCGGTCTTGGCGGCTAGCTCTGTTTCGGGCGGTGCACCAACGACTCTGGCAACTTCCATCACAAGCAGCGCCCCCAGCGTTACTGCTACCGAAGATGAGAACCTGGAAGCGTTCCCTACCGTCCGTGACGATGGTCCTGGTGCGTCCAGTCCGACTCCCGGCGCTACTCCTACCTATCCTGGCCCTCGTCGCCCTAAGATCCTCGAGTGCGTTGAGCGTGATGAGTGATCGACTCTACCGCTTGGAGCATGTATTTACCTGAATCGACGTCGTTGCCTTCTGCTGCTGTGGTGGAAAGGCTGTGCTCTTCCGGCGCTCGAATCTTTCTGGGTGTTAGGGGATTCCATGGCTCGGCGAGCCTAAAAATTTTGACAGGCCCTCTGCAAGACTTGCTTGAGAGAAGGATGTTCACTTCTTGTATTTACCTTTTACCTTGGTCTTAAAACCACTTTCTTCGATATCGACATCTGTAACTCGCAGCTGATGTTTTACATTGAGCTATAAGCGTCACAGTCAGTGTCTCACATTATATTTCTCAGAACAATCGTGATATGTACAAACCCCTCTCGGGAACTTCTTTCTGTGGCGGTACAGATGGCTACTGAAAACAAATCGATTGGGCAGTTCACTTCCCACTCTTTTTGGCTCCCACACGACCTTTCAAGTTATGTGTGGGATCATTGAGTCGTGCACAGACTGGTTTCACCGCTATCATAGGCATTCTAATATCAACAGCAGACAAACGTACGCGAACGGGCGAGAGGGCGTATTCAATCATAACGCTTTCTTATTCAACAAGCTCTGGTATCCTTCCACCGCCAGTCTTGGATTTGGTGTACAACATCGTCGCATTTGGACCACAAGATATGCGTCAAGGTTTCGTGGGGGCTTGCCCGGGGCCAAATTTCGTTGTCAAAGGCCCTTTAGTTAGTAGCCACAGTGGCCACAGTATCCGCAATCCTCTGCACTGCATGCCGCGAAGTCTTTGTTCTTGTCGCTGTCATAGTCGTTATTATACTCGTGCAAGGGAATCCGTATGGTTCGGAGGTCGTAGTTCTTGTGGCCGTGACCGTGGAACGGCTCGGCTCCGACCTGGCATGTCTCACCCAAGGCACTCCCAGCCACGTGGGATGTCTCGTGCACAGCAAGACTTTTGTGTCGGGGTGTATCATTCACAGGCTGAGAGGCAGCAAATCCAAGGACACGTGGCGAGTCCAGGTCATCCAAAAAACAAAGCTCTTTTAGATCAGCTGAGCACACCAAGCTCATAGGGAATCCTATGTCAGGCTGTATGGAAGGCCTATAAGCAGTCAGTTGTATTTCTTGGAGGCATATTTTGATTTACATTGTCCATGTGAAGTCTGGGCCCACCGCCATGTGCTTTCCCTTGCCGTTGAAATAGACGCCTTGTGAAAGGGTCACGCGATGAAGAGCCTCCTCACCAACCTGCGCAGCGAGATGGGGCTTGATAGTTCCCGAATAAGCACTCAACAATCCTGGCAGCTTCAGGACGTCCTCTGCGCAGTAACTTTGAAGGGCCGTTGACAACGGTCGCTTGAAGAAGACTCGGTATGTGCCCCCATGCTCTGGAGCAAACTGCTTGATACCCTCGTCTTTGCCGCGTCGCCACGAACTTCTCTCCTCTGCCGACAGAAAAGAGCTTTCCAAGATGCACTTAGAAAGGCCTTTCACATACCTGCCTCGGCCCGGACGAGTGGCGAACTCGAGGAGTTGAAGGTCCACAACTCCGCGTAGGGCAATGCTGAAATGGGAATACAGAGCATCAGAGTCGTTACGCACATCGAAGAAGACTTTCGGATGCTCCTCTGACTCCAGGATGGACCTCCAAGTCAGGCCACCGGCAGCTGCGGTGTCGAAGGCTCGGCTCTGCAACTCGTGTACATCTAGTAGATAGATGGTCGGGTTGGGTGGGATTAGGACCGACACGATGGCGATAGACCCATGACGTGAAAGATTTTCACCCTCAAGGTCAATAAAGATAAGGGGAATCTTGTTCCTGCTGGTCACCTCCTGTACGACTTCCCGAACGGAATCAGCGTTGTCAATCACTTTCGTTGGCATTTCGAAGAAGATGTGCAATGTTTGGATGTATCGGCGCAAGAAATTCCAATCTCAGTCGAGCGTCGAACTTCAGTGAGACCATGACATTTCACACTGGGTTCCCAGGAGGCATGAAGTCAGACCTTATGTAGGAGTATAAGCGCACAGAGCGCGTAAGTCTCGTTACATAACGGTAGCCTGTATAACCAATGAGAGCATCATGTTGGTGTTTTCAGCACTCATGTAGCCGAACGGTCATGCTTTGATCTGCTCGCCAAGATGGATTGAGGCCTACCAACTCTGCGAGAGCCAACGAGCTGTTTGGATATTGTAGCTATCCGGAACCTTTTAGGTCGGTTGTATTCGAAAGTTCATGGTGAAGGCGGAGTTCTTACACGATTGGTCGATAAGATTCATGCCGAGCCATATTGAGGCCTACTGGAAACCCGTGAATAGCCAATCAACAGAGACTAGATTCCAGCGGCTGCCTATATCATCGCTGACGACACCCTCATCACTCTCTTCCTCTCCTTCACCAGGTCGCATCTCTTGGCACGGTCACCACATTCTTTTCGGCGTTGCAGTTGTTTCAGGACTTGGGGGAGGTTTCTGGCTGTGTTTTTTTTGTCGCGGTTGAGGCTGTATTTACTTCCACCCAGCAGGGCTAGAATCTCCGCTTAGGGCGCATCTCGCGTCGTACCTCACACACCGACCGATCTCCTCAGCTTGAACAACAACATTATCTCTATCGTCGCTCTACAGAGGAGCCAACGGTCGATCCCCGTCTCCTTCAAACATCCTCTTCCAGGCCCTGCAAGGAGGTCAGCCTTGACGCCGATGAAGACAAAGCCAGCACCCAATCAACCCATAATCAGCCTGCTACACTCGCTAACGTCCCTCCTTTGCCAACCCTATCTCATTTTGAGCTCCCTGACTCTAGTGAGCTTCTTGATGCTGGTAGTGCATCTCTACCACAAGCCTTCACGACAGCAAATTTCACCTGCGTCCAGTGCCCAAGGACGTTTGCCAAAAGACATCAACTCAAGTTAGTGCACCTATGAGTCTCGTTGAGCCTTGCTGATGATTCAGTTCTCATGCCAAGGCACATGACCGTCCTTTTGAGTGCTTAGCTTGCGCAAAGAAGTTCCAGTACCGGAAAGATCTTGAGCGCCACCGCAATGGAGTCCACTCCATTGGAGATGTCACTGCAAACAGGTATTGGTGTCCTATATCTTGGTGCAAGCACTCTGTCGCTGGTGGACGACCTTTCGCAAGGCTTGACAATTATCGAAGGCACATTAACAGTCATCATCCAGAGCTACAATAGTTTCAGTTTGACCGCAGAATTCATTCCTTGATACCGTACACTTTACCCCAGCCAGTCTTCTGTGTCACACACACACACACAGGTGGAGGGGGTGGGGAGGAGACAGAGCGCGCTCTCAGGACACGGAGGCTGGATTGTATTTCCTGTGATTTCATGACCATAGATCATGTAAAACCCTTGAGTTCTGGGCATTTCGTGGCAGCTGTAATGTTGCTCATAACGAAGGATGCTCAGGAATGAGGCCCCTCGGAGCCACAAACGCAGATGCGGCCTGCGGTGAACTGTTTCAAGTCGGATGCTGACCTTGCCGCTGCTAGTGGGTCCATTCACAGTGTCAGGATAAGGAAGAATAAGCGCGGTCTCTGACCATCGACCATAGATGGCCTTAGAGAACAAATGAATTCCCGGACCTTTCGTCCTTTAAGCAACACGAGAGAGTGGTGCAAATGCTGCTGGGTAAGGCCGCGGATGCTAAGGTGATGTTTCGATCCTGGTGGGATACGGTCGACTTCCTCGATGGCGTGCACTTCAGCAGTACAGCACCATTTCCTTTCCTTCCTCCCTTCTTTCCTTCCCACCTGCCTTACTCCTCTTCTTCTCCCACCATGATCAGAATGATCATGGTGCTCTCGAAGGGTCTGCGACATTGCTTCTGACACAATATCAAGAAGTCTGAGTTTCTAATCCGACAATTCTTGTGCGATCAGCCTGTACTGGGATACTTTACTTGTAGGTCGGCTAGCAAGGCGGGGTCATTACATTGGATCCTGTTAAGCTCTCCTCCTCATTTGCCGGTAATCTTCTTGAAGTTCTTTGCTCCAATGTCACGAAGCTGCTTTCCATACAAGTACAGCTACATTTGAGTCAGTCTCTCAATCGCGAGAAGCACATTGTCTGGATATAGATACCATAGGAATGGCCGGCGCTCCGATGCCCAGCACGAGAAAGGCCAATAGGCCAATGCCCCAGTCAATACCAATTGCGTCAAACAGACGCTGTCCGAACAATGGAAACACTCCGCCGAGCACGCACCGAAACGTCGATACTAGAAGATCAGTCAGCGAGATCGAAAGTTGAGAGATCAACACTTACTCGCGGCCACGGCACTGGCGGGAAATTGAAAACAGTCTACGGCATAGAGCTGAATTGCCAGGCCAACATTCATTGATCCGGCCGCGAATAGTGCCACGCCAATGAGCGGAATTATGAAATGCGTTCGGCCGGAAGAGAAGCCGTACATGAAGAGCCCGGCTGCGGTGACCATGGTCCCGCCGAAGGCTGCCACAAGCCTTGTTTCTGGATGGTATGTCTTGCCCGGAGCTGAAGCTCGTGTGTAGATCACATCCAAAAGAGGGACGGTTACGAACAAGCCGATCATGGCGCCGATACCTTCGGACAGGAGGTCAATGCCGACGATTCCTGGTGAGTGGCTATACCCGTCAGACAAGACTTGGTAGAACTTATAGAGAGGTCAGTCGTCGATCTCCAGAACGTGAAGTGCTGTGGGGGTATCTAACCGTCACAATAACCATATACAGTGTGCCGAACAGTAATGCGAAAACCAAGGCCACGATAAACAGTGCCGGATCGACACAAAGGTAAATAACTTGGCGCGGAGGGTAAGCAAATTGCCGCGTATCCTTGCCACATCGGCTTCTTACCTGGTCGAAACGCTTCTGTCAACATATATACAGCACCGCTTTGCTGCTCCATTCTGGCTCGAATATCCAAGGCAGTATACAGGGGCAGGTGAGGATCCTGCTTCTGGCACTCTTTCAATCTTCGGTGGAGGAGAGTCGGGATGTAGCACTCTTTAAGGAGAACCTGGCAGAATATGTGGATAACGAAACCGGCGATTGCCTATGAAAGTCTGTGAGTTACTATGCTGCTGCGCTGCGAAGGTGTCTCGTACTGGGACCCAGCACGTCCATCTCCAAGACGCGCGTTCAGACATCCAGCCGCCGCAGGCCGGCCCTGCTACTGGACCCAGTATTCTGAGGCATGTTAGTCTCAATCTTCAGGCCAACCCAGTACGAACATGGTAAAATAGAGCACGCCTGACGCCTTGGCTCTGTCTTTCAGATCGAAGAGGTCCGATAGAACTCCTCCGAAAATTGCAAGGGAAGAACTACCCCCAACGCCTGCCAGGAAGCGACAGGCCACGAGCTGGCCGGGCTGTGTGTAAAAATGTCAGCGCGCCGCCTTTCCCGAGGACTGGTAATGGGGAATACCGTCCGAGCGAATCCACCCCCAACCCCAAAAGCAATGAAGACAACATTACCACCCAACAGAACGCGCTTTCGACCATATATCTCCGACAAGGGCGCAAGGAAAAGCGGCGCGATAGCAAAAGCGAAGAGGAAGACCGCGGTTTGCAATGCGCCTTCGATAGGATCCGTCATCCCCAAGTCCTCCATAACGAGGTTGATGGAGGGCGCAAAGATGGTGGCAGTGAACGGCGCCAGGAAACAGAGTGAGCCAACGAGTGTATTTGCGACCCATTTTCGGCGCGGGGTCCAGAGACGCGGGTGAATGTCTTTAGGGAGGGCGATGAAGTTGCTGTCGATGTATACGATGTCCTTGCCGTCCCAGATAAGCTTGTCTGGATTGCTGCTCCGCTCTGCGAGACCGTCCTGGTAGGCTTTCTGCACCTCGTTGGGAATGAATACCTGGGTATTTGTCGGTGCAGTCTTCTCGGACCGAGGTAGGATGTGGTGCTTCATAGTAGTATTGGTCCACGATCTTGTAAAAAGGATAATTACGGGAGCAGAACGAGACGCGGTCAGGGCCAATGGCGATGGAGATGGCTGCTAAACGTGTGTTACGACCGAGCTATATATGATCTACTTCGGCCGGGAAGCTGCAGCTTAAAACCGGTGCGTAGCATAAAGGAGTCCACTAGGACAGGATGGCCTCCGTCGAACTCGAACGTACCAATCAAGCAGCCCCGAGACGGTCCTGCGGATCCTAATTGTTCAGACGCTTTTGAGTCAAGCGCGGGATTAAGCGTATACTTTTCGCCGGCTTCTCGGCCGTGGTCTCTTTCTAAGTCTTTCCCCCGCACACCAGACCCGACCACTTTGACAGTCTCACAAACACACGCCACAACCAAACGCCACGGTATCGATGACGGAAGGGAAAACAACCATAATTCGGACGCGCGCCGTTCAAACATGCCGCCCGTGCAGAGATTCGAAGATCAAATGTGATAGGGCTCGACCACGTTGCTCCCGGTGCGTCAATCGCGATCAGGATTGCCAGTATAACTACGAGGCAAAACGACCTCACAAGCAGCCAACCTCGCCGGCGCTGATCGCACCGAATGATGATGCCGTGGGGCCCACATCACCAACACAGGCCGCACTGGTGCCGTCGAACAGCGTAAATTGTTCTTGTAGGCCAGAACTCGACGCCCAATCACAAGCTGTTGCGCTCAAACCTCGCACGCGGAACAGAGTTCCGAAGGCATGTGATAGATGTCGCAAATTAAAAGTGAAGTGCGACCAACAAGAACCCTGCAAGCGTTGCGTCCAGCAAAAACGGGAGAACGAGTGCCTCTATGGCGTGCAGCGACACTCCTTTCAGAAGGCAACCGGAGAGCGGACTATGTTCTACGCCAATAGTCACTGGAGAGCCGTCAGCGCGAACGTATGTGTCATTGGATGTTCGCTGTTCCTCATAGACAAGCTAACGCGTTATCCAGATTGAGGCTGTCCTTGCACACAACATTTGTCCCGGCCTCTGTTATACAGCTAACAGCATGGGGGGAGAAGTACCATTGAGCAAGTCTCCGTTTGGAACACTGACGTCTTCGCCAACGACACCCCTTGTGTCCAGGAACAGAGTCCTTGCTGCGCTTCCAGATATGGCACAAGCCAGCGAGTTGTGCAAAGTGTTTTTCACAACAATTAACAAAGTATACCACATTTTGCGCGAAGAGTCCTTCAGCGAAGAGCTTGCAACCTATTCAAGAGATCCCGAATCTGCAGACTTGGGGTGGTTGGCGCTACTCTGCGCTGTGTTATCTCAAGGCATGTTGTTGCAGCAAGCTTCAACAGCCTGGAAACCAACCAGTACCAGTTTTAGCGGCCGAGACGAGGCTGAAAAGCTGCTTGAAACTGCTCAATCATGCATTGCGCAGACTGCTTTTACGGCTAGACCGACGATTGCAGCTATTCAGTGCCTATGCATAACGGCTGTCTCGCGCCAGCTGGCCCCGTTCTCATGCTACGATACCGACTCGGCCTGGGTATTGACCGGCCTGATCCTCAAGCTTGCCTACAGCTTGCGCTTGCATGACTCCAAGAGAATTCCAGATCTTAGCGAAAGCGAACGAGAGAAGCGTGAAATGCTCTGGCATGCGATCGTCCATTTGGAGCTGAGACAATCGCTCACTGCAGGCAAACCAACCATGTTGAGGCTCCGAGATCTGGCGAGTCTACAACGGGTTGATAGCGGGTTCTCTAATGCAGCATGGGTCTCTGCCTTGCCGGTGGTAGCCGAGATCTTGGACGAGAAGCATTCGGCAGAACCCACAGCACTGTCTCGTCAGTCAATCGCACAATACGATTATGAGCTTCGTCGACTACTCCGGCGCGCTGACGAGAGCGACGTGGCTAGCACGACCGTGGGCATTCAGCACCATCAGCACATTGCTCTTACTATTTTCATTCGCCGTACTCGGCTCGCGTTACACTATCCCGAATCATCCGAGCCGGATGCGTTCCTGCATTATCCGGAAGGCTACTGGGCATCTCTGGAATGTTGTCTCGGGCTACTGGCGCTCCAACGCACGCTTGATGAATGCTGCCAGCCCTCCGGTTGCTCATGGCTTGCGGAGCTTTTCAAGGAGGACTTTTATACCGCAGCCTTGACACTCTGTCAGTACTTGCTACAAGACGTGACGCGCATGGGACTGGCTGCTCCGCCCTTACACGCCGATACCGGATCCAGCAGCGGCCTACAAAACCATCCGAAGGAAACGGTCATGGAGACTCTTAGGAGCTGTCGAGACATTTGGGATCGAAAGAAGGGCTTAAGCTTCTGTCAGAGCATGGCATACAAGGTTTTCAATGCGGTGCTCAAGAAAATTGAGGAGGCAGAGACCACTGGTCCCACACAAGGTTCGTAGCAGCAGAACTAAGGTCCACACGCGCAAGCCTGGTCGCGGACATAACAGACCCAGAGGGCCGTCTTCTCGGCCGTGACGAAGCATCAGGTCTCCACCTCGCGTATCCTCGCACAGATTCACCCTGGCAATATAATTCACTACTCGTGCTTGCATGTACAAGTCCTCCATCTTATTCAGTCTCTCAGCCCAAAGAGACATCCTCAGCAGTACCAGCATGGCAGCTACACCATCAGGACTCCGGTGGCGCAGCCATCCAAGCTTCATCCTGTCCACCGTCGGCATCGGTATCTTCACCGACCTATTCCTCTACTCGCTCATCGTGCCCATCCTGCCTTTCATGCTGCACGATCGCCTCCACCTCCCCCGGTCGGTCGTCCAGCAACACGTTTCAGGCCTGCTCTCAGCCTACGCCGCCGCAATGCTGTTCGCCGCCCCCATCACCGGTATCGTCGCCGATCGACTGCAGATGCGCCAGGCGCCATACCTGGCGGGCCTGCTAACGCTGTGTGCGGCTACGGCATTACTTTATTCAAGCACGATGCTCCCCGTGATGTATGCGGCGCGGGCGTTGCAGGGCGTGAGTGCGGCGATTGTATGGACGGTGGGCATTGCGTTGTGTGTTGATACTGTGGGGTTGTCGAATTTGGGCAAGACGCTGGGTACGGTGAGTTTGCTGCCCGGTGATCTGCTTTGAGGCAAACAATTGGCAGAATGAGACTAAGTACTCCAACACTGTAGATGTCGTCCGCTACGTTGGCTGGGGTTGCGTTGGCGCCGATTGTGGGTGGGGCCCTGTACCAGTGCACCGGGGTTCTGGGGCCAGTGGTTCTGTCGATGTCCTTGATTGCCGTGGATCTCCTGATGCGGCTGCTGGTGCTCGAGAAGACTGTTGCTGCGACCTTTGAGCAGGCTGTCGACGAGGCTTGTGATACTGATGGAGCTTTAGATGAGTCTAGCCCAGCTCGGACAGCGGTGAACGCTCAAGCCACCGCTGAAGACCAGTCACAGCGTGTCGATGATGAAAGCCAGCCCCTCCTCCAGAACAACGAGTACAAACTAGCCACCAGCAAACCCTCATGGATCGTCCGCCTCATGCCGATCCTGCCTTGTCTGGGCAACTCCCGCCTGCTCATGGCCTTACTACTTACCACTACGCAATCCATGATCCTCGGCGCCTTCGAAGCCACCATCCCAATTCACTCAGCCGCGCTCTTTGGCTTCGAGTCCTTTAAAGCTGGGCTCGTGATGATGTCTGTCGCCATCCCTTCCGTCGTCTGCGGGCCTCTGCTCGGCTATGCCGTCGACAAATACGGACCGAAGCTCGTGGCAACTTCAACACTTGTGCTCCAAGCCTGCATGCTCATGCTACTGCGCCTGCCACGCGCCGGTGGCGCTGATCAGATTGCCTTGTACGCCATCACCACAGCGCTGTGCAGCATCAGCATATCAGGCTGCAGCTCCGCTTCGGCCGTCGAGTCGGGCCTGGTGGTGAATGCGTTCCATAAGGCGAATCCCACGCATTTTGGTGCTCTGGGTCCGTATGCGCAGCTGTACGCGTTGAATTCCATGGCGTACACGCTGGGTCTCGGAATTGGACCGGAGATCACAGGCCAGTTGCAGCCGGTCATGGGGTTTGGAAATACTTTCATTGTGCTGGCGGTCGTGTCGGCCTTGACTGGTGTTTTGACGGTGCTGTACGTGGGAGAGAGCTCAAACAAGCCCATCGTGGAAGGCTAAAAGGTTTGTCCGTCAAGAGCATGGGTCTGGCAGCATGGAAAAGTATGATAGGTAACAAATATCGGGCATCTACTCATCAACAAGGGGTAGAATAGATAGGACATAATGCAGAATTGTGAGTATTCCAACCTGAGAGTGTACCCTCGTGTGTGTAACTCCACACCGGTATGATAAGGGCCAGCTTTAAAGCAACAAAGTCAAATCCGTGTCCCCATGCGAAGACCTTCAAGTAATGTTCCAAGGATCGAGTATGCCGCAAAATTACAGATAGAGTGCCCAATGTCTCGCGCCCAGAGCTCTCGACACCAATGAAGACCTTGTAGTACAGTTTCTCCTACAAGGCCGTGTTTCTCGCCTAGTATCCCGTAGTGCGGGTGATCAAACATCGACGGCGACGACAACGAGCCTGTCTCGCGCAGTCCTTCAACGCCGATGACCAGCGCCGCAATGAAAAAATCCTCTTTGAATAATTCAGCAACTGCTCTTCCAGCAATGCAGCCGAGCGCAGGGTCTTCCAGCATCGCCCGCTGTTGCACCAGAATCGCAATTGCGCACTCCGTCATTGCTAGCGATGGAACCCGAGCTCGTGGTCTGAGGCCGTTGGCAGTTACATTATTGGACTTCCATCGGGACTCAAGGTAATGTACAGTCAAGAGTACACGACGAAGGAATACTATGAGCATCCATCGCTGGACAACGTTCCAAATACCATTGGATCCTGATGAGATTGCCTCGGTATCCCGCAACAGCTTCCGGACGTCGGTATCTACGGCTGCGAAATCAACGCTATGTTGCTCCATTGGTTCTGGGCAGTTGGCCATATCAATCACCCTAGACGCCCACGGCAACGATTTGGCAAGGATGACCTCGATTGCTGTGAGTGGAAATTCATCGAGGCTCATGATAGACATGTGCGCAGATGATCCTGACTCGGTGGCGCATACACTTGTCGGTGTGTTTGGCTCGAATGCAGAAAGCGGAAGTCGTACTGGAGAACCAGTATGTATTGCGTGGTGCAGGTACATATATCTAACGGTGGTCCAGACACGGGTCTCCAAAAGTCTAGGCGTCTGGTGCCGTTGAGGAATACCTTTGCCGCAGAGATCTTGACCCAGACCGAGGGTCATGCACAAATTCACAGCGGTATCAAGGAGGGGCCCGCACGCATCTCGCTCGTGGCATGAGAAGAGACTCGCTCGTTTCGCTGTGATAATGAGGCAGAGAGTTCGCACTGTCTCAAGGCTGGCTTGAGATCGATACGTCAGCTGATTAAGGCATTGAGCAGCCCCGCGGAGAAAGTTTTCAGCTCGCCGTTCACAATTTGGTGTTGCGTCCTCCGACCCGTTTCTCATATGCTCAACTTGAGTACTTAGTGCGAGTATGGCCAGGAGCTGAGCAATCCAGTCGTAGGCAGCGGCAGACGGGTTTGACCAAAAACGTTCGAGCTCGATCTCGAACGTCGGAATGTGGAATAAGCGATACATTCCTTCGAATGTGCCAAAATAGGTTTCGACCATGCTTCTGACAATCTCTTGCGGCGGAAGATATCTAGCAAGAGTCTCAGCCAGGGAAAGAGGCTGGCTGACGCGGTCTCCGTCGAACGGGAAGCTTGGAAGCCTTGAGTGGCGATAAATATGAGAACGACGCACGCTCGAAACTCCATGTGTGCTCACTGAGATATGATCGAGAAGATCCGGCATTATTATTGCACACTATGTGGCGCAGATATGGTTAGTCCGGCACCTATGGACGCGGGTCGGAAGTTACTCAACAAAAGAAAACACGCTTACCTGGCCCAATAACGATTCCCAGTGTGTCTGGCCCCTCTTAACGCACACGGGTGCCGACAACGGATTATCCAGAAATTCCACAACGCAGGACAGCTGCTTGTATAGACTGGTGAGTACACTTGCCAGTTGCCACTCAAGCGAAAGTTGTGGTAGTATATCCTGATCATGGGAATAACTTTGCTTCTTCCAGCAAAGCATTCCATAGTCTGCCGAAAGTTCAGTGGTGAGGAACGGTGTACATTCACTCAAGCCCACCCGTTCGCTGCAGGCGACAGGTGGGCCAATAGATGTCGATCGGTGCCATTGGCTCGTAGAGGTATTGATAGACAGGTTCGATGCATATGAACATACACCGGCTTTACCGCGCCACTGACAGCGGCTGCAGGGGAGCTTTCGGTCACACCAAACCTTCAATTCTCTGCATTCGTTGCAATTTAACGCTCGACGTCTTCGCCGCGGACCGTGCTTTTGCTGGGGGGTGCCATGGGACTCGGATCTGCAGGGTCGGGCGGTTGTTCTGATACTGAATCGATGCATCAGACCATTGACTGTAGGCATGCTGATTCGCTTTTCACCCTCTTGAAAAGATGGCTGGTCTCCGTTAGTGCTGTATTCCAACTGATAATATTTTCGCGCAGATTAGTGACTACCCAGCGGATGAGCGCACGGGTATTTCACCAGACTGTGCACCGCAAAGGAAAGGCGTTCGACTTCGCGATGTCCTATTGGCGAACGCTGGTTGCATCGCGGGTATCGAGCATGTGCAGTCTGCAGAAAATCAAGTCTGTTTGTCCGGCAAGCATGCTAGGACTGTTTGAGTCAGTTAAGCCCCTCCGCCGGCGATGCATTTGCAGTCAATTTACCGTTGACGAAGGACAGCCACTGTGAACAAAAGTTGTAGCGAGTTCTCTTCCCGGTCTCGGAGTCGGACCCGATGGCGGTAGAAGTCCTTGCTAGCCAAAGCCCCTAACCGTGTACGGTTAGCGCGGAGATAAAAATGCTTAGCAAGAGGCTGGTAAAGACAATCTTTATTAGATCGACTGATCAAAGTTATCAGATTATCGGAGTTTTCAAGCTCTCACTCCACCGATCAGCTATGTTATCCTGCCCGCGTACTCAGGGGACACATCTTTTACGAGGCGCAGAGGAGAAGCAGAGGGACTAAGAGCCTGAAGTGCTTGCGATGTAGTCTCCCCGCTATATAAGTAGCGGCACCTCTGCGATAGCGCACAATCTTTAGGAAATACAACTCAGGCGATAGAAAGGTCCGTACAATTCAATCATCTTCTGACTAAGAAAATGGGAAGTTCAACGCGAATAGTACTACGCTTGACGTACATAGGGTTCGCGAGCCCCCCTGCTTTCCTTTCTTTGTGTCGGTGAGGCCATCTGGGCTAACTATGGTATCAACTACAGCGCATATATCACCTTAACTGCGGTATCACTAGAGCAGCATGTGATCGTTGCAATGACCCCTTACATCACGAGCGGGTTTTCCCATCATTCATTGATTCCGATTATCTCTCAGATTGCTTTCATCATTCTGGGCATTGTTTCACTCGCCATGTCTCGATTAATTGATGTGTGGGGGCTCTCCCAGGGACTGGGTCTTATGGTTCTGTTCGGTTTCTTGGGTGAGAATCATTGACGCAATAGCTAGCAGATTGAACTAACTCTTCAGCTTTATTACTCATGATATTCTGCCAAAACGTGGGCACGTACGCAGCTGCAGTGGTGAGAACGTCCTCAACCTGCTGTGAACTGAGACTTAATCCATTTCTGCGTTTAGGTCATCTACGAAATCGGCTACGGTGGCATACTATACACTCTGCTTGTTTTTGTAACAGCAAATGCCAGACTCAAGTACCGCCCACTAGCCATTGCAGGCACCAAGGTTCCATATATCATCACAACATTTGCTGGACCGAGCGTAGCCGAAAAATTCTACACCCGTGGCCTCATTAAGTGGGCGTTCGGCACCTTTGCGATCATTGTACCGGTAATCGGAGGCCTGATGGTCGGTGGGCTTTGGCATTACCAACGCTCAGCAAATCGCGCACTGCCGGCGGTCCGGGTAAAGGCTCGCCAGAAAGGAAATCACTTCCTACGTGCTTTGTTCAACTACCTGAAAGACTTTGACGGTAAGCATGGAATTGGATCTACTCCTATCCCTCGACCGAGGCATGCTAATATCCTTACGCAGTCATCGGAATTGCCATCGCATGTGCGGGCCTAACGACCTTCCTTCTACCGTTCAATCTTGCGGCGTCAGGAATAAATGGCTGGAGAAGTGTGTCCATTATCTCCATGATCGTGGTTGGAGCGTTCCTTCTCGTCGTTCTGGTGCTATACGAGTACTTTGTCGCACCAAAGAAGTTTCTCCCTTTCGAGCTGCTTGGAGACCGTGTTGTGTGGGGAGCATGCTTGAGCATCTGCGGCGTCTACATGAGTTTGTTGTATGCACTCCCGACTGATCCTCGGCCCGTGTGTTGCTAATCGAGTGGAAAGCTGCTGGTTCTCGTACTTTACCTCGCAGCTCCAGGTCGTACACAACATGAGCATTAGTGAGGCAGGATACTTGGCAAACACAAATTATGTTGGAGGAGGTGCTGCGGCTCTTGCCACTGGTTTGTGAGTTTCAACCCACCTCATGACCATAGCTCCTTTTCGGACCCAATACTGATATTGGTACTTAATCCTCAGAGCTATGCACTATATCGGCCGTGCTAGAGTTACCACACTGGTGGCGTTGACAGTCTACACCTTCGGCACTGGAATGATGATACACTTCTCGTCCTCACTATCATCTTCGAGTGTCGGCGGTATTATCGCGTCCCAAGTTTTGATATCCCTTGCATCAGGGACACATTCAGTGAGCTCAAACGTTGGGATCCTGGACGGAGCATCGCCATCCACGGTATCCATGCGGCTCGCGCTGGCTTACCTATCAAGCATGATTGGTGCGTCTATCGCGCTTGCGATTTCAGGCGCAATATGGACGAACACTCTGCCCAGTCGCCTGACCGCAAACCTGGCTGGATTAGGCCTGTCTACCGAGGATAAAGCTTCGATCTACGGCTCCTTGATTGTTCAGATCTCGTACGAAGTTGGAAGCCCGGTTCGAGACGCTATCGATCATTCGTATAGGGAAGTCTTCAAGTTGATGATGATCGCTGCCACGGCCTCAACTACTGTGGGGTGGATCGGCGCGTTAATGCTACGAGATGTTACGCCTAGAGACCGGGATGCCGAGGAGGGTTAGGTTAAGTTAAGAATGAGTCAGAGCAAACCGCAGATGCTACCGAGACTATGTTTGCTTTAACAGCTTATTATGAACCGCTCTAAATGTCGGGTCTAATCTAAGAGTAGTACTAGTGGTGGTTGTTAAGTGTAAGAGTCACTCGGGATAGTGTAAGAGGAGCCTTAGGACGAATAGGTGTCAACTGTGATTCTCTATGTACAACGATTCAGTACTTGCAGGAGCAAGTCCAGAATCAACATAATCTTCCACGCGAGGCGCATGGGAGATTGTGTGCTAAGTGTCTTGACCCCTAAGACCTTGGAGTCCTTGGTAATAGAGGGCTGTGGCGCCTTATTGCCTTGTCTGGCCTCAGCAATTCAACGACCAATAACCCAAGCGGCTGTAAGAGAGGATTAGTACAAAAAATAACTATTTTATTTATTTTATATATATATTAGTACTATAAGACCATGGTGCCAGAGTTTGAGAGTAGTACTAGTGGTGGTTGTTGAGCTATTGTCGTCGCTATTTTGTACTGAGATTTGCCTCTACCAAGAAGAAAATTAGGGACTTAGGGTTAGGGTTAGGGTTAGGGTTAGGGTTAGGGTTAGGGTTAGGGTTAGGGTTAGGGTTAGGGTTAGGGTTAGGGTTAGGGTTAGGGTTAGGGTT